CGGAGACGCAATCAGAACTGAGACAGCGCGGAGAAGCAATCTCCGGATTTCGACCACCGACAGGCCACCCTTCTTGTTGACACCGAGGATAGCTTTCTCCATCTGCTGCTTGAACGCCTGGCGCTCCTCCAGCGAGGACACCGCGCGCGAATGCTCTTCGAGATTACCAAGACCTGTTTTCGGTTAGCGAAGCACCGATCGTTAACCAACCTTTGTCAAGGACGAGACGCGCGCCACTGAGCTCTCCGTCGTAGTAGTTCTTGGCCGCGAACTGGCTCGCAACGAGGTTTGAGTTGTCAGAGGGCCATCCGCCGATCATTGGCATGAGGCTCTCCTGGCGGTCGAGTCGGGAGATGGCCTTGCAGAAGTGCAGCGCGAGTCCGGCACCCATCTCAACACTATCGACGAGCAGGACGTCACGGGACTCGTTGAGGTACGACTGAAGCATGGACTGAACCTCGATCGGCGCGCGCGAGATCGCGTTCGTGAGCCACATCTTGGCAACATTGTAAAGGTTCGTCACGATCTCATTGCGGACAGAGTAGTCATGTACGGCAAGATCTACAAGTTTGACGACGCGCAGAAGGGCGAGGCCATGACGACGGCGTACATGTCCTTTGGTGGACTGCTTCTCGCTCTCCGTGGAAGCTACAGGCATCTCGCCAACGTCGTCGTCGGAGAGAACGTCTACCTCCTCATGCGCAAGTAAGCCGCGCACATCGAGATTGTATCTGGCGTGCGGAGGGAGAGCGGACGGGGCGAGGCGTGTCGGCGAGTTTCTAGAGCAAATGCATGTACAATTACGTCTATGGAAGGAGAAAGGCCCAGCACCTTGAGGTCTATAAATGCTACAATGATCTGTCCGTTCTGTCCATTCTGTCCTCCCCGCTGCATCAGATACAGCGCCAAATCGCGAGTCAGAGAGATCAAGCGGTTATCGCGCGCCTTGGTGACGATGAGAATGTGCTGAATCCTCGAGTGGACCTTTGTCCGTCCGAGCTGCTTGCTGACCTCGCGCACGCCCTGCGCCGTGGCCGCGAGCTGGCGCGTGAGGCTCGTGGCCTCCTCGTCATCGTCGTCTGCGTCGAATTCGGTGTCAATCTCGACCTCGGGGGTGAGCGGCGGGCCCTCGCGCTCCATGCTCTGTCCGACGCTGATCGAGCTGCTCTTGTCCGACTCATATCCATTCTCGGCGCCGGGCGATGGCGTCTTGGGCACACGGGGGAAGGCGGGGGTCAGAGGTTGCGGGCGGGGGTGGCGGTTGTGCGATGCTCGAGGCTGCTGCTGCTGCGCTCGGAGCTTTTGACGGTTCGGGGAGAAGGCATGGTCGGCCTGGTTGTGACGGAGCCAGTCTTGGAGCGCTCCCTTGCGATCGAGACCGGAGTGGATGAAGCAAGGGACTGCGGGGTCGTCGGCGACGTCGGGGCTCATGTGGACCTTCTTCTTGGCGGTGTGAAAGGTCTCATCCTCTGTGCGCGAGTCGGTGATCTTGGACAGCGGCGAGGGCATGCCGGGCAGTCGGCGGTGCATTGTGAAGCGAGGTGGATCGGGGAATAGTGGTGGCGCGATATGAGGTGGTGGATGCTGCAGCGTACGAACGACTAGTCGGGAGTGAACCCAGAACAGAGTCGGACGCTGGAGCAACAATGGGGTGTGTGCTGCTGGGTGCTGTGATCTGGGTAAGGTTGGGAAAGGCGGCGTTGGAGTGCTTGGTGTCAAGATGAGGCCATTAGGCAGCAGCGGTTCGCCGTCGATAACACCCTGTGGTGAGTGAGGGAGGGCTGGCTGGCTGGGTGAGGGCTGAGTAGTGACGGGACCTATTTCCGGATTTTGGCTGGCTGATCAGGCGCAGGTGAGTGCAGCATGACTTCTCCTGCGTCACTCGGAGTACCCTCCCTCTCGTCCACTTAGGGTTCAAGTTCGGCGCGGTACCCGGACCTGGCTGGGTATTCAGAATCCAGCATCCTCCACACACCCAAGAAGGCATTCAGTCGGCATGTACCCACGTTCACCACGTTTGCTGACCAGCTGACCACCAGGGCCACTTCCTCGCTTCGGCGCCAAAAAAGTTGCAGATAGCCGCTAAAGGTCTACGCACTAAGGCTAGCATCAGCGTCATGATCCGCTGCAATGTCGGCAAGTCCCATAGACCCGTCACTTCCCTCTACCGTTACTCTCTGCCCATCTTCTAGAAACACTCTCCTGGCCCTCCACACACACACCTTCTAGCGTGATCTAACACGTATGCATGCAAAGAGAAGTGGGTGGTATCAATCACTAGCTGATAGCGGAAATACAAGATAACTAAGCAACGGCGGGCGCGGCAGGAGCCTGCTCGGGCAGCTGCATCGCCGGCACGGGCTGCGCGAACATGCGGCCCATCAGAACACCAACACCCTCAAACACACCCAGGAGAATACCACATCCGACGGCAGAGCCGAATGCTGATTTGGGACCGGCTGTATGTCAGCTAAAGCCAAGATGAGGCAGAGCTCGCAAGCTGCGCAGTACACGACGGATACCAGAATGTCGGCCCGACGCAGCTCGCTATGCGAGTATACTCACAACGGAGAGCAAGAGTTCCACCAGTCATGAAACCAGAGATGATGGCGTTCCAGGGGTCCTCCTTCTGCCTGTAGCCCTTGACGGCACAGTCAAAGGTCGAGAACAATCCACCCCAGACACCGAAGTTTCCACCGAGAACGGGAGCACGAGCCTTAATGGCAGACAGCGAACCGGCGAGACGCTCTCCCTGGAATCGTTAGCTTCAGTCCCCATTGCAAAGCTTGCGACGACCCTCGTAGTCTCCACTGTGATCCACGGCCCGCCAATAGTGCGCGGAACGCGAGATGAGAGCTAGATGGACGCTCGCTGCGCTCGCAGAAACTCACCTTGGGGCTATTCCTGGCACCCTTGATACCGTGCCAGATACCACCACCGATAGCGCCCATGGCGAACGCTCCTCCGAAGTCGTTCAGGATGACATACGGGCTGCTGTCAGCTTTCCGTTGAATACTCCGAGGCGCAGCGGTATGCGGCGCATGGGGCGGACTTAAACGGCGGCTGCGAGGTCTGCGAGCGCTCGGTCGCAAAACACAAACACAGCCGAGCAGATTTGTGCGGTGTGCATCGTTTGCGCACATCCAGCGAGGACGATGCCGCCGATACCCGGTCGAGCGGGTGGTCTGGCGAGCTCCATCGGAGGTATGTCCGATGGTCCTCTGCGCCTCTGCACAGCCGTCCGTCCACCTCCAGTTCGCAGGATACCGCTACGTCCTCGATGTCCGTACTTACCACGGGTCGCGGGTGTGGTCGGCGTGAGACATGATGGGCTAGTATGTGTGAGGGGAAGGGTGATGGACGGGGGGAAAGTGACGGCGATGGAAAAAAAGTCGAACTCTTGAGCCGAGGGTTCGTTTTATGCAATGGGTCCGTGGATGGATGCGGGTCTAGGTGCTAATGGAACAACAAGCTGTCGTCTTCGAGTGTCCCGGGTCGTTGCAGGCGATGCGGGCTGGAACGCGGTGGTGGGTGTTTTGTTGCGAAGTTGGGTTGGGATTGGAGAAATGTTGAAAACGCAATGATGAGTCGCTCGGCGGCGAGAAAAGATCGGAGAGCCAGCGCCCAGCCGTGCAGCCGAGGTCGCTGGGTGTGCGCCTGCCTGCGTGCTGGCCCTTGCTGGGTGAGCGCCCGGCGTGCCTGACTTGAGCTCTCTCTGTCTTCGAGAAATTTAAGCGGGAGGCACGCATAAGTTAATCCTGAACCGGCCGAGATTATTTGCATGGTGAGGTTGTGTGCCGCGAGCAGCGGTGACCGCGAAATGACGGCTCGGTGTTGTTGACCAAAGGTACAACTTGCATTGTCTCCTCTTGATCTCCATCGGCAGCTCGATCAGGCTCGATCGTTCGACCTCAACCTACTTGTATTACTTAGACACCACTTAGAAAACCGCAACCATGGACGAGCGCTCAAACATTGTCTTCGAGGACCGCTTCACGGTTACTGTGAGTCACCTCTGCCGTGCCGTCATCCAAACTTCGGATGATCGGGAACAAGCTCTTGCGCCGGGATGGACACAAGCTGACAGCCAGGACGTCGACCGCGACGGCAAGAAGTTCGACCGTGTGTCGCGCATCAACGCCAAGTCGTCGGACCTCGGCATGGAGCTCACCCTCGACGTCGCCAACGAGCTCTACCCGCTCAAGGTCGACGACCACTTCTCGCTCCTGCTCGCACGCAACCTGAAGCCGGACGAGATCGAGGCCGAGGAGGACGAGGAGACCGAGGGCACGCGCAAGATCAAGCGCGAGCTGTGGCGTGCCGACGACCAGGGCCTTGCCAACGACTACGACTACGTCATGTACGGCAAGATCTACAAGTTTGACGACGCGCAGAAGGGCGAGGCCATGACGACGGCGTACATGTCCTTTGGTGGACTGCTTCTCGCTCTCCGTGGAAGCTACAGGCATCTCGCCAACGTCGTCGTCGGAGAGAACGTCTACCTCCTCATGCGCAAGTAAGCCGCGCACATCGAGATTGTATCTGGCGTGCGGAGGGAGAGCGGACGGGGCGAGGCGTGTCGGCGAGTTTCTAGAGCAAATGCATGTACAATTACGTCTATGGAAGGAGAAAGGCCCAGCACCTTGAGGTCTATAAATGCTACAATGACTGACCGCGGGGGTCGAGAGTTGATGGAAGTTGATTTAGTAGGGAATGCCACTGCTCGTCAGTTTCCTGCTCTTCGTCGCTAACTTACTTTTGAAGTTTCTGGAAGCCGTCGTAGATGTCTGATCGCTTATTCTGGTACGCATTGTTGATGACGCCCATCATGTACTCAGCCGCAGCGCGTTCGTTCAGGTTTGGCGCGAAGCGGTCGCGGAGGCGATTGATCGTGCCGTCGTCCTTGAACGATGGAAGGCCGGTGCCCAGCATGAGCGCGACGGTGTCGCAGAGCTGGTCGACGTACGGTCTGATCGCGAGGAACGCCTTGATAGTGAGATCAACAAACATGCTGTAGCCCTGCGAGCCGGCACCGCCCATGAGCGCAATCATCTCCTTGTTCAGCTTGAACGAGCCAGCCTCGAACTTGATGCCTCCAGGTCCAATGTCGAACAGGAAACCGAAGTCGATGTGCACGATATGCCCCTCGCCATCGATCATAATGTTTCCGTTGTGTCGGTCCTTGATCTGGAGGATGTAACAGGCCACAGAGTACGCCGCCATGGACTGGATAAAGTTCAGGCGCGCGCGCTGGAACGCCACCGTGTCGGGACCGCCATATTTGTCGATGAAGTACTCGAGCAGGTCGTTGACCTGGGCGCGACCCATCTCGTCACGGGAGGTCGCATTAGGGACGACGTCAATGACACCGCAACCCGGCGCCGTCGCCGTGACTCGGTACGGGAACAGATACAGCGTCAGACCGAGCTGCGTGAAGACGTTCTTGAACATGGCAATGAGCTGGAGCGCGAGCACGTCCTGTCGGCAGTCATCTCCGACCTTGAAGATGGCGCTCTGCCACACGTCGTAGCTCGACGTCGCCATGGCCGTGTCAAGCTCAGCCTCGAGGTCGGCAGACTCGAGGTCGATCTTCTGCTTGCGCACCTTGAACGTCGCCATGAAGGGTGCCTTGGCATGCGACTGCAGGGGACGGCCGGACTTGCGGTCCAGGTCGACGACGACGCCGTCAGGGTTAGAGGGAAGGTACACGCCGACCTCGAGCTTGATCTTGGACATTTCTTCGTCGATCTTCGCCTTCTTTTCCGGTTTCGTCTTCTTGATGTACGGCTTGAGCTTGCCCGAGATGCTCGTGACATCGGCGAAGAAGCCGAACTCCTGCTCGTAGAACACCTGAGCCTTGCCGCTGAGAGAGCCGACAATCTTGTCCACCATGCGGTCGAGCTGGGGCTTCATCGGGTCTGGCTCCTCACCATCATCGTCACGGTACGTGTTCGCCTTCATGTTCCAGATAATCTGGTGGCAGAAGAGCTGCGAGATGTGCGACGTCTCGAAGATGAACCGCTCGACGTAGCCCAAGGCGTCGTGGCGCAGGCCCTGGACGACCTGAGGCACAAAGAAGAACGTGAGGTCGACGGGGTAGCTCTCGAGAACGCGCATGGCGTACTGCAAGAGGATTGGGTTGTTGTTGTACCTCGGCTGGAAGAGGTTCAGCGCTTCGACCGGCGGCAGAGCGTCCCAGATGAGGGCGTACTTGAGCTGTCCGCGGATAGCCGGGTCAAGCTTGTCGCCAATGAAATACGGCATAGCCTCGGCGACATCAAGCACCGCTCGCGGGTTGCCGCGAACGAGGCGCGTGATCTCGGCCCATACCGGCTGGTGCTTGAAGCGCTCGCCCATGTGCACAGCAACGGCAGGCGACTGCTTCCACGCCTTGCGGACGAGCGACGTCCACTCATCGTTGCCAACGCTGCCCTCGATGTTGCCACCTGCGTTGGGAATACTGCGACCCTTGTCGTTGCCAGGGTTGACCCAGACGTTGAGTCGATTGATCTCGTTCTCGACAAGAAGCTCCATGAGGCGCACACGGTCGCGGTGCTGGTTGCAGTAGTCCTGCAAGCTGGTAGAGCCCGTGAGGGTCCAGACAGGCTGGCGATCATTCATCGATGTGGTCCAGTGATCGGCACGGATGTGATCGTCGCGCACGGCCGCGATGAAGTCCTGCAGGAGCTTGATCTCGGCTCCTACCTGGATGCGGTTGGAGCCAAACGACCACTGCGGTCGAATGGCGAACCACGAGAACGCGGCACGGAAAAGCGCATCGCGGTAGCGCAGCTCCAGCAACGTCTCCATACGGCTCGAAGCGAGGACCTGGAAGCCGAACAGGAGGAGGGTGAAGCGCACCTCACGGGCGAGAGGGTGGGTGCTCCAGTGCTCGTATGCGTTGAGTGAGCGAAGAAGCATCCGCGCGAGGGAGATCATAATTCCCGACGCGCGGTACTTGACAGCCTGGAAACTGCTGGACAGCACCTGAATGAGGAGTAGGTGCGGCTTCAGGAGACGCTCAGCCTTCCTGAGCTCAACGTCCATGACCCTCTTGTCGGTGGGAGAGTACTCGATCGGCTTCTCGAAGGGATCGGTGTAGCTGGGGTCAGTTGATATCTAAACCCGCCACAACTCACTTCATGCTGGTGCTGAACATGCCCTTGTGAGCCTTGATAGTGGCCAGCCAGCCAGCCGAGATCTCGCCCATGAGGGAAACCTCAGCGTCGGGTCGCTGCCGCAGCAGCCACGACCAGGCGTCCACTCCCGCAGCAACCGCTACAGGAGTGAAAGCCGCGAACGGCAGCTCGACAAGATAGTGGAGGATATCGGGATCCATTTGCGGAGACGCAATCAGAACTGAGACAGCGCGGAGAAGCAATCTCCGGATTTCGACCACCGACAGGCCACCCTTCTTGTTGACACCGAGGATAGCTTTCTCCATCTGCTGCTTGAACGCCTGGCGCTCCTCCAGCGAGGACACCGCGCGCGAATGCTCTTCGAGATTACCAAGACCTGTTTTCGGTTAGCGAAGCACCGATCGTTAACCAACCTTTGTCAAGGACGAGACGCGCGCCACTGAGCTCTCCGTCGTAGTTAGTTCTTGGCCGCGAACTGGCTCGCAACGAGGTTTGAGTTGTCAGAGGGCCATCCGCCGATCATTGGCATGAGGCTCTCCTGGCGGTCGAGTCGGGAGATGGCCTTGCAGAAGTGCAGCGCGAGTCCGGCACCCATCTCAACACTATCGACGAGCAGGACGTCACGGGACTCGTTGAGGTACGACTGAAGCATGGACTGAACCTCGATCGGCGCGCGCGAGATCGCGTTCGTGAGCCACATCTCGGCAACATTGTAAAGGTTCGTCACGATCTCATTGCGGACAGAGTAGTCGTCGGTCAGTTCGAGCTGGAATGGCAACCGCTCGGAGCGGAAGTAGTGAGTGGGAGAGTACTGTGGTTAGCTACTTGCGGCCTACTAAGCTTACCTCGTCGGTGTACTGCATCTCGCAGCTGCGACGCATCAGAGTGAGGATCTCCAGAAGCGTGAAGACGACCCTGCGGTCGCACATGAGCGCCGTGAACGTCTTCAGAATAGAGCTGGCGTAGGCGAGGGCAACCTCGCGCACCTTCCTCATTCGGTGCGTGCATGCGATGAGGATCTTGCAGACCTGCTCCGGCACGGTGTTCGGCATGTTGTGCTCGACGACCTGCATGCTGAGTTGCTTGAGGAAGACGTTTGTCAGGCGGATCGCGATGCCCGTCAGAGGCGTCACGAGCACGCTCCTGTTGATCGAGTCGTTGCAGAAGTACTGCAGGATCGTCGACGGGCGGTAACGCAGTGTGCGCATCTCCTCGAGGTCGTTGATCGCGAGACAGAAGGCGAGCTGCGGCGTGCTCATGCCCCTGATGTCGGACTGGAACTTGCTCGGCACGACCTCGGTCAGCGTCGAACGCAGCTTGGAGTGAATCGAGTGCGCAAAGTCCTTGCGGAGGATCGTGTTGTACTCGAGCTCGCTACCAACGAAGTCGTTCGCCTTCTCCAGCACTAGCACGGGCGTCTTCTCGGCGATCGTCGCGAGCGCGGAAGCCTCGTGCTCAGAGAGCTGTGATCGCGATCCGCTGAGATTGAACACAACACACAGGAGCCAGAAGTTCCTGAAGAGGGCAACACACTCCTGCGACGGGTTCAGCTCGGGGTGATAGTCTGGATGGGACAAAACTTCCGCAATAGGCAGAAGCAGCGCCGCAAGCTGAGCCTTCATGTCGGCCGCACGCTTCTCGTTGTTCGATCGCAGGAGCGCCGTCTTTTTGTCCTTGTCGCGCCCGTCGTGCCCCTGCGCACCCATGTAGACGATCTGTGTCTGCGTTCCCTGATCGGCGAAATCGGTCAGCAGCTCCTGCAGGAAGCCATCGGCAGCCTGTAGCCGCGAGCCGAGGCCCTTCGCCAGCGTTGTCTGGGCAGCAAGCACGGCGTTCGAAGACAGTCGGGGGTCCTCCGGGTTGGACGATCGCGCAATCTGGGAGAAGGCACGGTAGACTTCCTGCAGATCCTCATCGTTCGCGTTAAGAGCGAGAGGAACGAGGCTTTGTACAATAGCCGATTCTGTCGAGATGTCAACGCCGCGCACTCGCTGCAGCAGCATCGAAATCGCGAGGTGGATGATCTGGGGTTAGCTATGCTAGAGGGCCTGTAAGCTCACGTCTTCACGTTGCGTATCCAAGGCCAATCTGGAGACAATCTCAACAGCATTGGTGGAGATAATCTTGCGCTGCTCATCCGTTCGCTTCCCTGACTGGAACGACTTGCCGTCTCCCATGCCCCCCATGCCACCTAGCGGCATGGAACGGATCGAGTTTTGCCCCGGTCCAATCGTTGTTCCGTGGTTTAACACGCCGAGCAACGAGTACAGCGTCGACGAGATGGCGTCATCGTTTGACGACATCTCGATGCACATGGCGAGACACGTTGATGCTGCAGCAATTGTCGGTGAGACCTCGCCTGCTGACGGCGACAACTCGCTCTCGAGTCCCGGCAGCGGCGACATGAAGAGTCGACGGAGATGGTGCGTCAGTGAGCTTCCGAGGCTCGGGTGGCTGCGGTTAGCGCGCTCAAAACACGCCAACATTACTCACTTGCGCACGACGATCGCCAGGCACACGAACGCCGCCTGCAACACTCGAGCGTCCGAGACCGTCGAGTTCTCGGACAGGATCAGCTTCAGGCGTGCCAGTTGGTCGCTCAGTCTGTCGTTCTGGTGCAGGCTGAGCAGGTTCAGCAGGTGCAGCACCGAGACGGTTAAGTAGACGTCTTCCTCGGACTGGATGTCGTTAATGCTGCTGTGCATCGTTGTTCGTCGGTCAACGACGCCGGTGCCGGCCGTGAAGCCTGATGGGTCGTGGTCGTTCAGCTCCTTCCACCAGTCCGTCGCCAGTTCGCTCGCGGCGTCAAGCGCCTGTTGTCCCTCGGGGAAAGAGTCGAGGTCAATCTCCCTCGCGGGCTCGGCGAGTAGCGACTTCGTCTGGTTCCTCCACACAGTCGACACTGTTCCCTCTTGGAAGGTCGCTTCCGGCTCGCTGGAGAAAGCCTCGTGCTCGACCTGCGGTGGCGGGAGCACGGCGGAGGCAAGGACGACATTGGCAATCTCGGTGACAAGCAAGGCGACTGCGCTCGGGCACGTGGGATACGGGGCCGTGTTGAAGACTGGGTGGTTGAACGCAGGCGTGTTGGGCGAGGCAGCCTCGCGGACGGCCTTGACGAGATTCGTTGGGGTGCCCAGCTGGATAACGGCGGACACGACGCGAGCAGTAACGGGGGTGGGGAGGGGTGGGAGAGGCACGTGCGAAAGAACCTGGTGCACGCAGGTGAGGATGGCGCCGGAGAAAACGAGGGCGGACGTCATGATCTGCTCGGCCGTCTCGAGGAGGTTCGCGATGCCCATGCCGACGTCGGCCCGCAGGCTGTCCTGGTGCATGGCATCCTTGGACCATCCGATCCAGAGGACCGCCTTGAGCAGCGACATCAGGAGGAGTGCCTGCTCGTTGGTGGCGCTGCCGGGAGCGTTGTCGCTCCCCGGCGCATTCACGACGTTGTCGGCGACATCTTGGCGTGTCGGGATGCCCTGGTGGATGAGGCCGGTGAGGAGGGCGCGCAGTCGCGGGAGGGAAGACGCAAGGTAGGGTGAGTCACTAGGGAGGGAAGAAACGTAGTGAGCAAACGCGATCGCATGGTTGATTTCGGCGTCGGTCTGCCCTACGTCAGCTTTCGCAATCGGGCACCCAAAAGCTCACCCAGTCGTCCTGCTCGTCCGTGTCGGTATACGGGAGGCCGTTGAGGATGAGGGCGAGGTCGTCGCTGTACTCGCTCTGTTCCGCAGCTCCTGAACTCTGAGCACTCTGCGCGATGTTGCCCGCGAGAGCGCTCAGAATGTGTTGATCGAGCGGCTCGTCGAGGCTGTGGACACGGGTTAGCCGGATTCGGAGGTGCGGGGCGTGGCGGTATGCTCACAAGTCCATAGCGAGAGCCTGTTCGGAGGTGGACGGTGCAGTCTGTTACGTCTGCGGGGCTCTGCGTGTGTGCTGTGGTGGCGGCGAGAAGTGGTTGGATGACGATGAGGACGGAAGCGTGTCCTTGATCCTAATTCTGGCTCTGGCTGGTCCTGCGTGCCGCCGTCAGTCGTAACCGAAATGCACCATACAGCCCAGCCTGCCCGGTATGGGGGACGCGGGCAGCCTGGCGCAGCATGCCTGGCGGCCTGGTGGCCTGGCACAGGCTAACGCGGGGCACGCAAGCACGCCAAGGCGTCTATTTGGACGCGGAACCAAATCTCTATTTGGCTTAAGGTGATCGTCACTCCAGCGTTCCGCCTTCACCAGGTGACCGCCGGCTTGCGGATTGCTTCTGCGGTACCGAAATGTTTATGGTGGCCATAGCCCAGACTGCAGACTGAATTGTGACGCCGTCGCCCCAACTTTTGCAACAAATACCACAAAAATGGCCTCGTCGAGTTCTAGTTCTTCCCAGGCCAACAGGCCGCCGACCGCCGGCAAGCCCGACCGCTTGTACGTCGGCAACCTCTCCCAGACCGTCGACGAGTACACCCTCCTCCAGGTCTTTGGCAAGTATGGCAAGATCACCCGCCTCGATGTCATGTACCACAAGACCGGGCCGCAGAAGGGCAAGCCGAGAGGATACGCCTTTGTCGAGTTTTCCAACAAAGACGTGAGCTACCTTTTTCCCTATCGAGCTGACGACAGGACGCCCTCAACGCTCTCGTGAAGCTGCACGACCGTCTGCTCCGGGGCAAGAAGCTGATCGTGACGTACGCCTCAGCAGCGCCAGCAGAGGACTTCCTCGGCCCGAAAGTGCGCCGCATAGATGCGCCAAAGCCAACGGCTCTGTCGCTCCTGAAGACGTCGAAGAAGCCGCAAAGGTGAGCTCGTCGATCTTGGTAACTGAGCTGACAGTACAGCGCAGCGCAGCAGATCGCGGCGATGGAGGCGAAATTGGCCCAGCTTCAGAAACGACCTGGCCGCTCGCCATCTCCGCCGAGACAAATCACCGCAACGGAGGCGGCGGATGCGGCGAATGCGCTCGAGGCAGAGATCCAGCGGGAGCTGCTGGCTGGAGACGGCGCGACGTCCGGGTCCTCGACGCCGGCAAAGGAGGAGCGGACATCTCGCTCGGCCTCGCCGCGAAAGCCCTCCGAGCCCTCTGACCGAGAGCGTGAGCGTGAGCGAGCGAGGGGGCTTGCGTCTCTGCCGCCGAAACCCGTGTGATAGACAAGTGTTGTAATTCGAAACTGTATGTAACATGGCATCTAGAATGTACACTAGTCCTGTCTCCTCCGCCCTTGCCTCCTCCGGAGATCGGATTATATCATGGTCCTCCGCGGGCGTATGACGCGCCCTCATCGCGCTCATTGATCATGTCAACAATACCGCGCACCCCGGCGAGCTTGTTCGGATCGAGGCGCCACATCTCCCCCGTGCCGAAGCCGAGCAGATGTCCGCGCGCGAGCATGGGGTCGATCGGGGGTTTGACCGCGCCTCCGGACGAGAGGTGCGCCTCGTTAAACAGCCCGTATCGGTGGTAGAGCTCGTCGAGCGAGGCGGGGTTGATGCCACTTCCGGGCAGGAGCTTGAGCTTGTACCCCTTCTGGCGGATGTAGGTCGTGAGCTGCTCGAGTTCCTCGAGACCCTCGAGGGCTGTCCGCGCGTGGCCCGAGGTGAGAATGCGCGTGATGCCCGGCACGGAGGCGACGGCGTCGCATGCCCGGCGCCAGTCCGAGGTCACGTCGAAGGCGCGGTGGTACGTTACTGCCTGTCAGCTATCGTCCGGGTAGTAAAGCTTGGAGATAAGGATGGAAGAATGACACGCACCCTCCAGCGGCCGGGCCGCCTGCACCAGGCGCTCGCACGCGGCCGTGTCCACCTCCCCATCCTGGGTCAGACACCCGAATACGACGCCGTACGCTCCCTCGTCCTTCGCGGCCAGGATGTCCGCAAGCATGACATCGAGCTCGTTGTCGCTGTAGACGAATGAGCCTGGGCGAGGCCGGATCATGATCTGCAGTTAGCTCCGCACACGACCTGACAATCCTTTCGCCCCCTCTCGCCCCCGCATCACGCGCATCGACCCGCATCGTCCGCGAATGAACCCGCATCGACTACGACGACGCAGCGCGCAGCTCCTACAGCGCAGCGGGTACACTCACCATCAGTTTCAGCCACGGAAACCGCTCGCGCAGTACGCGGATCAGGCCCACACTCGGCGTGATACCTCCGCCTGGTCGTCAGCAATGTCCTCCTGGAGCGGTCTGGGAGGGCCGCGGCGCGGCCGGGAGGACTCACTCGACAGCAGATTCGCGCACACCTCGAGTCTATCGCCTGGTCGCAGGTGTCGCGAGGCCCTAGATGTCAGTTTCCAGCATGCAAGCAGATGAACTTACGCGACGGCCGCGTCCAGAGAGTCCACGCATACTTCGAGGTGGAACATGGATGACGGTCAGTTGTGATTCAGATTCGACCCGTTTAACCGACCTTTGGTCGTCCGCACGGTGACTCCGCGGGACCTTGGCGGGCAGTCGCACAAGGCCGAGAGCCCGCACCCGGGACCGGATGTTGCGCCCGTCCATGAATTCGATCGCTCTCCACCTCCACCTCATTTCACCCCGCCATACCAACACGTTGAATACGACTACGGAACGGCGCTGAATACATGGCATGGGTACAGAGGTAGATACAACGGAGCATACTTATACACAGGCTTTACCTGACTTGCGAGAGGAAGTCGCCGAAGCGGTGCACGCACTCGCCGCCGGACGTGACCATCTCAAGCGCGTGGGTGATCGTGTCGCGGAACGGGCGACGGGTATGCGAGTCGATAGCCTCGAACGGGACCTTGGCGAGGGCCTCCTTCACTGCAGGAGTTGTGTTCTCGATGAGCTGGCGGACCTCCTCAATGACCTGGGTTGCGGTCGTGAACTCTGCCGAATGGTCCCGGACGCAGCTCTGCCCGTGCCGGTTCAGGCGCGCGAGGAGGTCGCGGGGGATGCTGGTGCGGAGCTTGGCGTTCTCCCGCTCGAGCTTCTTAAGCTCCCTCCCGAGGCCGGTGCGGTGATTCAAGATCGCCCTCACGTCCTCGGGTGCAAAGGACAGCTGGTTGAACCCGTTGATGAACAGGCCGTTCTTCGCCTTCACCATTGCGACGACCTCCTCGATGTCCCAGAAGTACCCGTCCGAGGTCACGAGCAGGTTCCCGCTTGCGGTCACCTCGTCGAGCGTGCTCTGGAACGCGATCGTCTTCTCGTTCTTGTACCGCTTGGGCACGACTTCGGCGGCCGTGACGTTCGGAATCGCATTCGCGGACGAGTACACGAAGAGGTAACGGAGCATGACGCAGCTCTCGTCGCTGGCAACGATGATCGTATCATGCAAGTGCTTGTGCACGCGGGACGAGCTTGCGACCTCAACGAGAGCGAGACAGACCGGGTTCGCTCCCAACTCGCTGTTCAGCCACGAAAAGGACGAAGGAGCTTTCGAAGCTGCCGCAGTCCCGGTAGTGAAAGCTGTCGGCATCGCAAAAGCGTTCCCCAGTCGGCCGTATACATAGGACTTGGACACATTCGACTGCGTAGAGAGGTAGATGCCCTCGCCGTACGCTGCACCCGCGGACATCAGGGGCGTCCTCGACGCGTTTTTCAAGTTCTGGCGCAGGATGTTGTGCCAGTTGCTCATGCTGCTGCCGTGGAAAGCGTAAAAGCTCCCGTGGGCGGCCTTGAGCGCTTCAAACTTCTCGGCGTGGGCGCGAGTCGACGTCTCGATCTGGAATTGGCGCATGGTGGAGTCCTCAATAGTAGAGGCCATCTTTGGGAAGTAGTCCTCCTCCGGCATCGAGGTAATGTGGGCGCGGTTGGTGGCGAAGATCCAGCTCACCAGGGGGACGGTGTGCGGAGAGAGCTCCAGCAATTTCTCCTTGCGCTTGGCGCCCATCTCGAGCACTTCCTGCGCCTTGGGCACGAGGTTCACCACCTGCATAAGCTCGTCGCCGGTGTACGGCTGCCCGCTGAGTCCGTTGAGGGGGAACTTGATTGGCGAGACAGTGAGGCGGTACGAGTCCAGGCACGCAGAGACGGCGAGGGTGAGGAGCAGATCGGCCACTTCGGGGTCCATTTCAAACTGAGCCAGGCTGGAGCCAATGCCCATTTCCTCCAGTTGGAAGGAACAGAACGACTGATCACAGACCGTGGGCTTGAGACCTGGGAATGGCAGAGCAGCGTCACACATTAGGCAGTGGTTGCCAGAGTTGGCGAGACGGTCGGCGAGCAACTCGGCCAGCGCGGACAGGAAGCCTTCCCCCCTCTTCTCCCACCTCTGCACGAGGTAATTTTGGGCCACTTTGCAGAGTTGAAGGCCGATAATGAAGTCGCGGCAGATGCGCTCGGTGGTCGTGACGGACTCCTCATGCTGAACCTTCACCACAGGCAATGGGGAGGTGCGACGGTATCCCCCATGGACAGAGAGGCGGACGGTGATAGGCTTGAGGCTAGTGAGGCCACTCACTGCGCGGGCAATGTCGGACAACTCGTCGAGGGGGAGGACGACCTCTATGCTGTTGGCCACCTGCTGTACGACCAGGCGAGTGTGGGCCAAGAGAGCCTTTGCCTCTTCGATGTCCTCATCAAGCATCGCCTGCCCTAGGACAGCCAAGCTATTGTCTTCTGCGTCTTCCAGTGTCAGGTCATCGCCATGGTCGAGGAAGTCGCCGGCGTCGTCGTCTGCAGGATCGCTGTCGTAGAGGTCGAGCCCGTTCACATCATCATCTTCAGAGCTTGGGGCGGCGAAGGGATCCGTGTCCGAGCCATCCTCCCAGGTGATGAGGTCGTCGGTAGGCTCATCCATGATCTTGATGGGATTGCTGGCTGACCCCCTGGAGATGTCGTGAGAAGAGTCCAATGTCAAGTTCCGCTGATGAGAACGCTTGGAGCGCTTCGCAGGCGGCTGTGAATCGCTCATTGCGACAAAGGAAGATCAATGATGGAGATGTGTGGGGTTGGAACTTGAAGGTGGCCACGACGACTGTGAGTGCGAGAAAGGAGGGCAGGGGGCGGAGGGGCGCATGTCTGGGAGGATGTTAGCGCTGCACACGTCAGTTGAGTCAGGCGACGACGATCTGTCGGCTGTCGCCCGGTAGGCGCACTAACTGGGCTGCTCTGCCGCTCCTCGACTGCGGATTGTGCCTCCCGCATTGAAGTACAGCTGAATACTTGTCATATTCTTCTGGACAGCTCAGCATTGTTGTACGTCAAGCTGAAGCTAGGTAGCTCAGCGCTTCAGTGGGTGGTGTCCTCTCGCCAGCGTTCCATCGAAACCGTAGACTTGAATCCTTTATCGTAATCTCGCCCGCCTATCTCCTCCGAGATCCAGCCATACTTCCTGGCAACCCCGGATCGTTCAGCACTCTGTGTCCCTTCATATGAAGTCGTCTCGGTCTGAGAGGAAAGGATCGATGCTCCGGCCGTCAATGAAGGGCTGTTCGACCTGCTGTTGCTATCAAAGATGCAAAATTATTCTTGTCCCTCTATATATCCGCTTTTGTATGTGTCGACGGCATTGTTCGAAGTATGGAAGTGGACGAGCATCAGGTCGTGCTGATAATTCTGGCTGTCTTGTCCTCCTTGTGCCACTCCTCGACGCCTTGTGAGTCTTCGCGTTCAAGGTTGGAACCTCAACTCTGATTTGAGGACGGGTAAATCGCACACCAATGACATCAGGTCACGCCTGGTCCGCAGTTTCGACTGACACCCAGGCCCCACTCACTGTTAGGGGGCACGCTGACTCGCAGCAACCGCTGCACGAGGGTGCACGCAGACACGCACGACACGTTGACACTGCATGCACCACCGCCGCAACAACGGTAACGCAGCCCGGTCTGATTCAGATGTCGCCGCGGGTTTCCGAAGGGGCTGCTGCACTTCTCTGTCAGCAGCCGAGCCTAGTACGACGACGCTAAGCGCTAAGTTTGAACGACTGCAGGAGTGACTGACCAGTCGCGTGCCTCGGAAGACCTGGAACGCCTCACCGGATCAGGTGGTGGCCCAGGCTGAACGCGGTTGAACGCGGAGCCTGGCGGAGTGGAGATTCCAGCCCTCGGCGTCTCTAGCGATCGACGCACTTTGGTTCCGGCTATTCGGTGTACTGCACCTCCCAACGTCACATCCGCCTGTCCATCGCCATCTCTTCACTTCTAACCCTCCAACAACATTTGCGATGTCTGCCCCCATGGCCAGCCCAGGCCGTGGAGGCCGTCTCGCATCGAATGGTCACTTGTCTTCTTCATCTTCGAGACCTGGGCCCTCCACGCACCCGCAAGCAATGGCCTTCGACGACGGGGAAGGCGATATCTCATTGTCTCGGTCCGGCTCCCACTCGACTCTCGCCAGCTACGCCGCCCTCGGTCAAAGCCAGAACCGGCGAGCCAGCCCTGCCCTTCCGTCATCTCCAGCTTGCAGAGACGTGACTTCGCCTGTTCCGCAACGAATGCTCCAGAAACGCTGGTCAGCGAGCCTTGGAGCCAGTGCGCACCAGCAACGCACTGCCTCCGCTACACTGCCGGACCCAACCAATGGTGACTCCCCGAGCTTTGGACCCCGAAATAGCACGTCTACTGGTCCATCGCCAGCGCCGTCTCTCAATGCGCCCGCAGTGCACAGCAAAAACGCTCCGCACAATGGGGCTGGTAGTGCTCCAGCCACCGGGCGTAGGGGGATCACGCGATCACATTCTCTGAACGTCCGGATACCGAGCGTCGATCTCTCTACGAAAGACGAGTTCAAGTCGGCATCTAGTGCGACGGCAGCGCAATCGCCGGATACCTGGGAGGACGACCGGCCGAACAGCGACAGCGCGGAGACGGAGAAGCCGCTACCGTCTCCACGACCACCGCCGTTAGTGGACGACAAGACGGCAGCTGCAATGAGCCGTTGGGTCAAGGAGGTCGTGGTGTGCAACTTTGACCTTGAGAGAGGGCCAGTCGTCGAGCGAAGAGCGGTCGGACGGCGTTGGGGCCCAGGAGAGAAAGAGAATGTGTGAGTTCAGCGTGCGATCTCGGACCCTGGCTGACGTCAAGTGCGTTCTCGAGCTTCCCCGACACATCGCTCTTCAACGAGGGGAGTATCCAGTTCTCCTTCAAAATTCGCGAGCTCCAGCCAGATCCGTCGTCTTTAGCTCTTCCGGAACCTCCGTCTCCGGTAGTCGGCACTTCCGCCCTGCCCATGGCGGAGGGCACGAAGAGGGCGAAAGCCGAGGAGTATCGTGCTTGGAATGAGCGTGGTCGAGAATGGCTCTACGGATTCGTCTGGTTTCAGCAGCGGCGGGATCGGGGGATCGCACGAGGCTATATGCAGGTGAGAAGGTTCCGTTTAGAGCGTACTGACCCCGCAGAAATCAGTCGTGATTCTCACTCACCTCCCCTTCCCAAAGCTCTTCGCCAGCGTTCTGGACCATGTTGCTCCCAGCTTCTTCAAGTATGGATACTCCGCCCTTGAAGTGGCGTGCCATGCTTTCGCGAGCTGGCCCGATCCCACGCCGGATACAACCCTGACCCTGCCGCTCCTGTCCAACGTGATCGAGGCAAAGCTGCCCGATAAGATTAACAGCCCTCAGGTCGCCCCTAACAGCGATATCGTAGGTTCTTGCGCTGCGGCAATTGATTGACGCCAGATCCTCGCATCCGTGCCTTCCTCCACGCCACTGCGCGCCTTTGCGGCCTTCCTCCCGTCGCTATGGTCGTTGTGGGAGTGCTTAGTCTTGGCTGAGCCCGTCCTTGTCATTGCGCCGGACCCACGCACATGCTCTGAAATTGTGTGGTGGCTGCGCGAGCTCATCCGACCCATTCCCTTGGCGGGCGATTTCCGGCCGTACCTCCACATTCATGATCATGACTTCAGCCTCCTCGTCAACAGCAACAAGCCCCAACCTGGAGTTGTTGTTGGTGTAACTGTGAGCTGCTTAGGTACCGCGTGCAGCTAATGACAGAATCCTTTCTTCCGTAACGCCGCATCTCACTGGCCGAACGTCATCTCGATTCCTGGCGACAGCCGTCCGAGTCCAATCGTTCCGCGCAGCGCAAAGACCCCGACCACACCGAGTACGGCCCAGCCTCCCAAGGGCTTCATATCGAAACGCCACAGAAGTATTTCGAAGGACCGTGTTCTGCTGAAGAAGCTGGAAGCTCTAGTGACTGCTGGCCGGTTAGACGACCCGGAAGGCAACGAGGCTCTCCGGATGCACTTCCAGCAGCTCACGGAGCGATTCCTGGCACCGTTGAACCGGTACTTCCAAACTCTGGTTCCTCATAGGACGACAAAGGGCCTCTCGATCCCGTCGGACGGCTCGCAGCTGATGCCACCGCCCCCGCCTGCGCTATCGGTGTCAGCGCTGAAGCCGTTTTCGCTGCCGACGTTTTTAGCACACTTGAAAGCGCACGGGCCGAATCCATTGGCGTTCAAGACTAGAGGTCTGCAGTCCAAGGCCCGAGTGGAGTCCGACTTCTATGCGTCCTTCTGCATGTCTCCGACCTTTGCGGGGTGGCTTCAGCAGCGAGTCGAGAGTCTGGGCATCGCAGTCGCGAATGCGAGCGGCGCATCTGCGACGATTGGGTATCAGGGAGGGAGCAGCCCGGGTGTGTCACCTACGGGAATGCACCACTTGAGCCCCGTGCCCAGTAGCGTGGACACGCGGTCGAGCCAGGACACGGGCGAAGACGAGGACGCATTCAGCACGAGCAAGCTGAAACAGTCGCTTCCGAACCCGCAAGACATCCATCACACCCGATAGTAGTGTTGTACCATCAAAATCACACCATAGAACATTTTGCATGTTTGTCTTGTATCTCGAACTCTTGCTGTGGATGGAGAATGGGCGTTTGCACTGTGCCCAGAGGACGGTCCGGGTGTCTTGGCTCCTCACGTGGTGGCTGATAAGAGCAGTCCTGAGTGATGGAGAAGGAAGGCAGAGTGTGGGGCACGGATGCGTCAGCGGGGCGCCCACCTTTGCACCCTGTGCGGCATGAGGATTGAGGAAACGGAGATTGGAAGGATGGGCGCTGGGCGCTGGGTGTGTGTTATGGTCACTGTCTCAGCCGCAGTGCGCCAGGGCATTGACTGGGCCGAGCAAGGGAAGCATGGGCGACATGTGGACGGAATGGGTCCAAGCCCGGGTATTCAATTTCCATGGCCACCCCGCATGCGTCTGTTGTTTCCTTCGGTCAGCCGGGGTAAAACTGAATACGACCGGAAGTTGCGGGGGACGTGAGTGGGGCTTTCACCACCCAGGGCCAAGGATGCAGGATGCAAGGATGCGCCAGGAAAGACAAAGACCGCAGCGCAGGTCACAGAGGTCACAGCTGGGCCCCGACGATGGTGGCGTCCTGATTCATGTTCGGGCCAGGGTTTGCGTGCTCCTCAGTGACTGGGGAATGGGACATGCCCTCCGGGCAACTGGCCCACAACTTGGCCCAACTGGGCCCAACTGGGCCCTCGGGGTCACTTGATCAGAAACGCACGGTGATGACTTTCCGTTATGGCATGCTTCCTCGAGGTCCGCAAGCCCGCAAGGATGCTCCTGCTGCTCCTGGATGTCTTGCGAGCAAAGAGCAGCGGATACAGCGGCGTACACGGGTCATATAACGTCGCAGCGCGACACGGTGCACACCCGGTTCTCCCCCTCACGTTCATTCATCTCATCACTACTTCTTCACCTTACTTCACCACAGCTGTTGTTCCCCCCCGCCGCCCTGGACGTTCGCCCCATCTAACCGCTGACCCGCTCGAAACACCCATCATGTCCAAAGAGGGCATTACTCACTACGAGGGGTACTCGCCATACACCTTCGAGGACCCCCACAGCCCGGTCGAGAAGCACCGCCCGCTGGCCGAGAACGGCCTCGACGGCGCCGTCACGAACGAGAATGAGCTCAACCAGGGTTTCTCTTGTGCGTTTCCTTGTTACTTTAGAGCCAGCTGACAAGCCAGTGCCGTCCCTTCTCGCAGTCGCGCTCATGCTCGGTGGAGCATGGGCAAACTTGTTCAACACGCTTTCCACCACAATCGTGTTCGGCGGGGTGTGTTCACTGTCCTTGCAATGCTGACTCCAACAGTCCGTCATGCTCCTCTATGGTCTCTGGGTGACCTTCTTCGGCATGTTCGCCATCTACTTGACTGTGAGTTTTGAGTTTTGCCCGCGGAGCCGATGTATGCGGCGGACTCGGTGTATGGAGTGCGGCAAGCGTGCGGCGTGCATGCTCCGTCGGAGCCTGACCCGGGGATGGCCGGTTATTTCGAGCATGATGATGCGATCGCAAGCTCGGCCAAGCTGGGAGGCCGGTGGAAGCTCCAATGACCGGAATTCATAGGCAAACCTTAATGACCCTCATGTTGCGTAAGACACTGACGGGCAGCTCGCCGAGTTCACGTCTAGCTGGCCGACATCGTCTGGGCCGCAGGAGTGGGCGTTCCAGCTCTTCCCGCGCAAGATGAAGCGCGCCGGGTCGTACTTTGTCGCCTGGTCGCTGTCGTGTCTCTACCTCTTTGCCACGATGGCGAGCACGGTCATTGTGTCCAAGCAGATTGCTGGTTTGGCCGCGTACCGCGACCCGACCTACGTCCCTGAGGCGGTTCATGTCTGGGCCATCAATGTCGGCATTCTCTTCGTGTGCGCGCTCATCAACCTCTTTGGCATCCGCGCAATGCACTCTATTCAGACTTTCTCGCTGTGCTGGTTCATCTGTGGCTTTTTCGTGTGGCTCATCGTACCCCTCGTCAAGGCCAAGAACACCGTGGGCTACACCCCCGCCAAGGAGGTGTTCACCAACAATGACCTCAACCTCTCTGGCTGGAGCAACTTTATCGCGTTCATGATCGGGACCGCAGGCGTTAGTGCCGGCTACGGTATCCCTGATGCAGTGACGCACATTGCAGAGGAGACGAAGCGCCCCGAAGTTGACCTCCCCAAGATCATGATCATGTCGCCCCTCATCTCCCTCGTCACCGCGACGGGCATGTGCCTTGCTTTCCTCTTCTGCAACGTGCCCCAGATCACCATGGCGCTCTCGCCCACCGGCGTCCCCTTCATCGACTTCCTCGACGCCACCGTTGGCAACCGCGCTGGCGTGACGGTCATGGTCGTCATTCTGATCTATGCCCAGTTCGTCGCCTGTCTCGAGTGCCAGCTCGCCTCCTCGCGTACCCTCTTCACCTTTGCGCGCGAGGGCGGCGCCTTCTTCCCCTCCATCCTGGGCCGCGTCAACCTCACCCTCCAGGTTCCCGTCTGGACGGTCCTCTTCAACTTTGTCTTCTGTGCCGCCCTGACGCTGCTTCTCCTCGGCTCCGAGACCGCGCTCAACGTCTTCCTCAACTGCTCCGGAACCCTCGCGCTGTGCACTTACGGCCCCCTCTTCATTGCCAGCATTGCGTCCCGCCGCAGGTTCTTCAAGGGCCCCTTCTCCCTCGGCCGGTGGGGATTCTTCATCAACATCACCGCCCTCGTCTACCTCGTCTTTGTCGTCATCTTCTGGTTCTTCCCGTACATGAAGGCATGGAAGGGGGACAACAGCATGTTCAGTGAGTACTGCCTGGAGCGAGCCGCAGGCGAGCGCAGGCCGAGGCGTCTATTGCTTCTCGCCCCATCTCATCAGATTCGGAGCTCTAGCTAACGCACACAGACTACAACATCGCCATCGTGCCCGGTGTCATGCTCCTGGGCTTGCTCGCCTGGTTCGCGAGCGGCCGCAGGACGTACCTGACGCACCGCACGCTGATCTAATAATCCTAAATCATAGCCATAGCCATAGCCATCACAAAGCCGGTCTTCCTTTCTTTTTTCTTCTTAGCTTCCATAGTAAACAATCAAAGTACACTCTCGGTACCACGTACGAAATGTAATCTAATAATATGGTCCGGGCTGGCTGCTCAGTCTTAGCCTAGCCTCACTCCGATACGAGTCTGTTCCACCTTTTCTTACAGTGCGTGTCTTGATGGGCTAGCGGCTATCCTGTCGCTCTGCGAGGATGAATCAATGGGGAGTGGAGGGGAAAGGTAGCGGGGTTCCGCTCGCGGCTCGGGGTCTCCGCCGAGAAACCCTGTCCTCCCGCACGCAATCGATAAGGGTTACTCGTTTAGAGTTGCAGGTTCGGGTGCGGTTGGCGTGTTCTGTGCCTTTTGCGTTCTATTCTTGCCCCATTCTTGCTTGTCCGCAAGCTACGTTTGCCATTCGCCGGAGGACGTCAAACTCCGCCCACCACTCGGACTCTGGCGGGAATCCCGGCACACATTGCACACCTGCACACCGGGGTACATCGCGGGCGCCTTTCACTTCTCTAGGCACCGACCACCCTTGTGCTTCTAGGTACGCAATGACTAACATTACGACTTGCCTGTAATTAACAAGGCACCCACCACTTTTCCACTTTCGAACAACGGCATCGTCCTCTCCCTACCCTAAAGCTGGCTGGTCAAACCGCGCTCCTGTGTGTCGGGGTGATAATCTCATGTCAGACAGAGAAACAGAGGTTTGGCGGAGACCTGAGACCCGCGTCAGTCTCACTTCCCTCCTTGTTACGACTGTCCGCCCAGAATTCCGGAAGGTGTGCGGAAAGCCCAGGCACAGCGGACAGCGGCCTTCGATTGGTTTCACGTGTCCACCCTTGGTCTTACACGTACTCCGATGAGCGTAATCCGCCTTCGACCGGACATGCGGAAACTTGCGGCCATGCCGTCGATGGCCGCCTGTTACCCCTTCCCTCGCTCATCTCGTAGGGGGAAGAGCGGGATCAAAATCCAGACTACTGTCAATTTCAGAATGATCACTACACCCTGACATTTCTTAATCGACCCCAATGTTAAGATTAGACACTACACGCCCGCTGTGACCCGTGACAGAACGCTACACTGATTAGAATTTTCTAATCAGATTAGAAAATCGCCGATTAGGAACTTGTTTGGGAGGTAGATACACCCCCTCTGTGACCCGTGACATAGGACTACAGCAGGGCTGTGACCCGTGACAGGGTGTAGTGATCATACTGAATTTTACAGTATGCCCCTGCGCCCTCGATAAGATAAGAATTGAAAAATTTGATTCCGCTAAAATTTCGGTGGAGCAAAGGTGCAAATTTCTACCGCCCACCAAAACGACAGCCGGAAGTCGCTCTCGATGTAACTCGGTCGATTTTGGGGTTGGCGATGCAAAAGAACGCAAAAAAGAGAGGTCACGACGGGGATCGAACCCGCAATCTCCTGATTGACGCAATCGTAGTCAGACGCCTTGCCATTGGGCCACGCGACCTTGGATGTTGGAGAGATTGTTGAGTGGTTCTGTACCGTCGGGCTTGAACTCAATTGCGGGAACGGTGGGGTGGGATGCGGGCTTGTGAGTTCTTGGACACTGTTGACCGAGGTGGAGAGTGAGAGAGGGGATGAAAGAGGGTAATGAGTGAGTGGAAGTCGATGTTAGAGTCGCGGATGATGAACAGTGAGGAACCGACTCGCCGAATCGTCTGACTACCGCTGTAGACCAGGTCAGCAGGCTCACGCCCCGCTGATCACTGGCCTAGGCCTGCGCCAAGGCAGCAGACATAGTACTTCTTGCCAGCTCAACACTTCGTCTCAGCACAGTAGCTGCCATCATGCCGGATACGACGGCGCAAGACCACGGCCTCCTCGCCCCACCGACCGGTAAGCTGAAGGAGTCGTCCGTTAACTGACGCCCAGCTACCCAGCGGCCACTTACGCCTGTCCCATGCGAGACGTTCCACACCCCGGTGGCAACAGCAGCGGGCACTCCATATCCCTCCCCTCGCCCAGCCTCCGCACCTCTACCACCAGACGTCGAGCGCCTGCATGAAGTCTGGGCCGACCTGCGGTCCCTCCTCGATTCTGAACCTCCAAACACCGCTATTGAGTTCGCCAAGCGTGCCCAGAAGCTCTGGAGTATTGTTGTGCAGGGCCTAGAGACTGTGCAACGTAGTGACCCAGACGATGAAGAGCTGAAAGCCGTTCTGAGGGAGAGCAAAGGCCGTCAGCGGGTCGTCAAGAGCGCAGCGCTGGCTGCCACCTCAGCCGACATAGAGGAGAAGCTTAAGGCGTTCGCTGAGAGTGCAGAGAAGATCAGAGAGCTGGTGGACCCAAAGGTGCTCGAGCGTGGTCAGTAGGCCCTACCTGAATGCATGCACTTGACGACAGTTGCCTTCTAGCCTTGGACCTCACATTTTCCGGCAAACGTCGATATCAACCGACGTATGCAGACAGCGCGCCGAGCGCCGCACGCAGCCCGTACGCCTTCTGCACCAATACCTGGAAGTGCGCGTGGAGGCTCTGCAGCTGTGCCTGATGCACGGCAATTGGCGTGCGCACCATCGTAGTCCAACCACGCACCTGCTGTTCCTGACGGACAGCGGGTGGATAGCTGGCTTCGAACGCGGAAACGAACATATGGATGTGATTAACGCAGGCACCGAGTCGGGCCACGAGCGTTGCAATATCCCCATTACGAGAGGTCAGCGCCTCGACGCGGTTCAGGAGGCGCACACACTGACGAACGGCCAGGTCCTGGAGTTAGCTAACGACTGAGATGGGAGGAGCTGAGTAGTGAGGAACAAAAGGCCTGCAAGGGTGGGGACGTACGATCTGATATGCGGTCGAGGGATGAAGGACATGGTGCTGTGATCAGCTCGTACGGAGAGGCAGACAGCATACACGCTGGAGGACGAGGGTGAGGCGCTCAAGCTCGCCCGCCAGTTGGCTGGATTCGGTATTGATCTGATCGAAGGTGGTGCGTTCGCCCTACGGTTAGCTGGTAGCGGGGAGGCTCGTACGGAGTCGGCGCAGCGGTCGTTAAGGTAGGTCATCAGACCGTTGCCGCTGTTCATGGCGGCGGTGAGCTGGGTTTGGTTGCCGAGGTAGACGACGCTGGAGGAAGTCGACCCAGAGATGCGGGGATGACTGGACTCGCGGCTAGATCTTCTCGACATGTCGCTGGCGGAAAAGGGAATCTTGAGGTGCTGTTGGTGGTGAGAGCAATGTCGGAGGAAAACAACAGGTTTTGAAGAGCGTTGACGGATTTACTTGGAACAACGTGCCGCTCCAGTGTGCCAGCGCAGCAGCGCTCCGTACTCGCCCGCAGAGTGCAGTTGCTCACTCAGTGCGAGCGAACGACTGCGCAATTGTGTCCATCACAGCTCACGGTTTGTCTCCAGTAGGAGCGGAGCACGCCAGCCGAGGGGTGACGAGGACTGAGGAACGGTGTGGGAGGAGTGTGTGGCGCGTGTCGTGCGAAGCCCGCCGACTCCGCCACCTCGCACCCCCCTCCACGTTTCGCTTCTCCATCACTCCATCAGCGAGCACCCATCAGTGCCCGCTTTTCGGCCAGCTAATCCCAGATGCTTTCACAGTGTATCCATAGCATTCCTAATGCATTACACTGAACGAACGGGTTGATTAGGAATTGACAGTATTTACATCGAATTTTGGAATGATCATATACAGTACAACCTGAGAAACTAATGAGAGTGCGGTCCGCTCTTCGTGCGGCTGGAATAGGCATGCTAGCCGTTAATGATACTGTGCAGGTATCCGGCAAAGTCGCGGTGAATACGGCCAAGCTTGGCCTGCATGTCCTGCATCTCGAGGATCTTGTCCTGAATCTCGCCATAGTGGGAGAGCGAAGCGCGGTCGAGGGGCCCCTCGATGGAGTCGAGGCGCGCAATGCAGTCCTCGATGGCTTGGCGAGCGGCGAGAATGTCGAGGGGAATCCTGCCAGTGTGTGAGGTGGTGAAAGCGTACTGGACGAGGAGGGCAGCGTTGCGGATGTAGGTGTCCGAGGGGCCAATCTGGGGTTAAACGTGCAGGTTCGATGATGACTTACGAAGCAGCCCAGAGCAGCTGCATAGAAGTCGTTGGGAATGTAGACAGCGTTGGAGAGCTGGAGTCAGCTTGCTATGGGTCGGCGCCTAAGCTCACCTGGCGGAGGGACGCCTTTTGCTCCTCGATCTCGTGCTCGAGGACGTCCAAGTTCTCCTCCTGAAGTCAGCATTACCAATACATCTGAAGCTCACGATTACTTCAGCCTTGGTCTTACAGTAGTCGTAGAGCCACATCAGCTCGCGCTGCTGGCGGTACATCTGGTTGAGTACCCAGAACATGGCTGCTGGTGAGGGGTGGGTGATGAGTGGTGGTGGACAGTGGAAGGACATGAACGTCGTGATGCACAGCACCTCGACTACCCCATTGACAGAGTGCAGGATGTGGGCCGCTGCTCGCAGCCTCGCACCTCTCGCACGACGGAGAGAGGCGCAAGTCTATGAGAAGCATCGTAAGTGTGCGTGAGTGTCGGGCAGTGCAGCACACAGTCTGTTCAGCCTATACATTCTGGGTATCTACAACGTGGGGTATCTCTCGGGTCTATTCGGGACGCTAGGGACTCTTAAGTACGGTCTACAAGGCAAAGTTGGGTGCCAGGCGGGCCAGGCGAGCCAGCTGGCTCTGAGTGTAACGGGCCTGGCGCTCGCGAGCGGCGCGGGCTGCCTTGCGGAGTTCGACAACGTGCTCGAAGTAGTTGAGTTCGGCAATGATACCGTCAAAGTATTCGAGGTACACGCGCATGCAGTAGATGCCGTGCAAAATGTCCAGAACCAAACTCACGACAGCCGGGCTGCTAAACTTGGCGTCGGGAGGGGGAAGCTTGGCCTCAAGCTTATCCTGGCGCTCGTGGAAAGTGGCACGGTACCGATGCAGACGGCCGGTCTCCCTGTTGATCCACTGGGAGACGAAGCCCTCAAATGCGGCCTCGTAGAGTTCAATGCTGGGCGGGTTCTGTGGTTAGTTCTAGGTACGCTCCTAGCAACTTACGTTCTGGTCGTAGGCCATGCACTCGACCTACAGATTGTCAGTGCGGGGTGGATAACTATGTCAGTGGCAACGTACCTCGAGGTGGCGCTCCCGAAGAATAGAGCAGATGAGGGGAATGTTCATCACCTTTTAGTGAGCGGTGCTCTGATGGAGGACTCACAAGTCTCTGCTGCTCGTTCTTGACCTCGCGAGCTAAAGCAGTGTAGAACTCAATCTCGGTCGGGACGTCGTATGGAGAGGGCTGGATATCGGTGGGCATGTTGATAATCCCTGGGTCGTAGTAGTTGAGAATGAAAGAGTTGAGGATTCAGAGAGATAGATGTTGGCGCGCACGAATATAAGTCCATCAGAGCAGCACACACAGAGGGTGACGAGGTTGGAGGAGCTCTTTGACTCCGCTGTGTGTGTCGATGTTGGTACGCGTCCGGAGAACAGCACACACCCAGCTGAGCCACCTTCCGACCCTCTTGGACTCATCCAGGTACCATGTGCGGCCAAATGCTGCATTTCTCTAGCATGAGTCGAAGTATCGGCCAGCCCGTCGCAGATTTAGCTTGTGTGGCTCTTACTCCTGTCAATTCGAAGGAAACTCTAGAAACCGCCACTGGCGGATCTCCCATCATGCATGCTGGCGTTGAGCTTGCAGAAAACACATTTCAGCACGATGACAGCGGGCTTTCGGAACAATGCACGGGCATCCTGCACTTGCTCGTCCACTTCGTGTAGCCTCGTGTGTCCAGTCTCAGGACCTGAGTCTCGGACCATCATTCCACAGCCTGTCCACATTTCGTTTTCAACTTTTATGGAGAGTCCCAGCCGCCAAAGATCGTACAGGATCATGACCACCAGTCATCCATGCATGTGAATTTGAGCATGTGTCGGAGGTTTTCTACTGCTTGACGTATGCAGCGGCGGCGGAGACAGTTGAGGAAACTGTTAGTGACTACGGGATCTGCATAAGAATGGCGGTCTGCATATGAAACACTCTGCGCAGCATCGCGGGCCTGCGCTGCCGACTATAGCAGCCGATGCAGGAACATTGGCTCAATAATACGCAATGGAGCACTAGCGTCTCCGTCTTTACGACTGTACCGCTTCCACCAGTCTGTCTCTAACACGGCCCTCCTGGTATCGCAAACTCTCGACAATTCTCTCGGCGTCATCGACGATGTCGACGAGTTCAGCGAGAATGTCGCGGAGCTCGGGGTGGTTGACGGGAAATTTGGTCTTGAAGTCGTTGAGGAGATCTTTCGATCGGGCCAGGTAGCGGTCGTACGCACGGATAGAGCGAGGTATCAAACCTCCGGGGCGCCGAACTTGCCTCCAGAGTGCCGCGTATACGATCATCTCGAATGACATCTTGAGGTCGTTGGGATTCTATTGGAGGTTAGCAATGGCGCCGCAAGAGTCTGCTTACCTTTGCTTTGGCCTTGACCTTAAGCTGAAGCTGAGGTTAGCGAATGGCTGGAGAAGTAGGGCGATACCGACGCGCGATAGGTGGGCATCCATCGCTCTGGTTTCGGCGGCGATAACGTTAACGCCACGAATCTGCAGAAACTGTCAGCAAGGGCCGATGCCGCATACTCACGGCGACTACACTCTCCAAATGAATGGTAGTGATGAGCTTCTTCAGCTCAACTGTTGCCTCTGAGATGAGGTCGATCTGAGGCTTATTGGTCGTTGGAGTGTTTGAACGAGTGGACATTGGGTAGCTCTTTGCGGCCGAAACGAGTGATATTGCGATTGAGAGATCACCTTCCTCCACCAGAAAGATAGGGCGTCGTGGCCGCCCGGTGCCCCGTCACTGCCGTTGGGGGGCGCAGCCGGGAGATTCGGGGCGCAGCTGACGGTGTTGCTTGCCATGTGTTCCGGGGTCAGTCATCGGGTCTGGCCCTCTCACTGCGGCCGACGCCACCCCGCTAGTGTCAGATCTCCATCGACTGGTAGTGGTACCGAGCACCGACTGATCGATTGCCCGTCACACCGTTGTTTCTGTGGCTACTCTCGCCCCTCCATCAGTAGTACACCTGACGCACCATCGACGCTGCTGCTTCTCGACCCTCAATCGACCACAACTATGCATGATTCCTAATTCTGAACGTCTCCCTTCTTTTGCAGCTTCTGGGGAACCTCCAGACCTTGTGGCTAGAGCCACTGGGCGTAAATGTCAATGACATACGCCCAGAGCTCCAGCCTCAGGTCCTCAAGCTCCTCCAGCATGCTCTCGATGTCGCGGATGTGGTCGATACACGCGCGCGCCACGCGGCGCTCGGCCCCGTGGGGAGTGCCAAAGGAGGTGAGAGCCTCCCCACAGACGACAATCGTGCCCGCAACCCCCTGCATAACGGCGGGGATGCAGCCCTGCGCAGAGGAGTAGGTCAGGTGGACCTCGTGCGCCGCGCAGATCAGGCGGTAGACGCCGACGGGCTGGGGTCAGCGGGCACACACTAGCACTAGTCGGAAAGCACGTATGGAGGTAGTACTGCTACGTGGACGGGATGAAGAAACTCACAGTGTAGTGCGCGTCTTCCTGGAGCTGGCGGAGGTGGGCCTCGCAGTCGGCCGCGGCCTGGTGGAGATACTCGAGCTCGAGGGTCTGGAGTCAGCTAGCAAGGGCTGCTGCAGCTCACAATGATGGCCTTGCGGATCTCGAGGAAGCTTAGAAGGGTCTCGAGACTAACAAGACGGCTGTTGCGGCGGTAGAGGTAGGTGTTGGTGGCGCGCATGGTGGTGGTTGATGGTGGATGAAGGGAAAGGCTCTGCGGATGGATGATGGAATGTAGAATGAGGGGTAGAGAATGAAGTATGAGGGACGAAGAGTGCAGGGGACGGGGAGGAAGGAGGGGAGGTCTCTTATGGGCAGCGGTGTGCTGGGAAGGGAGGGTGAGTGTGCTGCCGCTCGCCAACAGCTCGCACCGATGAGGACAGATGGTGCTGGACGCACACAGTCCGGTCGGCTGGGCGGCGGGTAGGGACGAGTAAAGCATCTCAAGCTGAAAGGGGTTGTGCATCAGCGTAGACCGCTACAACGTCCAACTCTTGCGGTGGTGATGCACTTCGTCCATACCGATGCGCATACGATCATCAGTACTGTCAGCACAGGCGTTGTTGCGATGTGCATCAGTGGTTCAGTGGCCTCAGGCACGGTGGTGCCACACCTTTTCAGTCTGCCTTCGGACGGCGGGCCCTTTGGACGGTGTGGGTTGCCAGTGCTCCGTATAAGCCATTAAAGACAGGGTTGCAAGGTAAGCTGAGCATGGCATACACATCTGGGTCTTCTGTGGCTCTCCCTTCAGCAGCTGCGCTCTCTCACCGTTCGATCTCCGATTCCCCTGTCGCACCTGCTCGACGTGCTGAGACATCATCGCGGCTGCGGTGGCTTTCAAGGTCTCCTTCATGCCGTCGAAAGTCGTTTTGAAGCTCTTAATTTCCTCAATCACAATCTTGATATCGCTGAGTAGGCTCTCATTCAGTTCGATTAACCCCTCGGGATTCGATGACACCTCGGGGAGTGCCGGAGCGTGCTTCAACCTCTCTGTGAAGTCTTCGACAGACGCTTCCAGGCTGGTAGCAGCGCGCGTGATCTTGCCATCTGGTTTGCGCGCCATACGCCATAAGAAAGCAAGGACAACGGTTTGAGCCGATTTCAGCACGTGGGCCGCCTGAGGTCAGCTAAGAACAGCAGCGATGTGCTAACGTGCTCATTATCGTCGGGCCGGGAGCGCATAAGTGCCGACAGCTGCAATCAGCTCATGTGCTGAGCAAGCACGACTCACAGCAGCAATCCGGTGTTCCATCGCGTTGATGTCGGGGACGAAAGACTCCTGCATCTGTTCCTGTTCATTAGTCGATTGTCGTCGACGAAGCGAAGCCACCTACTGCCAACCTCATCTTGGCAACCGCATCGGACGCTAGTGCGGACAGGTGCTTGAGCGTGGCTTTGACGGCCGCTACCTGCTCGGGCGAGAGTTGAGGCTTGTGGGACCTGGTCATGTGGTTGAGCAGACAAAAGTTGAAGTGAAGTGACAGAGTGAGCATCGTCAAGACCTGAATCGAAAGGACCTAGGGGCATTGAGTGAGTCTGAGAAACCGGACGGAGGCAGGCGCAGTGGACGATCGGCATGTACGCCCAGTTCCGCGATTGCTGTAGCTTCCCGTGCATCATAGGTGATCACCACTGCAAAAGCCCCGTGGTAGTGGGACTCGCCATTCAGGGATGCACTCCCTGTTGTGGTAAGCATCAGAGGTTGAGCTGCCATCGAAGTCCATCAACAAATACCAGGTACTGATGCTCCAGGTGCCACTGATTGGGGGGACAGTCTCAAAACCACAGTCAGCCCCCTCCTCGCATTGCCGCCGAACAGCTGCTAGCCGCCATTCACGGTGACAACAATGAACGTCAGGACAAGACCTACATGCATTATACAGTGTCTAACAGCCATACCTTCTATGCTGGACGAACTCTTCATGGAGCTTCCATTCACTGGCATCACTCTTGATTGACGCGCATCTCGGCTGGCCGAGTGAGAAACGAAACCCCTTCCGTCCCCAATATCTCCATAAGTGACTTCATTATCTCCAATGCCTCCTGGATGTTCTCCATATGACCCCTAATGGAAGCGCAGCTGCTCTCCATTCTCTGGTTGTCAATCTGAGAATATTGAGACATGTCGACACGAAGCGGGGGATGTTCCAGACGCTGGGCGTACTCGTCCAAGGCCGCTTCGAGCTTGGCCACCACACGCGTGACCTTTCCGCCCGGTGTACGGACCATACTCCAGCAAGTTGCGAGGATGATGGAGCGCGAAGAGATAGCTTTGTTGATTACCTGTCGTTAGTTCCACGGTCCTCGGGCTCATTAGATTTAGAGCTTACACTGTCAGAATCGCCGGTGGCGAGTACTTCGAGCGATCTCAGCTGAGGTCAGTTCTTCGGCAGAGCAAGGAACGCTTACACCGAGCAAGCTGTTCACCATTGTCAGCATGTCGTCCATGACGCATCGGGTCATGCGGCCCTGCATGTCAGTCGGACGATTCATGAGCCGGGACTTACTGCCGACTTTTTCATCGCCTCCGCGTCCGTCTCCAACGAAGTGAGGTGGTTGAGCAGGGCATCGAGGTCGTCCTTCGCCTTGGCAATCTTAGCCTGTGATCTGGTTGTCGGCGCCATGGTAAAGCCGGATTTCAGTAGCAAGAAGGAGCAAGGCAAACTGGTGGAGGGCTGTGTGTTGGGTGTATGGAGTAATGGCGACTGCGCGGTGTTGTGTGTAGGGTGGAGGGCTTGATCGAGATCCTCCGCAGGATCAGCGCTCTAGACTGCGACGCACACGTGCCGCCCTCAAACGCTCCTTCTTCGCCAGCTCTGAGACGGGTGCATCGTGGTCCATGTACAGCGTAATCATAGTTCAGCATGTCGAACCAGTCACCTCCCCGCGCCCTCCTCACTCTTGACACCACCACTGCTGTCCTCCGTCATCATCGCCTGGTTAATAATCTCCAGCGCATCCAGAATAGCCTCGACGTCGTCCTTGAATCCGCCCAAACTCCTCGCAAGCGTCCTGATGTGCCCAACCTTGATCTTAAGTTGTGAACACCTGAGCATCATCTCGGCGTGGTGTTGCAGCACCTCCGGGTCCGTCGACTCTGTATCCTGAGGACGAATCTTGTCGAGTCGTTCAGCCAGGACGGCAGCCCATGTGCGCAATTGTGCAATGGCGCGTGGGATTTTGCCCCCCGGTTCGCGGACGAGGAGCCACGCACTCGCGAGCACGACGCTGTGGATCGAGATCGCGGCGTGGTTGATCTGACGTCAGCGCTGTCGGTGTGGAACGGACTTGGTCGTGGTCGGCTACCTCTATCGGCGTGGACTGGGCGACCTGCTGTCAGTTCGGACTACAAACTGTTAACTCACAGTGCGCACCCTCGCTTGCATGGTGGTCATGTCGTCGCAGATCGACTCGTAGATGCGGTACTGAGATTAGAGAAGGAAGATAGGGCAACGAACAGCGGAGAGGAGCTTCTTCGCTACCTCGAGTCGGGCGGTGCTGAGGGCCTCCATGAGGGCTTTCGACTCGGTTGACTCGAATCTCACTCGCGACGCTGGTGATTCTGTCGGCGGGGTCATGGAAGCGAACGGCGGGTTATGGTATGGTGTACCAAGCAAAAGAGGTGTCAAGGTTATAAAGGAGTGGGAGGATGAGAAACGATGTGATCTTTGGCTGGAGGGCGCAGGACTGAGAGATCGAGGCTATTGATGTTGGGTGGAGGCATGTCTCATGCTGATCGCACCGGCGGATCCTTCAGGCCTCGAATCTGCCTCCAATGGCCATTGGTCTGACCCGCACGCCAGCACGGCATGATCACCGCCTGTCGTGCATGCGCTGAGACTCAATCAACCGCGAAGGAGCCTGAGGTGCATGTGAGTCGTGTCAGAAACAGGTTAGTCGACACTGAGGGCTTGCCTGTCTCACGGATGGACACCCACCTCCTGGTGCTTCCCACCCAGTGTTCTGTAATGCTATGCATTTATTGTCTGGTGATCTTCTATCTCGCTACGCCGCCTGCTTAACCCTTGTTGGGCTTGCCGGAGGAGTAGTCGTAGAAGCCGGCGCCAGACTTGCGGCCGAGCTTGCCCTGCTCGACGAGCTTGGCCATGAGGTCGGTCGGCTTGATGAGGTCGAGGGGAACGAGGCCCTCCTCAGCCTTGGTGATCCAGCCCTGGGCAATGAACTGGGTGGTGTCGAGACCGATGAAGTCGAGGAGCTCGAAGGGACCCATGGGGTAGCCGGCACCGAGCTTCATGGCAATGTCAATGTCCTCGGGGGTGGCGTCGCCGCGCTCAACCATACGGACAGCCTCGAGGAGGTAGGGGACGAGGAGACGGTTGACGATGAAGCCGGGCATGTCCTTGCACTTGACGGGGACCTTGCCGAGGCGCACGGACAGCTCGAGAAGGGTGTCGAAGACCTCCTGCGAGGTCTTGGGGGTGCGGACGACCTCAACGAGCTTCATGGCGGGGACGGCTGGAATGTCAGCGATGCAACCTATGCGGGGTCTCCACTGTGCAGCGGAGATGGAGGTGCTCCGCCGCGATCACCACCAAAGGTGTTCACTGATAGGGCATCTCCAGACAGGGCCGAGGTTTGTGGCTTGCAGTTGCCCACTCGGATGTGCCGAGGTGAGCCTCCACCGTTGCCGGTTGTTGATTTTCGGGTCTAGAAACGCGCGGAACTAGCACTCACGGTTGAAGAAGTGGAGACCGGCGAACTGAGTCTGGCGCTCCTCGGAGCACTTGAGGGCGATCTCGCCGATGGAAAGCGACGAGGTGTTCGAGGCAAAGATGGTGTCCTTCTTGGCCTTGGTGTCAAGGAAGGCGAAGAGGTCCTGCTTGACCTTGAGGTTCTCGAGAATAGCCTCGACGACGAGGTCAGTGTCGGCAACGGCAGCGCCAGCGTCGGTCGAGGTCGAGATGTTCTGGAGGACCTTGTTGGTGAAGCCCTCGATGTCGTCGGGCTGCTGCTTCTTGGCGACACGGGCAACCGACTTCTTGATGATGTTGATACCGTTCTCAAGCGCCTTGTCGGTCACGTCGGTAAGGGTGACCTTGAGGCCAGCCTGGGCCGAGACCTGGGCGATACCAGCACCCATGAGACCGGCACCGAAGACAGTGACGCGCTGCATGGAGTCGGCGCGCTGCTTGGCGTCATAAGCGACCGACGAGGTGGAGAGGGCGCGGGCGACGGTGTTGACGCGAGCGGCCGAGGCAAGCTGAGCCTGGGTGCGGAGGACGGAGCGGGCAGCAAGCATTTTGGGCCGGGTTTGTTGACAGAAGAGTAACAAGAAAGAAAAAGTCAGACTGGAGACAAGGCGAGTGGATCGCGGAGACGCCGGGCTGCTTGGCTCGGGCTGGGACTGGACAGCTGGGAATACAACCGTACCTTGACTTTGCTCCGTCACCGGCATCAGCTGGCCTCCACCGTCATCTCCACCGTAATGCTCACCCCAGAAGCCAGCGTCATAGGCTACGGCCGAACTCGGCTCGCTTATACTCAGTTACCGGACGAGCGGCCGTCGCTTAAGTGCCGCGTGTACTCAGCGTGGTAACTGCGTGCGTAAGGCATGGCTTCGGCGTGGCGTTGACGCGACTGTGAATCGATCACGTGAGTGAAACCAGGATCTGTGGATCCCAGCTTCGTCTGATACGGTGCACTAATGGAGTGGATATCCCAGATACGGCTCCTTCCTCATGAACGCCGAAGGGTCGTCGAACGGCGAACACGGACCCGGTGGCTTGCGACTTGATAACCTGGTCTGCTGACACTCGCTGGGCAGGAATGATAACGACGCCCGATGGCCCCTATCCACGATATTTGGTATTGGGTACGAGCTCGCTGTCGAATCCGCCGTCGGCGTCGTCCGGATGACATAGAATCACCAGAAAAGACATAGAGCAGGCGGCGTTCAACGTCTCGTGACCATCGGTCTATGTCTTTTTCTGCAGGGATCGACGTTCAAGCCGAGCCAGCCGAGCTGGCGTTCACGATTCTATGTCATCCACGTCGATCCTATGTCTTCTTATATGGTTCTATGTCATTTTTCCAGGCCCTATGTCATTCTGAGTGAGGTCTATGTCCTTTTATAAGACTCTATGTCATTTCGGTGAAGTCTATGTCATTTTGCGGAGGTCTATGTCATTTTGGACGACTCTATGTCATTTCACCGGATTCTATGTCATTTTGGCCAGGTCTATGTCATTCTGAAGCTGTGGTGGTGTGCTATATGTCATGCAGGACCCTAGATTCTATCCGATATGCAGCCTGATCGATGGTTTCGCCGCGGCAGGTGGGTGGGGGCCCACCAATGAGGACTGGCTGATGGCAAACGTACTCCGACGCGTGCTGGCAGCGAGCGAGTATTCCGGGATGCCCCGCATGAGCCCCCTACCAAGTGTCGAGGCTGCTGAGCAAGATAGCGCTGATTGTGGGCGGCACGCCAGGATTTCTCAGGAACGCGACCGCCGGATTCGTGGTTGTCGCCCAAAATCCCGGTCTTCACACGGCTTTTTATCGCAATCTCATTGGTGGATTGGGCCAATAGCCGACATCTGCCTATCGCAGATGGGCGCACCTGGCCGGCACCGGACATCTGCCGTGCATCACCCCCTTTGTCTGATCTGACCACCCAAGGTCCGGGGTGTGCACGCATATATATCCACTCCTCGAGCTCGTCGTCTTTTCCAACAACAACCACAACTCCCTCTTCCTCTCCTCACTCTCCACACCGCGACCAAACCAAAACCTTTTCCAACAATGTCTGACGGCCAGCCTGGTTACATCGAGTCCCACCGCTACGGTAAGCCGCGATAATCTCGGGGGTGGAGCTGACGAGCAGGCAAGGACCTCGTCAAGGTTCTCCGCGTCGTTCGCGAGAAGAAGAACGGAAAGGAGATTCACCACTGCATCGAGTACACTGTCCGCGCTCTGCTCGACGGTGCTATCACCACCTCCTACACCAAGGCGGACAACACTTGCGTCGTCACCACCGACACCTGCAAGAACACTGTCAACTACTACGCCAAGACCTCTCCCTACGTTCTCGATCCCGCCGCCTTCGCCCTGCACCTCGGCACGCACTTCGTCACCCGCTACGACCACATCACGCGCGCCTACATTGACCTGTACACGAAGAAGTGGTCGCGCATCCCCGTCGAGGGCCAGCCGCACAAGTGGGCCTTCGTCCACGATGGCGACGAGAAGCAGACCGTCTCGCTCGTCGTTGACGGCCGCGAGGGCAAGGACAAGCTCAAGGCCGACCTCAAGATGGGCCTGAAGGACCTCCTCGTCATGAAGACCTCGGGCTCGGCCTTCGAAAACTTCTACCAGGACGAGCTCACCACCCTTGCCCCCGTCGCCGACCGCATCTTCTCCACCTCGGTCACCACCGAGTACTCCGTCCCCCTCCCCGCCAACATCCCCCTCTCCATGAAGACTGTCGGTGACATTGCCGCCAAGCTCAACTTCCCCCGCATCTCCGCCACCGTCCTCAAGGACACTCTCGAGGTCTTCGCCACGGACGAGTCACCCTCGGTCCAGGCTACCCTCTACAACACCGCCCAGCGCGTCCTCACCCACTGCCCCGCCGTCCAGGACATCCGCTACTCCCTCCCCAACAAGCACTACATTGCCGTCAACCTCAACGCCTTCAAGCTCGACAACGGTCTCGGCTACGAGGGAGGTAAGTCTTTCTCTTCATCCCTTCCAGTACAGATGCTAACTTTCAAACAGGAGCGGAGGTGTTCTGGCCCGCATCTGACCCCTCTGGTCTCATCGAGGCCAAGATTGCGCGCAAGGAGAAGGCGAAGCTCTAATTTTGTACAGAGTTGTAAGGTTTACATGTCAGCAGTCACTCTTGGGCACCTACTTTGGCGGCAAAACCCCGGAGATTCCCGCAGCGCTAACGCCGCGCAGGTCAACGACCTGTGCATCCGACAGAGCAGTGCGCAAGCTCCCAGGATGCTTCTGGACAAGTGCGGAGATCTGGACGGGAGCGAGGAGGATGGGACTGACGGTGCCACTGACGACAGGTTGACCTCTGCCTGGGCCGCCGCACCCCTACCGCCCTTCGCGCAGCCGGCACACCTCGCGTGGTGGACAGTGCGGCGGCGTGCACCCCTGAGCATGCTGACGGCGGACTACGGTCCTCAACTTGACCTGAAAGCGCCGTGAGAAGTCGGTCACCTCCACTCAAGACGCGCTGACTGATCGCTGACGTCCCCCTTTGACGGTCGCTCACAGCAGGTCATTGTCTAAACCGTTTCCGACCAGCAGAGTGTGCATAAGCTTCTATCACACGGCCGCTCAGCGGTGCGTCTATTGATGCGCTGTTCATCCACCTCCCTTCTTTCTCCATGATCAGACTGGGTTTGTCCCATCAGACCTGATTGAGTTCTCCACCTTCGTCGCTTAATCTGTGCTCGCCAAGTCATGCAAACCCTTGATGGGCGGGCCACCGATCCTCCTCGCCAATTCCGCCAACCTGCGCTTGACAGCCTTCATGCGACCGTTCGCCGTCGCCTTCGCCTGCTTGTCGGTGTTCTCCTTCGCACGCCCCTTCTTCTTCGACTTTCGCTTCCTCGCTTTTCCTTTGCTTTCAGCGCCGTTTCCGCTTACATCGTCGGTCTTCGCGTCGGCAAGGAGAGCGTGACGAACAGCCCGGGCCTTCTTTCGAGCCCTGTTCCTCCGTTTGCGCTTCGATTTGAGGCAGGACCTGAAGGATTTAACGTCGATACGTTTGGCGAGGGCAGCGCCAATGCCGGGAAGGGCGGGAAGAGGGGTGTGTTCCCACCGAGGGCCGGCGCTAGATTTGGCGGACGCGGATGCCGAGGATCCTTGGACTGGCAGTGTGCCAGTCGACCACAGGGCAGCTCGCTCCCACCTCATTGTGGGGTGCGTTGCGGCGTGCGCGGTACCCGATTGAATGGCGTTGGGAACAGTCGCGGGGCTCTTGGCGTCGATATCTTCAAAGGTGAATGGATGGTGGTTCACGACGAGCGGGAACTCGTCCACCTCCATCGAGTCGTCTTCGTCGATCGACATTTCGTTTCGTTGTCGAGTACGCCTTGGACGCCTTGGAAGCGTGCTCGGCGAGGGTGAGTTGGTAAAGTTGCAGTTGTCAGTGGGAAAAGCGAGAGTGTGAGTCCACATCGGGATGGATTTATGTACCGCCCTCTTCTGCTGGAGGGATTGCGAGTGGCACATGACTGTCGTGGCCAAGATCGAGTGCGTGAGGTGCAGCCGAGCAAGCCGGAACGACGTGTTGGGGGCGCATGGGGGCACGCAGCGTGTGGGCGCGAATCAAGTGCGACGTCCTGTCGATCACGTCGCAACCCGCTCGCCTCGTCACACCCATGCCAAGTGACGAGCTTCGCACTTGCTACCCTTTCTCACTCGTACTGTCACCTATCACTCGACATGGACGCCTTCAAGATTCCGGAGTCGTTCACCGAGGACGACGACCAGCGCTTCCTCAATGACACCGACCTCCAACCTGCCCTTGACTTCGTCTTCTACACCAGCAAGATTCTGAAGGAGAACGAGGGGTTTCTCGTGGGCTGAACCAGTGATTTTCTTAGCTGACAAACAGGGCCACGACTGGGCCGCAATCATGGACGATCGCGCGAACGGACGAGAGAATGCGCCTCGTGAGCTACCGAGTGCCCTGAGAGCTGACAGCAGTACTCAGCCCCCGGAGGCGCCAACGAAGCGACGATGGACGCAGTCCTCGCCAGCGCGTACAGACTCGCCGGGAGACCGGACGGCATGATCCAGCGCACTGTCACGCACATGCGTGAGGTCGTCAAGCAGCTCAAGGTGGAGCTTGAGGACTTTGCCACCTACGCTTCCCCGCCCACGGACCCCGAGAGCATGGAGACATACGACAAGGTGATTGCGCATTCGTACCAGGTCGACCGTTCCGTTATGACGGCCGAGACGATGATCGCGGACTTGGAGGATGCGGAGCGCGAGCTCGGTCGTCTACTCGCTTTCTGAGCTCGCACTGAGCTCGCGCTCTCAGTGGGAACAATCAGTAGGCGTAGTGAGTAGTGATGCATGAGGACAATAACGACGGGCGCAGGCCTACGTCTCGGACAGCTGACAGCTGAAGGGGTTCGTACTGTCGCAGCTTACAGCTGGCTGCCAGCTTCGCAATCGTCACCTATCTCATTCCTCATCAAACATGTCCAACCGGTTCGATCCCCACAAGCCCTTCATCTTCGAGCTCGAGTACTGGGAGACCGAGGAGTATCGTGCACTGGAGCGATTACGACTCAAGGCCTCGGCAATGTTGAGGGACTACACTGCCGAAATCGTCACCCATGTGAGTTACGCTTTTGCAGAAGGGAACTGACGAACAGCAAGAGCGCATGGCGGAGACAGTGGCCAAAGCTGGGGAAGTCCAACTGTTGTTAGAGGAGGTGAGTACTTGCTCACACTGAGCTGCATCTGCCAAACTCTCGAGCTAACCGCAGGCCCGCGATGCAGAGTTCGACGAGGAAGTCATCCTCCCCATCCCGCCAGCTGGGTTCGGATCCATTACGGCCATCGACAGCCTCGTCGCCGCCGTATACGCACTCGTCAGCGAGCCTGATGGGCATATCCCGGCAACGATACGCGAGCTTCGAGCATACCTAGACGACGTCCGGCGTAAGGTCGAGTGGTTCCAGGTCTCGATACTCGCGGAGCAGCCCTCGGATCCCCATCTTCTCTTAGAAAGGCAGTCTATCCACCACAATCTGAAGCACCTAGAGGGCGGCATGCGGTGCATGGAGGTCATGGCTAAGCAGGTGGAGCTGCTTCGGACGTTCTTCAAGGACATGGTGTACCGATAGAACAGCGATGTAATGCATAGCGATCTATGACCTGGGCACGCTGACGCTGCGACGTCAGCGCTCACTTTGACCGAGGTGCCAGCTGACTGGGGAGCCCTTTGAGCTCGCCGCAGAATGATTCACCCACCTGTGTTCAAGCGAAACCGCAGTGCGTAGTGCCCCCGCCGATCAGGTCTCAACTCCATCACAACGCAGCAACTGTGCACATCAAGCCCGTAGGCCGCTCCTTCTGCCCATCTCGGCTCCCTCCTCTCTTCCACTCATCCACTCCCTCTTCCTTCGACATGGCCAGCTCCTCCTCCACTCAGCCTCCCCTCGCCTACCCCTACTTGTCGCCCGAACTGAACGCCGCGGCATCGTTGCACGCCGACTACTCAGCCAAGCTCAGCAAACACGTGAGGCTAGCCAACACGCACCAGCTGATTGCCAGGAAGAGCGCCTGCGGGCGGCGAAGGAGAAGGCGGGCGTGCTCGTGCAGCAGCTACAGAACGTAGGTCCAAGCTGTGGCAATGACCTACAGCTTACAAGGCAGCTCGACGACCTGATGCAGGAAGTGCCCGACATCCAGCCACCGGCGGGCATGGGTTCCTTCACCGGAGGCGACTACGTCATTTCCGCAGCGTACGAACTGGCGAACGAGACGAGTGGCCACATCCCGACAGCGACTCGGGAGCTCCGCGCCTTCTTCCAGGAGTTCCGGGAGCAGCTGGACGCGTTTGACCGCACTCCGCCGCCAGCCGGTGCGGGCAAGTTGTCCGAGAAGGAGGCTGCGCTGGCCATCCTCACCAATGTCGAGAACGGACTGGCGTTCATGGAGGCGCAGGCGGAACAGTTGGAGACGCTCAAGGGCTTCTTCAAGGACATCATTTATTGTTGATACCGTCGCTATGCACTGTGTCAAGGCGCAGTCGCTGATTTGCTGGCTCCACCAGAGAAGCCAGCTTGTTGAGAGGATCGTCGAGTCGCGATCGTTCCTTGAGGCGGACAGTGGGGGCGCAGGCCTACCGTTGCGACACCCGAGTCTCGAATCAAGACTCACCCGCCCGTCACACCTTCCTACTCTCACCATCCCTTACAATGAGCGACCCTTCTGGCGGCACTAGCGTCGACTCGAGCGGTCCCAAAGACCCGGAATTAGTGGAGCTGGAAAGGATCCGGACCATGGCGAAGGATCTCGAAGCGAGTTTCGAGAAGAAGATCAGTGAACATGTGAGCCCTGCCCTAATCGCCGCTCACAGTAGCGAGATGAAATGGCGCAGTTGGAGCAACGATTCGACGCGTTGCAATGGTTCCTCGAGCAAGTGAGTCGATGCGCTTAGGCGCCTCCCTCACCCTCCCGACTCTAAATGCGTGGCAATGCTGATGGGGAGGCGAAAATGATCGGAGACCGCGTCCTAGGGCCTGCCCAGCCTGCCCCGCCTGCAGGGATGGGGAGTGTAACGCTGCTTGGGCTTGCTCAGTCGATAGCGTACCATTTGGCGCGGGAACCGGATGGCCGCATCGCCAAAGCGATGGTCAGAACGTTGCGTACGCTTGATGAATTTGACGTTCAGGCCTTCATCATTGCCTGCGCATATCCGGGATTGACGGCCTACTATCACGTGTACGAGGAAGCAGAGTGGGCGCTTGGACAGGCGGAGGAGTGGGCAGAGGAAATGGCCAATGACACCTTCAGGTTAGCTGACATGCGCGCTTTCTGCACCGACTTGGTATGCCTGTAGTACAGGAGGCGACGTAATCCTCATCGCAATGCACGACGTGGTCGATATCCCGGAGAGCAGGAATGATGAACCGTGTCGTCCGACCGCACCCAGCCCGCTGATAGTTGGCCCGAGAGGGTGTCGCGGGCCACGGAGCGTTTTCTAGCCGATCTCGAGGCGCGAGTGCAGCAGCTGTGGCGCAACATCGGGCAGTTGGAAGAGATGTCGGGTAGATTCGCGTATGTCATGGCCAGGTAATGTCGAGTGTGATGAGCTCCATCAGGTAGCGGGTGTTGCAATGAGTGTCGGCTCGTAGGTTCGTGGCGTGTCCTTTAAGCCGAGAAGTACTTCTCCCGATGCAGCCCACACCGCGGATTAAACCCCGCTCCGCATCTCGGGCACCCTTTCTTCCCCCCCTGCTCCCCAGTACTCAAATACTCGCCCGCCGTCATGGTATACCCACACGCCCCGCACAGGACACACCTCTCCCCTGTCCCCATTGGCCAAGTGGTCCGCTCATGCCCAGCGACAGCATCATGACACTCCGCACAAGGGTAGAACCGGCCACAACACGGATGACTCAGCGCGACTATGTCGAGCGCGCTGGACCAGTGTATGCACCGCGTTTGGGGGTCTATGGGGAGGCCGTATACGCGCGTTTCGGCTACGAGAATGTACGGTGAGGACGGCGAGGTTAATGGAACAGCTGTTGGCTTGGAGGCTGGTTTGACGGAAGAGGAAGAGCTGGCGGGGCTGGCGGAGACGGAGCAGGTCGAAGAGGTCTGGGCGTCGGTATTGCTGTTGCCCGATGCCATGGTGCGCTCGGTCAGCATTGTCGATGGTGAATGGTCAATGGAGGAGTTGGAGAAACAGAGCCGACAAAGGAAGGCACGGTGCTTGATAGCCGCACTAACGACCGTGGGAAAGCTGCGATAAGCGCCAGACCCACTCTGGGTTAGAGTAACTTGATTCGATCTGCAGCCCCCCTTTCAAAGACGTAACAGGCATAACATCATATGTCTATAGAGTCCACACTGTAAAACCCAACTTTTCACTCTCCCATGAACAACCGGATGATCATGTACAGACTCGCGCCGAGGAAGCGGAAGAACGCGAGCCCGGCGACCGTATACAGCAGCACGGCCATGTACGTCGACGCGACCTTGTTGTCGTCGAGGCTCGAGCTGCCCGCGCCAGTTAAGATGCCGACGGCGAGCGCCGCGTTCGTCATCGTCCAGGCGAGGAGGACGTTGGAACGGAAGTTCTTGTAGTAGTCCTCCTGCTTCTGCTCCTCGTTCACGACGACTACCTCCTTAGGGGCCGGCGTGGAGATGATGGCAAGCTCATTCAGGTACACGGCGTTGCGGTCCTCGTCCTTCTCGGGGACCTCGATTTCGACCTCGTCCTTCTTCTCTGTCGGCTTGACCACTCCGAGGTCCTGCTCCACCTTATCCGATCCCTTCGTACCCCACGAGACGTCGTGCACGTTCGAGAACGCGTAGACGTTCAGAACGTTAATAAAGCTCGGGGCGATCAGGAGGTACTGCAGGAACGACGTGATCAGGTGCCACGGGTCGAACGCGATCAGAGACGACAGAATGTACAGTCCGTACGTGGCCAGCAGCGACAGGACAATGTTTGTGAAGACCTTGGATTTGAGGAGCTCGTTAACCCCCCCAGATTCGTTCTTGACGGTCTCGATACTGTGGACAGCGAGCCAGACAGCACAGAAGATCATATACACTGTGATCAAGGCGTAGCCGACCATGGCGATGGTGTAACCAATCTTGGACCCCTGGGGACGGTTTCCGAGCGCGAGGATGAAACAGAGCAGAAGCAGAGCGAGGTAGAACCAGTTCAGAGCAACACCGACGTAGTGGAAGGCCTTGCCGGTGGCCACCATCGAGTTTGTCAGGACGACGAACGCAATGTAGTAGTTTCCAAGCGAGAACCACGCAAAGATGTTGGTCAGAATCTGGTAGATCAACTCGATGTGCAGAGCCAGCTTGCGGCCGAACGAGTGAGACGAGCGGTAAATGTAGCCAAAGTGCACGATCGAGTGAATGGCCGCGAAGAAGGAGCCGTTCAGCCAACGACGACGCTGCGATACGAGCTCGGGAACCTGGTCGGGAACGTCGGTCACACCTTCGGCCGACTTGACGTAGTGAAGAGTCCAGTTGCTACCGCGCTTGGAGACGAGCTCCCAGCAGAGAATGCGGTCCTCGGCGAGATACATGTTCGCCTTAAAAATACCGGCTCCAGCGCCGTGCATGGTCTCGCCGAGGAAGTACTTCTGGAGGGGACCTTCACCAGTCACAGGGTCGTTCTTGATCGCAATGTAGCGGTACGCCGAGAAGGCACCAGGCAGGACGGTGATGTAGCCAAAGACCGACTCGAGCGGCTTGTCGAGGATGTTGGACATCTTGTACTCAAAGTTTTGAGCGGCAACGAGCGGGTTCAAGAGGTTGTGCCACAGCTTGCCCTTCAAAGCGACAATCTCTCCGCACGCGCCACCGCACGCCGAGTTGATGTCGAACGCCTTCCACAGGTGATAGATCGAGTCCGGTCCAGGCTGCGTGCCGACGTCGAGCAGCACACAAACGTTGGGGTTCAGCGCCTGGCCGAAAGCATTGAAGAACCAGCGGTGCGAGTTGATCTTCTTCTGGTTCTTCTCTTTCAGACAGAACAGCAGCTGAACGGGCACAACCTTGCCAGCCTTCTTGCTCGCAGCTCCGACGATCGAGCGGTCCTTGTTGATGTACACTGGGCAGAGTTAGCACATGCAGAACCATCGCAACTTACGCTGAGTGGTGTACTCGTACAGGTGCGCCGTGACGGGCTTGCCGTTGACAACGTTGGTACCGATGCCATCCTGGTAGACACCCAGCGCGGCAAGCACCGACCTCGTTCTCGGGTTGATCTTCATACGTCCGTCTGAGACAATACAAACAACGACCTGCCGATCAGCCAAAGCCTTCCGTCAACAAACTCACCTTCTGCCAGCCGTCCTTCGACCAGGTGGACTTTGAGCCACGGTTACAGAGGTTGGCGATGTTCTGCATGATGCCGTACATCGTACGGCAGAACAGCTCGTCGTCCTCGTTGTACATTGTCACGACGATGAACAGCTCCGTTTGACGGGGAGGGTTGTATAACCTCTGGCGAAGCGTGTACTGATCCCGCACAAAGTCGTCGGGGTCGCAAGTGACGGCTGTGTAGCGCATCTTGGTGAACTCGTTGCCCTCCTTGATCGGGCACTTCTCCAGCAGCTTACTCGGAACATCGACGTCGAGCACGAGGTGACCCTTGAACAGCTGGACACGCTTCTGCGTCTTGTTTCGTCGAATCTGGCGCGTCGGCAGGGGACCGTAGTGAATGCGAGGTTGCTCCTCGTCGTGCGGACCGTCGCCGTACGGGTCGTCGAAGCGAATGCCCTGCATCGTCACCGGCGGCCCAGACTGCGGGATGGGAGGGGCGTAGCCGTGACCGTGGTTGACCTGCGTCATGGGGATAGCTCCATCATCCGTCAGCTGGTAGGCAGGCATGCCGTAGGCGCCAGGCTGGCCCTGGTTTAACAGCGGGGCGTTGTCGTTGTAGTCCTCGTCATGGTGACCGACGTAGGACGAGGCAGGCGGCGGGTAGCCGGCGTCGCTGTAGTTGCTGTTCATGTGCTGGAGAGGGGGCGGGCTGTGGAGTCGAGTGTCGGGGAGGTAAGGCTGGTTGATCGAGACGCTGGATCCAGCGCGACCCGGCTCGTACGGCTCAGGCAACCCCAGCGTTCCAGCGGGAGGAGGAGGAACAGGCGGCGGCACCGGTGCAGGCGAGTCATAGCGCGACGGTTCCTCGAACGGGTCAGAGGCAGTGTGGTGGTGACCATAATGTCCCGGTGCGGGGGGAACGGGCGGAGGGCGCTGCGGGTTTTGCGTCGGTGAAGCGTATGGGTCGCCGCGACGGGGCTGGCTGCCCGGAGGCGGCGCGTAGATGTCGCCCGGCTGCATGTCGGGGATGTCGCTGGTGAGGGTGAGAGGAGGAAGGAAGACAAGTGTTTTGAGAGAGGGGCGAAGTGAGACAGCGACGAGGAAGGACGACTAACGCGTGGCCGCGGTTACGGGGATGTGGAGGAGGGAATTCAGGCGAGGGCCAAGGCCCGTGGGGTGGTTGTTGATAGGTGTTCCGAAGAGACCGACAAATGAGGCGAGGGTTATGTGTTTGCTTCGAGTTCAAGAAAGATGGTCGCGTCCGACGGTATGAACAGGACGATGGTGCAAGCGTTGTTGCAAGTGGGTGCGGGGTGGTCGTGTGTGAAGGATAGAGGGAGGGAAGGGATGGAAGGATCAGAAAACAATAAATGAGGAGGGGGCGCGAGAAGCGATGCACTGGAGGTCACTTGGCGGTGGTCGCGGTGCCGTATGGCCACCCTCTGCAAGTGCAGCTGCACAACCCAAGCTTTGGTGTACCGTCCGTCAGGCCCCGGGTCCAGGGGGGATGCCAGTGCTCAAGGTGAGAGATCGAGAGGGGCAGCCCAGGCATGGCCGACCGGAGCAGATGCAATTCAGGCTGAGGATCGCGAGGATGCGCGTACGCCGTAGCGAATAGCGCGCCTGACACAGGGACCAGATCTCCCACGCCTCCACCTATAGACAAGCTCGAGCCACCGGGCAAGGACGCAGAACGCGGGGCTGTGCCTAATCTCTGGCAGCTGGCACCCCTCAACCCTGCCCCGCCCTGACGACGCGTGGCCGTCACCCAGCCAAAATTACGTTTGTCACACCGCTATAGCCCGCCTCCGCCGCAACTGCCTTTGGGCCTTTGGGACGCCGGCCGGCTGCGACTTTTTCTAATATCAGTGCCAAGCATATCCTGCACATCATGCATCGCTTTTTTCCATCTTCGCTGCACAGCATACAGCTTCCGGCCGTAAGCATGCATCCCTCCTCCTTATCTCCATAGATCTCAATCACCGGTATTCGGTCCGATCACTGTGCGACGCGGCGGGCATTGCCATCGTCACTCATGTACAGAGTTCCACTCTCACGCTCCGTAGTCACAAGGTGCAGTCATATTACATACTAGTCTTACAGGCGAGTCACCATGACGTTACTTCTTCTTGAAGAAACTAGCTAGCGTGCTCTGGCCCATCGAGCCAGCCTTCTTGGCCGGAGCAGGCTTCGGCTTCGAGTCCGACGCCGTCCGGGAGACGGGCTTGCTGGCAGGCTTAGAAGCCGGCGCAGCAGGCTTAGGTTTCGGGGCGGCCTCCGTGTCCGTGTCCGAGCCAGAGCATGATTCCTCGGTCCAGTAATCCTTGGTAACTAAAGAGCCGTTAGCGGTCACCCTCGCCCGGTATCTGAGGCACTCACCCATGTATCCCTTAGCGTCCATCTCCTGCTTCGACTTCTTCACCTGCCTACGCTTGCGCTTCCGCGTACCGCTGGGCGCGCTGGTACTGGGTTTCGGTTTCGGCTTGGTGTCCTCGAGGTCGTCATCGTCAAAGTCGACGTCCATGGCCATCATGGCCTCCATGGCCGCCTGGTCCTCTGCCCGGACCATCGACGATGTCGGCTCAAGGGCGTTCTTGGCCGAACCCTTGGTTGCTGTCGAAGAAGACTTGGACACCGGCTTGGAAGGCGGCTCCTCGTCCTCGTCGTCAGACTCAATGACACGCCTTCGGCTCTTTGATGAGGCAGGTTTTCGCTGGGGCTCGGCCGGCTTCGGCTCCTCCTTGACCGCTTCCTTCTTCACGGCCTTCGCGGGCTCACTCTTCGCGGTCTTCGCCGGTTCGCTCTTCACCGTCTTCTTGCCGCTGAAGTCCATGGCGCCATCACGCAGAGGCTTAGACGTAGCTATCAATGGCTCGCCCGTGATTCCTCCGTACAGCGAGGCGTTGGCGTAGTTGGGGCTGTCACGCAGCTTCCTCGCCGGAATCAACAGCTGTTGAGGATCCTGCCGTTAGTTGAGCAGATCTCAGTTAGGCAACTCACCTTCAGCGGCGCCGGTGACAGAGAGTAGATGTGGACGGAGAACTGGTCGGGAGCGAAAAGCTTCTTCTTCTCGTCCAGCTCATCGGCACCGATGAGAACGACACCCCAGCGTGAGACCTGGCGTCAGCTTTCGACGCTGCGCGGAAGCTTACCTCCTCGCTCTTCTCCTCCATCACAATGTCTTCAGGCTCGTTCTCCAAACTCTCCTCAGCCTTGACTTCTTCCTCGTCCGCCTCAGATCCCGCTTCAGACCTGGCATCCATGTCCACGATCTTCAGTTTCTGCGTCGCGGACATATGCGCCAGCGACTGCGTGTTCGTCACATTGCCAACAGACAGTTCGGTGCGCGCGACAGCCGACTCCTGCAGGAGAGAACCGGAGATCAGATATGTCGGAGACGCATCATGCTTGGAGATGTAGTTCGACAAAATCCTGACAGCATCAGCAAGTTGTCGGAAGAAAGTGACTCACTCCTTGGCGGTGTTGACAGACACTCCAACCTTCCTCGCAACTTGTCGGAAGGTCACCTGGGAGTCAGCTGAAATTTCAGTGCGCACGTAGCTGACTTACAGCGTTACCTTCCCCGAGAGAAGCAGTCAGATACCTCTCGGCATCCCGGTTGGCGTCTCCCATGTCCGGAGCTCTCTCTGTTGACAAGTGGTGGGGGCTCTGGGCGGTTTAACGGTGAAGGAGTATTAGTTCCTCGAGCGGTTGTGAACGGAGGATCGTTGTTGCCGGATTGTTTGACTGAATTCAATGAGTCGTCGTTTTTCCTGGTCGAGATGCAGATGCTGCTGTGCGGCGAAGGAGGTATGCGCGAGTGGTAGGGGCTGTGATCAACCCGTCGCCAGAAATCAATATCGGTTGACGCGTGTGGAGTGGACGCGCGGCGAAAGTTTCCCACGGTCGAAAAGCAAACCTCCACTTTCAATCTCAGCCATATCCAAGATTTCGGCGGCGGTCACCCAAATATTTGCATCATCGACCGCATCGAAGCTCACGACGACCATGGAGTCGCTGAAACGCAAGCACGTCGTCTTCGACGAGGATAATGCCGACTCAGGGCCATCCGAACTCGCTGGCGCTGGCGTGCACCCCGACCGTGCGGCTGTTGTAGCTGCTGCTGAGGGCGCGGCCGTGAAGAAGCCAAAGGTACGTGTAGCTGCTTGGACGTGCGTAGTGTCTAGCTAACGATACAGGTCAAGTCCGAGAAGAAGAAGCGATACCTTGCGAAGAAGGCGCGGAAACAGCGAAAGCTCAAGAAGGCCAAGAAAGCTGCCGCGCCGAAGAACCGGATCTGGACCGGCGAGCCCGGCCAGGAGGACGACAGCGACGACGACAGCGATGGCGGTGAAAGTGACGACGAGGAGCCGAAGCCGTCAACATCAACAGCTGTCGAGACCCCGAAACCTGCTCCTCAACCTCTCGTGAAGAAGGCAAAGGCGAAGGACGGCATCGTCGAAGGTGGCCCAATGACGGAGGAGGAGAGGGCGGCGCGCAAGGCCGAGAAGCGGGCGATCCGCGACGCACGAAGAGGAGACCGTCAAGCTAAGCGTGCGGCTGAGCGGGAAGCCAAGCTGAAGGCTGCCAAGGAAGCCGAGGAGAAGGCCAAGCGGCAGCAGGAGGCTCAGGCGAACGGGGCACCCGAAGAGGAAGACTCGGAAGAAGACGACTCTGAGCCCGATGACGAGCCGATGGAGGACAATGGGGAGCCGAGCGACCACAGCGAGGACGAGGAGGAGAAGGAGCCTGCCGACATTCCCGACCTTCCGCATCAGCGAACACCGTCTCCGGGACTCGAGCCCTTCCCTCTGCCCCGGATGGCTCCTGCGCCAGCACCCGAGGTGCTTGACCGACAAGGTCTGCCCGCGGGACTGGAGGACGCCAACTTCATCGAGCAGGATCTGCGCATGCCCTTGAGTGAGCTGACTGAGACGACGCCGATCAGCGAGCGAACGCAGAAGCGGCTAAAGGATCTCGGCATCTCCGAGTTCTTCGCGGTGCAGACGGCGCTGCTCCCCAAGCTGCTGCGCCTGCCCCTGACGCCCCTACCTTTCGAGAAGCTCAGCGACTACCTCGTCTCTGCGCCGACCGGATCCGGAAAGACGCTCGCGTACACTGTCCCCATCGTCGAGATTCTCAGTAAACGCATTGTCACCCGCCTGAGGGCTCTCATCGTGCTCCCGACACGAGACCTTGTGACACAGGTGAAGGAGACTCTCGAGGAGGTCAGCAAGGGCTCTGGACTGACTGTGAGTATGCTGTCACACCGTCGGGAAGTAAGTTGACGTCAGATCGGAACCGTCACTGGACAGCACTCGTTTGCTCATGAGCAGACGTTGCTCGTTGACGGCGCTCAGTCCAAGCTGGACATCCTGATCGCGACGCCAGGAAGGCTCATGGACCATCTCGCTATGACAAAGGGCTTCACGCTGCAGCACCTGCGTTTCCTGGTGATCGACGAGGCGGACCGATTGCTGAGCTCAAGCTTCCAGAACTGGCTCTCACAGGTTCTGGACCAGTGTCGACCGCACAAGCATGCGAACGGCGAGGAGCTCGCTGGCTCCCAAGTCGCGCTTGCGTGGAGCGAGCCGATGGGATTGTCGCGGGGCGACTTTGAGGGCAGCCAGGTGATTCCGAGTAGTGTAAGTGCCCTCTCAGCTTTGTTTCTTCCGTGCCATAGCTGACGTTCAGTGCCAGAAACTACTGTTCTCGGCTACGCTTACGCGTGACCCCGCCAAGGTCGCTCAGCTCAACCTCACCTCGCCAGAGTACTACATCGTCTCATCGACGCGCTCGATCACGCAGATCGGACAGGCGTTCGAGCTCCCCTCGTCCCTGACCGAGCGCTCGATCATCCTCCCGCCGCAGCTGAAGCCGCTCAACCTCCTCTACCTCCTGCACAGCGAGGGTGCCGCGCCGAGCATCGTCTTCACGAAATCGGTGGACGCAGCGTCGCGCCTGGTCCGCCTGCTAACGTACTTTGAGCAGGCGTACATCGGGGGTAAGAAGTTGAGCGTCGCCTCGTTCACGCGCGACATGAAGCCGTCAGAGCGCAAGACCATGCTCTCCGACTTTGCGGCGGGCAAGCTCGACGTGCTCGTGTGCTCGGACCTGATCTCGCGCGGTATCGACCTGCCCTCCGTCGCGCACGTGGTGAGCTACGACGTCCCCCTCGACATGACCAAGTACGTCCACCGCGCGGGACGCACGGCGCGTGCGGGCCGCGACGGAACAGTCTGGACCATGGTCGAGAAGCAGGAGGCGAAGCACTTCAAGGACATGCTCGCGGCCGCGGGCAAGAAGGTGCGCAAGCTCAAGGTGCGCGAGGAGCAGCTCGAGGGCTTCAAGGAGTCGTACGACATTGCCATGAAGCGTCTCCAGGCGGACTATGGGCGCGACTAGACGTGTAGACGTACAATATCTCTTTAGACACATTATGCATTTTACCATTTACATATTTATACAAATCTCTAGTAGAACTCTAGGCAGTCTTGTCGCTTGCCGTGCTCTCCGTGTCCGAGTCGGGGCCGCCGGCGAGATTCCGCCCCTCCTCGATCATGGACTTGACGTCTTCGATGGCGTACACGTCGTCTCCCATGGCCTTGATCTGGCGCTCGACCCCGCGCCAGACCTTCTTCACCTCGTCGTCAGACTCTGTCTGTCAGCTAGATCCACACATACATTAAGCTCACCCTCCGCAAGCATCATGAGGCGCACACGCTCCAGCCCCCGGGCGACCGTCTCGCGCATACCCGCCTTCTGGCGCTCAGACGGCGACAGGCCGCTCTGCTGGTCGAGGATGGACACCGTGTCCGTCAACTGGGACATTTCCGAAAACTTCTCCTGCAGCTGCGTCACGATGCTGATGAGCTGGGGCGTCTTGAGGTTCAAGGACGCAATCGTGTCGCCGGCGCTGAAGAGCTGGTGGTGGTGGTTGTACACGAGCGTATGGCGCGCGCTCTGGAGCTTGCCCACGTCTGGATGTCAGCTCAGAATCACACCGTTGTGTCAGCTATAGACTCACCTCCAGCAAGGCTCGCTGTCGTCTTGAGCAGCTCACCGAGCGGTTTGCCCATGAGCAACTCGTAGTATTCGGCCGGGACAAAGTTCTCGCTCGTCGGATCCAGTCGTCCCTCCTTGCCCTCTCTTGCCTCTCTCCTTGGTCGAGCCTTGGGCGTGACCTCATCTGTCTTTGCGCTAGCTGCCGAATTCGGCGTCGCCGGTGCCGCTGGCGTGGAGGGCGCCTCGCCGGGCGAAACGGAGGGGAGGGGTGACCGGCTCTGCGGCGGGTCCGAATTTGGCCGCGACAGGCCGTAGAAATCGCGCAGCTGCTCGCGGCGAGCTAAGCGCCGTGCTTCGGCGGCGGCACTGCGGCCGGGCGACAGCACGCCTGAACTGCCAGAGGCGGGCGGCGAGGTCGTCGACATGGTCTGCTGGGTGTTGTCGCGTCAAGGCTGGACTCTTGGAACGGCTTAAGCCGGACTCTTGGCTGGGCCGCCACGTGAGCAGCATGATGCACCGTGGGAGAATCCGAGCAGGAGACTCCGTCACCGTGGGAAACCTTCCAGACGGGCGCGATCCTCAGCGTCCTTCGGCACACGACCTTAGGGCTGCGGGACACAACATACATCAGTGGGCAATTGGCGTCTGCCGCAAGAAACTCGTCTTCTAGTCTAGGCTCTGGACTCTCGAGGTGTAGATCGTTGGGGAGACGATGCATTCCAGAGTAACGAAAGCGTTTGCTCCTGCGTATTCGCACCTGTCACTCAGGCTCTACACCCTACACGTGAGTTAAAGTTCGCTTTGCCAGCAAGTGAGCAGGACGGCTCAGGAGGACGGTAATTGCCGATCGCGAATCACACGGTGCCCCGCGGACATGCGGGCAGGACTCTGGTCAGATGATCTGGTCCTGTCCTCCCCCACGCCCATTCTACCGCAGCCGATCCGCACTCGGCCAAAGGCGACAGCTGTGCAGCATGAGTAGCCCATATGAAGCGGGTTAGTACCCGGTCCTCACGACCCCCTCACGCCGCCGTCCACTGCCCACACAATCCCACCATGGCGGCGCTCAACCTCACCTCGCTCGGCGCCGAGCTCGATGCCATCCGGCGACAGCGCGCCACTTCCTCCTCCTCGGTCGACACTGCGTCGACGGGAACATCGCCCCTCACCCCGCCACTGCTCTCTGCACCATTGCCCTTCATCGCGGACACGGAGGCGGACGACGACGCCATCAGGATAGACACGCCGAGGATCGACACGCCGAAACCTCAAGTTGCGCAGGTGGAGCAGGAGAAGAAGGAGCAGCCGTTTGCGACGTGTTTGCTGTGCTTCCAACGACCGCCTAGTGCGGTACTGCTGCCATGTGAGTATCCGCCGCTTCACTCCTTGCGCTTAGTAGACGACACTGCTGATCCACACTTCCCTCTTCTACCTCCAGCTTCCGGGCATGGGAATATCAGCTGACACCCAGGCTGCCACCTGAACCTGTGCTACCTCTGCGCGCCCCTGCTGATTGCGCGCAACGCGCCGTCTTGCCCTGCAGCGCACGAAGATGACCCGGAACCACGCACCGACCGAGTGCCCTTCAACGTCGCGCTGGCGAGGGCGATGCGCAAGTCGCCCGAGAAGAAGCGGCTCGGCATGGCCGGCTTCATCCCTCCGGAACTTGGGGCGAGCGGCGCAGAGTTGGGAGGAAAGGACGTGCTGAGCGGGCCGATACGGAGCCAAACTGGCCAGGACGGACAGATCAAGCTCGAGAGCCGAGGGGAGGGACAGAGGGGAGTGGGGAGGACGCAGTGTCTTGTCTGCAGGAGCGGGGTCGAGGGGTGGTTGAGGGTGTACACTGGTTGAACTCTGGAGGATATGTTGTATCACGCACTAATCGTACTTGCACTGTTTTGCCACGAATATTGGGAATGTATACGCTTGTAATGGGACGTGCTTGGTGACCACCGATCGCGATGAGGTGCTCGTGTGCATTGTGCTCGCTCGCTGCGTGCCGGCTGCTGGCCGCGATTATGGGCCTGACCACCCTCGACGCACCGATTGGCCTGAGATAACCCAGCCACCTCAGCATGACGTCACGTCGTGTCATCCATCGTCGACATCCATGCATCCCATCTGTGCACGCAGCACGCAGTCCTGGGAAGCACTGAGCCGCGGCGAAGCAGGGATGCGTTAGTCATGGTGACGAAGGACGTGTTGCATGCAGCGTGCCGCGAGGGGCTGGGGACTGCGTGAATCACAGAGGAGCTTCCCGCGGTGCCCGTGTTTGAGCTCGCAATTGTTGACGGGGCATACACCCTAGTGCATACGAACGAGAGAACGAACGAGACGCATACCGAACGAGATCAATGGGGATTACGAGTGTGGGGATAATGGTGGTGATCATTATAGTGATACAGACAAACAGTACAGATACAGTGCGACGAAGCCCTGTTTCTAAGGGGCGTCGGTGAGATGACAGAGAGTGATGGGCGGATCGCCTTCGGACGACCACTTGCCGCTGATGATGGTTGCTTGGCGACGCCGAAGCCCAATGATGGAGATGGGCTCGTGATGAGCACGATTAGCCCAGGCCCCAGTTGCCAGAAGGCTTCTCGGCCTCGCGGGCCTTGTTCTGGGCGAGAAGCTTGGCGAGGCCCGACTTCTTCGTCTTGCGCTTCTTTGCTGGCGGCGGCGACGAGGGCGCGGGGCTAGATCCGGAGCTGGCGCTCGGCGGCGGATATGTCGGGAAGCCCGGGTCGGAGGTGGGGATGTGGGCGAGGGATGGTGTGCGCGTCAGCGCCGCCTTGCCCCGCTGGCCCTCTGGAACGGCGAGCGCCTGTTCCGTTTTCGTCGGCTCCTTGGGCGTTGGGGGCTCGTCGGGCTTGACCTCTGCCGCGAGCCGGGACGCTCGGCGGGTGCGTGCAACGCTACGCGCCGAGGCGTAGAAGGACGGGGTCGGCTTGGGCCGGCGGAACTGGTTTCCGCACGTCGAGCACTGAGCGCTGCGGCGGCGGCGGTCGTCCGCGTCCATCTGTGCGAGGGCCGCATGGAGCTCAGCCTCGAGCTCGTCGGCGGCGTCGACCGGCGCAGCCTTGCGCTTGTTCCCGCGCGGCGGGCGATAGCCATCACGAAGCGTGCCGCACTTGACGCACCACAGGGACCAAGCAATGCTGACCTGCGGCAGGCTGTTGAGCAGCCGCACACGGGCGGCGCACAGCTTGTCTGTCGCGGGACCAGACAGGAGTGCCGGGTCGAGCACGGGCGGCAACGCATCGGCCAGGATGGTTGCCGAGCCGAACGGGAGCGACAGCGTCGTCGAGGACCGGTCCTTGGCCAGCGTGATGGCCATGGTCGCGAGAGTCGAGCAAGTCGGAGGTAGGCGTGGTGTGGAGGGTGTCAAAAGATAGGGGTGGCAAAAAGCTATTCCTGAATGGACAGGCGCTGGCCCGCATTCCTACCAGCGCTGATGGGCGCTTGATTCACACGGAAGCAAATATTTTCACCAGGGTGACTGGACTTGACCTTACCCGGCACTCCTTAATCGTGGATTACGAATCGATCGTAAGCAGCCGGAATGTTGGATCTAATCAGCACGTGGGCGTAGATTAGTCCGGCAGAGCAACTGCCGACGCGTCCTGATTCCTGGGTCACCCTGAGCCGTCGCGTTCAGGTAAGGGCATTTATTGCCAGGAACAGTGGTCAGCGGCAACAACAGGCCAAGAAAGTCAAGGCTGGCGACGAGTGAGCGAGTGTCCGTGCGCACGAATCGTCAGCACCGCACCGCACACAGCCAGCACACCAACAACAAGCACACAAACTCTCATTGCTTCTCATCTTTTCTCCGCCCTCAGCTCCTGTTACACCGCACACGCGCACGCAGCACAATGGCTCCCGGCTGGTTGAGTGAGTGCTTCCTCCCCAGCGCTAGCACAGCCCCGCTCAGACGACATGACTGACGCCGGCAGATCTCGACAACCCCCAGTCGCCTGGCGACCTGTACTTCGGAGGCGTAAGCTGCACCTCATAGGTGGATAGCTGACAGGGGACAGGAGAAGTCGACCTTCGGAGAGCTCTCCGTCAAGGAGCGGCTGATTGGGTTCGGCATGTGCTACGTCGGCGGCTTCCTCATCAGCATTCTCGGAGCGATTCTGCTGATCACGGGCTCCGGCGCGGGCTTCGCCGTCTTCTTCGGCGTTGGCGCCATCATTTCGCTCGTCGGCACTGGTTTCCTCATGTGAGTGCAGCTCGGGGTCCACTCCGACGAGCTATCGGGCCCCCGTCAGGTATAAGCTAACATTCAGCGGCTTCTGGCGCCAGACGAAGCTCATGTTCAAGCCTGTTCGAATCATTGCGTCCGTCATCATGCTGATGGCAATTGGCATGTGCTTCATCAGCGCATTCCTCCTGCCGGCCGCCCTGTGTATCCTCTTCGTCATCATCGAGTACTGTGCCATGGCGTGGTACTCCCTCTCGTACATCCCCTACGCTCGAGACGTGAGTTCCCCTAACGTTGTCGAACTGACAAGCACAGGCGGTCAAGGGCCTTGTATCAAAATTCATTTAGATAGCATGCTAGACAGGCGATACAACGTTGTTAATCTACAATACAGATCTTCTATGGCTACTTGCCCACGTCCCACGCACGCATGCCGCCGTGCGGCGTGTACTCCATGTCGAGGAGACTTTTGGACCCCTTGTCCTCTGTCGGCAACGACGGACCAATGCGGCCGCTCCGACTGGACTCTGCGTCGTGCCTTGACTTCCGCTCAGGCTCGGGGGAAGAGGAGAGGCCGGGAGAGTGACGGCGGCGCTGCAAGTTAGCTGGTCTCTCGAATGGCTGTAGCTCACCTTCTGCCCTCGCTCTTTCAAAACAGCGAGCATGTTATCCCACCCGACGTCTGCAACGATTCCCTCCTTAGGCACAGGGCCAACATCCAAGCGCGGGTCGTAGTCCTGCTTGAAGTACTTGTCCATCCGGGATATGGGGTGAGAAGGGATGGCTGGCGGGGAGTCGGGTGGCGGAGGAGGGGGAGGGGAAGAGGACGGCGGCCGAGGCCGCCGCTGTCGGTCAGACGAGCGCTTGTCGTTGGTACGAGAGCGCCGCTTTGGCGAGCGGTCTCGGTCCCGGCGATCTTCGCGCTCTCGCGAGCGATCTCTTCTGTCCTTGCGATCACGTGAGCGCTCTCTGACATGATCTCTGTCTCGATCGCGATCACGACGTCGTTCTCTGTCTCGAGAAGAGTCGCGCTTGCGCCGATCATTTCGGTCGATTGAGCGGCTGCGGTCACGCCTGGATCGTCGCTGGGGAGACCGATCGCGCTCCCGGCGGTCGTATCTGTCGCGAGAGCGGTCTCGAAGGGGCTCCCTGTCGCGGGACGTAGATCTTGAACGCGAGCGCGAGCGGCGGCGATCACGCAGATCGGGAGAATGATCCTGTCGCCGATCGTAATCCTGGTCGTCGCGGCGCCTTGATCGTCGATCGTCGTAGTCGTGTCTCCTTGCGCGATCATCACGACGGGCATCGTTGCGCTCCCGATCGCGCCGGCCAGCTCGCTCAGCGTCCTTGGCAGCGCCTTTCATAGCTCCACCGAACAATCGACTCATACCTGATCCGCCTCCCTTCATTGTCCTTGCGTCCTTCGCACTCCGAGCTTGCTCTTTGAGCAGCGCCTTGTTGTGACCGTCCACGCTCTTGATCATACTCGCCAGGAAGCGCTTGTTGGGTTTGGGAGCATTGGGGTCCGGTCTGGAGGTAAGCTTGGACGGATGGCGTTACAAGCTTTACTTACGAGCTCCTTTCCGCCTCCCTTTCCAAGTATGCCCCGAGACCCATCTCCGCCCATTTCAGCTCGTTAATCTTCGCCTCCTCTGCGAGGATCTTAGCGACATGGGCGTCGAGGACATCATCGCTGACGTCCAGCGGCACCGATGCCGCGGCCCTCATGAGCTTGTTGACCACGGTGTTGAGAGACATGTCGACGATGTCGCCTGCCTCTCACAGGTCGCAGTTGTTGTGGACGGGTGATGGAGCACCTCCAACTGACCTTGCCACTACTTGCCGAGATAGGGCGGCGGCCATCAGCCGCAGGCACGTGATAATTAGAAGTATTGGATTAAATGGGGAAAAACATTCTCGAGAAATCTCTCCACGTGGACCCTCCACCGCTCGTTGAGCCAGGTTCGCTCTGACGCGTTTCTGTGGCCACGGCGTTCCAAGACCTTCCAGGCAACTTTCCGGATCGTGCACAACACTTTCATCACACTCTACGAGACGGAAAACAGCAGCGTTCAAGGTCGCTCCAAAACGCACGACACCCGGCCTACGCACGTCGACCCGTTTCCCAGCTTTTCCCCGATTCGTTTGGCTCAATCCGGACCGCACATATGTCCAGTCTCGAGCTTATCAACCCTCGCGCCGAGAGCGTGAGGAGGCAGCAGGCCCTCCAGGTCAACACGGTGGGTGTTGAGTGTAGCTGACATCAAGCGAAGTTCTAGCTAATCTGAACAGGCCGGAGCTGTTGGTCTCGCCAATGTCGTCAAGAGCAACCTGGGTCCCCGCGGTACGATCAAGATGCTTGTTGACGGATCCGGACAGATCAAGATGACCAAGGACGGAAAGGTGCTGCTCTCCGAGATGCAGATCCAGAACCCGACGGCGGCCATGATTGCTCGTACCGCTGTTGCGCAAGACGAGCAGGTCGGTGATGGCACGACATCGGTTGTTCTCCTTGTCGGAGAGCTTCTCAAGCAGGCGGACCGCTACATCTCGGAGGGTGTTCACCCGCGCGTCATCAGCGAGGGCTTCGACATTGCCAAGAAGGCGTCGCTCGAGTTCCTTGACCAGTTCAAGCAGTACCCGACCCTCGACCGCGCCAACCTCATCCAGGTTGCGCACACCTCGCTCTCGACCAAGCTGCACCCGAGCCTCGCCAAGAAGCTTGCCGCTGATGTTGTCGACGCCGTTCTTGCTATCCGACCCCCTGCTCCGGAGCCTGACGCGGACGGAAAGGTTGGCCGCCGTGACCCCATCGACCTCCACATGATCGAGATTATGAAGATGCAGCACCGCACCGATACCGACACCAAGCTCATCCGCGGTCTCGTCCTCGACCACGGTGCTCGTCACCCTGACATGCCCAAGCGCGTCGAGAACGCCTACATCCTCACCCTGAACGTTTCGCTCGAGTACGAGAAGACCGAGGTCAACTCTGGATTCTTCTACTCGTCGGCCGAGCAGCGCGAGAAGCTCGTCGAGTCCGAGCGCCGGTTCGTGGACGACAAGCTCCGAAAGATTGTCGAGTTCAAGAACAACGTTTGCGACGTCGACGTCAAGTCCGGAGAGAAGCCCAAGGGCTTCGTTATCATCAACCAGAAGGGTATCGACCCGATGTCTCTCGATGTTCTCGCCAAGAACAACATTCTCGCCCTCCGTCGCGCCAAGAGGAGGAATATGGAGCGTCTGCAGCTTGCGTGTGGTGGTGTGGCTCAGAACTCGGTCGACGACCTCGACCCCGAGGACCTCGGTTGGGCCGGTCTCGTCTACGAGCACACGCTCGGAGAGGAGAAGTACACGTTCGTTGAGGATGTCAAGGAGGGCAAGAGTGTTACGATGCTGATCAAGGGTGAGTTTATCCACCGCAGCAGGAAGCTGACGCTCAGGCCCCAACGCCCACACCATGACCCAGATTCAGGAGGCTCTCCGTGATGGATTCCGTGCCGTCAAGAACGCCATCGAGGACGAGGCTGTCATCCCCGGTGCCGGTGCTTTCGAGGTTGCCTGCAGCAACTACCTCGAGAACACTGTCAAGTCAAAAGCGAAGGGACGCGCTAAGCTCGGTGTTTCTGCCTTCGCCGAGGCTCTCCTCATCATCCCGAAGACTCTTGCGGCCAACGGTGGATATGACGTTCAGGACGCTATCGTCCAGCTCCAGACGGAACAGGAGGAGACCGACGACCCCGTCGGCCTCGACCTGCGCTCCGGAGAGCCCATGAACCCCGTTACCGAGGGTGTGTGGGACAACTACCGGGTCAAGCGCCAGATGCTGCACTCGTGCTCGGTCATCGCTGTCAACCTGCTCAGCACCGACGAGATCCTCCGCGCCGGTCGCTCGTCGCTCAAGCCCGACGGACAGGGCATGTAAGAGGTCTTTTCTAGAGAGTTACGGATCAGATGGTAGATTAATGATTACATCAGGATGTACGCATTTGCATGATGGAGGTGGTTGCAGCAGAGATGGGAGGGGGGGAGAAGGAGAATACTGAATTTCTTACATTTATCAGTAATGGTTCGGTGGCCCCTCATATACTGGAGTATCCACTCACAAGGACATTCAATAACATCTTTATCCCTACCATGCATGCATGCATTCGACGTTCTGTCTTCCTTCAGACTTTGAGATCGTGTAGACCAAGCACACGACTTTACATTGCGTGTTTGCTGAGAGTGGAGGTTGCCTTCCCACGGTGGCGTTCACAAAAGTTGAAAACATGACGTCCACCTGGGCCAGGCTGATCGTCAGCGGCAATCGTGAAGTTCTTCCAGCACAAGCACGGCAAGCACGACCATGACGCCGACAACAGTAACGCCGAAACTGAGCGCCGTGCGGAAGGATGCTCGCCAGCGTCTGAAATCGCTGAAGAAGAGCGGCGGCCTCAAGGCCAAGTCGGCTGGCAAGGGCTCGAAGCGTCCGACCGAGGACGAGGAGACGGCCGCCGCCGAGCCGCCGAAGAAGAAGCGTATTCGCTCCGACCAGCTCAAGTGGAAGGAGGTCAAGACGTCTTCTCTTCCTGGCATGGACGCGGGCGGCGGCATGATGATGCTCGAGGAGCTGGACGGCGTCGGCATCGAGTGGGAGCAGCAGGATGATGGACGCAAGGTCGCGCGCTTTGTCGTGAGTTTCTTATCTCTGGCCAATAGGTCAATGTAAACACGCTACGACCTGCTCGGCAAGAGCTGACATTCAGACTAGTGGTAAAGATGGCAAGAAGCAGCAAGTTGCAATCGAGAGCGAGAGTGAGGGCGAGGACGACGGCGAGGAGTGGACTGGCATCGCCGAGGACGGAGAGGAGGGATCAGACGAAGAAGACGCTGAGGAGGGCGACCTGCCGACGTTTGCGGGACTGAAGGCATCCGAGCTCGACGACGAGGACAGTGAAGACGAGGTTGAGCCTGAGCCCAAGTTTGACCGTAAGTTACCTATACTTCACTCATAACTGACAACAGTCCGCCTTCTCCCCGCCTGGGCCAAGATTCCGCTGCATGCGTCGCTGAAGAAGTGTCTCCTCGGTCTCGGATTCGCCAACCCGACTGAGATCCAGAAGCAGGCCGTGCCCCTCGCTCTCGAGGGACGCGATGTCGTCGGAGTTGCTGAGACGGTAAGCGTCGATGGCCGACCCATGAGCTGACGAACAGGGCTCCGGAAAGACGCTGGCATACTCTCTCCCCGTTCTTTCGTACCTGCTCCGCCAGCCGCCACCGCGAGCGGGTAAGAAGCGCCCGCTGTCGGCGCTCATTCTCTGCCCTACCCGTGAGCTCGCGATCCAGGTGACGGACCACCTGACCAACGTTGTCAAGTCGGTCACGCCCGAGGGCGCGAAAGTTCCGCGTATTTCCGTCGGCAGCGTTGTCGGTGGTCTGTCCGCGCACAAGCAGCGCCGCATCCTCGACCGCGGCGCCGACATTCTCGTCGCTACCCCGGGACGACTCTGGGACCTGGTGAAGACGGACGACGCGCTGGCGGCGTCACTGCGCACGCTCCGCTTCCTGATCGTCGACGAGGCGGACCGTATGATCGAGAACGGCCACTTCGCCGAGTTGGAGCACATCGTGCAGCTGTCTCGCCGAACCCAGGTCCAGGCCGAAGACGAGGACGACGACCCTGTGTTTGCGCAAATGGCGACGGCGCTGGAACAGGCCGAGCCCCGGGACGATCTGCAGACGTTTGTCTTCTCGGCGACGCTCAGCAAGGATCTGCAGGAGAACCTGAAGAAGAGGCGGCGGAGGCCGCTGAAGCGCAAGGGCAAGCGGGCGAGCACGCTCGACGAGCTCCTTGAAACACTCGACTTCCGTGATGAGACCCCGGCCATCGTCGACCTCACGCCCAAGGGCAACAAGGTCAGCACGCTGCGCGAAGCGATGGTCGACGCCGTCCTCGCCGAGAAGGACCTGTACCTCTACTACTTCCTGCTGCGGTATCCCGGGCGCTCGCTCGTGTTCGTCGGCTCGATCGACGGAATCCGCCGCCTGGTTCCGCTGCTCGAGCAGCTGCGCCTGCCCGTCTTCCCCCTCCACTCGCAGCTGCAGCAGAAGCAGCGCCTGCGCAACCTGGAGCGCTTCAAGGCTTCGTCCGACGGCGTGCTGATCGCGACGGACGTGGCGGCGCGCGGTCTCGATATTCCTCACGTCGACCACGTCGTTCACTTCAACCTCCCACGCACGGCAGACGCGTACGTGCACCGTAGCGGCCGTACGGCGCGCGCGCAGAACCCGGGCTTCGCGCTCCAAATCGTCTCGCCCGAGGACAAGAATGTGCAGCGCGGCCTGCTCAAGTCCCTCGGCCGCTCGGCCCCGCCGCCAGACCTCCAGATCGAGGCGGGCTTCCTGCCCAAACTGAAGGAGCGCATCGCCGTCGCGCGCGAGATCGAGGGCGCCCAGCACAAGGCGAAGAAGGAGAGCCATGACCGGAACTGGCTCGCGGAGGCGGCCGAGGCGATGGACATTGACATTGACCCGGGCATGTTTTCTGATTTCGAGGAGGACGACCCCGACGCGCCCACTTCGCGCAATAGCAAGAAGGGGAAGAAGGGCAAGGCCGAGGGCAAGGTTGATGGGCTCAAGGCCAAGCTGAACCATCTGCTCGACCAGCCCCTCATTGCCCGTGGCGTTAGCACGAGGTACCCCACCTCTGGCTCTAGGGTGATCATCGACGACGTCGTGGCTGGTACCAGCCATGTTAACATGCTCGGTGCTGGCACCGAGGCCGCGTACGAGGTCGCGGACAAGCAGAAGAGCAAGCCCAAGCCCAAGCCGAAGGCTCAGCCCGAGGAGCCCAAAGCGAACGGTAGGGGCAAGGGCGGCAAGAAGGGCAAGAAGCACTAGTCTCGCTAAATAGATCGTTTGGGTTGATGTTTACCATCTAGATAGACATGTCATGCAGCACCTTTAGCACATTACTGTAACCGTCGCATCGAAAGTCCGTATTACACTCTATATATTTGCTTTACTTGGAGAGGAAGAGCTCGTTGAGGTCCCTGATCGTGTCCTCGGGGCACGTAACGGCGTGGCCGATGGTGCGGTCGTCGGTGTAGATCTCATAGTCGTTTCCGCCCTTGTAAGTCTTGTCGCCAAAGAAGTGGATCTGGTCGTAGCCGTCGTCCGCGATGCGGCCGAGAGCATAGGTCTTGTCCCAGCCCTTGGGGAAGACGTCGAACGAGATCTGGCCGCCGATCGAGTACGTCAGGTTCAGGTCCGCAAACTCCTTCTGCAGCGCCTCGACCATCTTGGCGCGCGTTCCGGTCTGCTTGTCGAAGGCCTCAAAGTCGTTGCGCTCCTGCGTGGAGGCGTTACGGCCGACGGGCGAGACGTTGATCATGCCCTTGCGGAACTCGACAAAGGTGCCGCGCTTGACGGGGCAGTCGACCTCGGACAGGTAGCGGAGGATGTAGTTGACGAGCTTCTTGTACGGCTCCTCGCCAACGTGACCGATGAACGAAGCAGGGGGGAGCTCCTGACCCAGCTTGTAGGCGGTGAGTCCGTTCTCAGCGAAGCCATAATCGAACAGGTCGAGGACTGCCGTCAGTTAGAGATCGCAATATGGGTAACTGCGAATCGTGCTGGAGGCAGAGGTCCGGCTCAATGCAGCCACGTCACAACTTCGCCTTGTCGACGAGTTGGTAAGGAATGTCAAACGTGTCTGCGCAGCTCGCTGGGCGTCTCGTTGGTACCCGGCTTGTTGGCGCAGCACGACCATCGGAATGCCCGGGGTCCCATGCACTGCACGATAAGACAGAGCTACGTGGCACAGCACGCTTTCCATCCTCCAGCTTCTTACGTGCCCGCAGCAATCGGCACTCACCGTTACCGCCGTCGGGGCAGAGCTGCTCGGCGATCTTCTTGAGGTCCGAGCCGCCGACAAAGGCGATGGCGCACTTCTCGCGGAGCTTCTTGAGAGTCTCGAGCATCTCGGGGGAGGCCGAGAGACGGGCGGGGGAGAGGGTGCCGTCGACGTCGAACATGCAGATGGTCTGGGGGAACTGGCGCTCCGCGAAGGGCTTGACACCGGCGGGGAAGGACATTTTGGCGGCGATTGCTCTTGTGAGGAAGCGGGTTGGGAGTGAGAAAGATGAAGTGGTCCGGCGAAGAACACTGAAAATGACGGAGAGGAAGAAGTCAAGGAGAAATGTGAAAGATCGAGGACACGACCGAGGAGATAAAGGTGAGATTAAGATTTCTGACATTTGTGGTAGCTACCCCATCTGGTCGAGGCAGAACACGACCCTTCCCCGCCCCGTCGGGTTCGAACCCTCGATGTCCTCCTCGATTCCTCGTCCTTGCACCCTTTCGACGGGACCGTCGATCGCCATGACACGTAAACACGTCGTGGCGCCCTCGTACCTCAGGGATCACCCTGCTCCAGTGGACCGCTTTAGGCGCGAGTTGCAGACCAATCACGTGGGTCACCCCATTTAGGCGTGCGCGAACGTTCGTTGTGACTTCTGCCGTATATTGCTGGGAGGCAATGTCCAAGATTCTTTATTTGTCTATTCGTGCCTACGGCTCTGCATCGCAATCGACACACAGCATGCGGGCAGAGAGCGACACTTGTCAGTGTATAGAAGCAGTCCAGGAACCATTTATGCTTCCATATGCTCAGATCTCTGAGTTTGCTTGACGACGCCCACGTGGATATCTCCTCGCAGAACAGTTCCGAATGTGTGTGCGGGTGCGGTCTCCGAATCGATCACAGGGCAGTCTATCATTATCAAGCAGTTTAGGCCGAGCACGTTCTCCACGTCCGCGCATCGACGTGGCGGGGTAGTGCGCTCGTGGAATGCCGGCCCAGGCTACGACGTGTCACTGTGGCCTCGGGCTTTGGACTGTGTCTTCGCTGACTAATGCGCATTAATTGCCGCCGGTTCAGTGACCGCAGCAGGTTTATGACTTCACTACATGGCATGAACCTCCAAGCTAAATAGTTAGTACACACCCCGATGCAGTTGTTCTTGCCACCGACAAGTCTTTTAAGCATGACTGCAAGCACGCCGAACAGTCTTCGTCTCAGAGCGCGGAAGTCGCGCCCGTCCGTGCTCAAAACCAGGGCAGTGACAAACCTTAGTCTGCTCCCAGTCGATTGCCACCCAACGCAACCCGCGACAGACGGGCCGGGGCGCCACCCTGAGCCAGGTCATCGGCCTGACCGGCTGGGATCATCGCTGGCTGACACGTCCGGAATTTCAACATCGCCTACATCCCAGCACACCACATCGCCTGCATCGACCCCGTCCCCTCCGACTGTAACCCCGAGCAGCCCAGCCGACGACGAACAGCTACAGCTCGAGCTCGAGGCGACGGACGCGATGCTGAACCCCGCCTCTGTGCGCGGGCGCAATGAGGACCTGGACGACCTCGAGGAGAAGGGTCTCCTGATCGGCGGGGAGGGGAGCTCGCTCGAGCTCGAGTCGGGCGGCACGACACCCCGCCGCCGCGCAAAGGGAGAATCGGGCCACTACGAGAAGCTCGACCTGGGCGTGAAGGAGGAGAGCGGGCTCAAGTCCAAGCGTGACCAGCAGGCGTTTGCGCTCCTTATCGTGCTTTGTGAGTTAGCCGAAGGATCTGGGATCCCTTATCCGCAGTCCATTTCTTCCACTGGACAAGTCCTACAAAAGGACTATCCCTTTCCTACTTTCCTCATGAGAACCATTCAGTGCTAACGTATAGACCTGCTGCAGGGCATCCCCCTGGGCCTGACGTTCGGCACGCTCCCGTTCTTACTCAAGGCGCACCTGTCCTACTCAAAGCTGGCCGTGTTCGCGCTTTCAACGTGGCCGTACAGTCTCAAGCTTCTATGGTCGCCGATAGTCGACGCCATCTTCGTTCCGAAATGGGGCCGGCGCAAATCCTGGATCGTGCCGGTGCAGGCGCTCGTAGGCTTGATGTTGTGGTTCATCGGCGCCCGCGTCGAGACCTGGCTGAAGGGCGACATCAACATCAATTTCTTGACCATGATGTTCGGCTCGCTGATTCTGGCAGCAGCGACGCAGGACATTGCCGTCGACGGATGGGCGCTGACGCTCCTCTCGCCGCCGAATTTAAGCTACGCGAGCACAGCGCAGACGATAGGACTCGGGATCGGCTCGGCACTCGCGTTCACCGTCTTCTTGGCCCTGAACAGCGTCGACTTTGCGAACCGCTACTTCCGCAGCGTGCCCGCCGACGTGCCCCTCGTCACACTCGGGCCTTACATGAAGTTCTGGGGCCTGATCTACCTTGTCGTGACCGTCTGGCTCGTCTTCTTCAAGACCGAGGACCCCGTCAGTGCCACGGACCCAGACCTGGACGTGAAGAAGGTCTACCGCGTCATGTGGAGCATCGTCAGCCTGAAGAGTGAGTCGTGCCTCCCCCTCTGCTGTATCTCCGCGCGTTTAGCTGACGCAACAAGACATCCAATCCTTCCTTTTCATTCTCCTCATCGCCAAATTTGGCTTCCAGGTCAACGAATCCGTGACGCAGCTCAAGTTGCTCGAGAAGGGTCTCTCGCGCGAGGACCTCGCCGTCGCGTCCTTGCTCGACTTTCCCGCGCAGATGATCGTCGGCTGGCTGGCCGCCAAGTGGTCTCGCCCCTCCCAGTCAAATAATGAGCACCGACACCCGCTCTCAGCCCAGCAGACGCGACAGGCGGCGGCCACGGGCGTGCTGAAGGTCTGGGTTGGCGCCTTCTGGGCGCGTCTCGCCATGGCCTTCATCGCCGCGTGTGTCGTGTGGCTGTACCCGAGCTCGGGACAGGTTGGGTCTGGGTATTTCAGCCTCGTGATCGCGACCATCCTCATGACGAGTGTGACCAACACGATCCAGTTTGTCGGCATCACGGCGTTCCACACGCAGATTGCCGACCCCCTCATTGGCGGCACGTACATGACCTTGCTGAACACGGTTAGCAACCTGGGCGGCACCTGGCCGAAGCCGATTATTCTGAGGTTGGTGGACCTCCTCACTGTTTCGGCGTGCTCGATCACGGGCGCAGAGTGCACGACCGAGGCGGGCAAGGAGGCGTGCAGCGTCAGCAAGGGCACGTGCAACATCAAGCGCGACGGATACTTTGTCATGACGTTTGCGTGCATGTCCGTCTCGGCACTGCTGCTGCTGTACCACATCCTGCCCACTATCAAGAAACTTATGGCGCTCCCCATGTCCGCGTGGCGCGTCAAGATCCCCGCGTAACCGCTGAAGCGGGCCTGTATCCACCCAAAACATCTATAGAGTCGCCACTCGGGCCACACACATGTCCTTGTTACATTATGCATCATCGTTCGATATCTTGCAGGCTCATCCCCATTACTCTAATCGCGTCTGTCACTTCGTGTCTAAGATACTCTGGCTCGCTCCGCTCGCCTACCCTCACATGGAGACATCGCCCTCAGCGTCCTGCTGCATGTCCGAGTCCACCAGCTCCGTGATCGCCTTGACGCCCTCGGCGAGCCCGTCGCTTACGCCCTTCTGTAGCGCCTCAATCTCAGCCTCATGGTCGGCCATGAGAGCCTCGTGTGCGCTGTTGGGAAGCTCAGGGAAGCGCGCCTTGATCTCCTCCATGAGCGGAGGCTGGGCCGCAATCTTCGGGCTGAGGCTCGTGAAGCTCGACGGAAGCTGGTCGGGAAGCTCTTTCAGCGCCCGCAGAGTGCGGTACGTCGCCGTCTGCCGCTGCAGGTTGCGCTGCGCCTCCTCACTCCGTCCCGCCGTCTTCGTCAAGTTCGCCCAGCTGTTCGTTAGTTTGCGACCGTTGCCACGTCAACTCACTCATCGTGCGTGTACACCCTGCGCCAGGTCGAGATCAGCGCGACCTGCTTCCGTCCCTCGGGAAGAGGTGCGTGTGCGAGACGCTCGAGCGCGATCGCAGCGTCGTCATCCCGTCCCATCGTCAGCGTGAGAACGTCGACGAGACCCTCTACGTCGAGCGCGTCACCGTCCAGCAGCGCGCCGACCTGACGCTCAAGCACCTGCTCGAACGCGGGGTACGACAGCTTGAGTCCGGCGACGTACTTCTTCGCATTCGCCTTCTTCGGGTGCCCGCTTCCGGGCGCGGTCTCGTTGATGTGCTCCCGCAGCGCGTTCTCCGTGTTGATCAGGTCGAGGCTGTCGTCGAGCTCCTCAATCTGCAACGTCTGGCCACGCGCCTTGCCGTCCGCGACGGCCGCGAGCTTGCCGAGACTCGCCTGCAGATGCTTCTGCGCAAGCGACGTTGTGTCCTCCTCCACGGCCTGGAGAGCCGTCGCGGCACCACCGTAGTCCTTAATCGCGATCGAGTGGATCCACGACAGTTCCGGGTGCGGGTGCGCCGCGAAGAAGGCACTGAGCAGTCGTCCGTACACCTCGTCCTGGGACAGGAGGTCGTACAGCTTGCCCTGGTCGATGTACCACTGGTACAGCACGAAGGCAAAGTCCTGTCCGTACTTCTCAATGTACATCTCTATTCTTGCCGGTCCCTCAGACGAGGCGGAGTTGTGAGTCAGGTACACGAGCGTCGGGAAGTCGCGGTGGTGCTCCGCGAGGGCGTAGGCCTCAGAGACGCGGTCAATGTCGACTGATGGTCAGCTACTACATCGACGGGTGTAGCTTACCGAGCGGGCGGATGATTCGAGGCTTGAGGTCGTCCCAGCGCTTGGCGAGGGCGAGGCCCTCGGTAGCGTCAGCAACACCGTTTAACTGGAGACTGTTTGTCAGTTATCAACCGCGCCGAAGCTAACTCACGTGGCGTTTGTGCGCAGCTTGTCCTCCATGTTCTCGCACAGCGCAGCAGCGAGCTGGGCCATCTGCATCTTGAGCGTGGCCTGGTCGCGCTGCTGGCGGGCAAGCTGGGTGCTGGCGTTCTGCGGCGCCGGCTCATCGACGACACTACCCATCTGGCGCGTGCGGTCCTTGATAAGGCGCTGCGTCGCAGAGTACAGGGCGTCGAGATCGTCGATGATAGCGTCAGAGGCAGTCCATAACTCGACAGAGGGTCGTTCCCGGTCGACCTGGTAGACGGTCGTGTCCGCATCGCGCACCTGGGTGGCACTCCGTAAAGCAGTCTGGCCGTTAGTTCCTCAGCACGTACGAAGTAACTCACGATGAAGATGCGGTTCGCTTCGAGAATCCAGTCGGACAGATCAGTGTTCTGGCCCGCAGCCTGAATCGCGGCCTGGAACGTCTGGAACACGATCTCGAGCAGGCGGTCGAGGCGCAGAACCTGCGTGCGGAAGAACAACCGCACGACGTCCTCGTCACCGGCACCAACACCCAGCTGGTTCATCAAGATCTGGATCGAGTCGGCGAGCAGACTTTGCGGCGACCGCGTGTTCAGTTTGCTGAGAGTTAGCACCAAGCACAAGAAAAGAAACTCACTCCATCAGTCGGTTCTGGTAGTCCCAGAGGTCGATCGCCGCCTTGATCTTTTCAGCGTGGCTCTCCAGGCGCCGGCGCGAGTCCTGGGGAATCAGGCTGAGCACACCGTTCGCGTGGATGAACTGCATCAGAGCGCCCAGGCGGGAGCGACGGTCAGTCAGCTGTGGTCGGACCTCGTAGATCGTCGGGAGGTAAGGGGAGCCTGTGTGTCAGCTGCAGATCGCAAATTCAAGCTCACTAGAGGAGACGATCTCGGAGGAGACTGCTTCAGCCGCCTCAGCGAGGTCACCCTTGAAACCCGGGGGAAGGTTGAACGTGAGCGGGTTGTTGCTGCGGTCACCGAAGAAGACGGTCTGCTCAATCTTCGTCTTGAGACCGGCAGTGGCCGAAGCCGCAGACGACCTGGAGTTAGTTCTCTCACGAACGATATCAACTCACAGCCTGGGAGCCTGGGCGGATCCGGCGTAGACGTCGATGGTCATGATGCCGCCTAGCCGCGCCATGGCGACGAGGGAAGCGCCACTGCGACCGTTTCCAGCGCCGAGGAAGAGGTTCCTCGAGTCCTTCAGCCGAACAGTGTCCTCGTAGGGAACGTTCGAGAGGGATGCCATGACAATGGCATCGGCGAAGTGCACAAACGCCATCTTGGTCCCGTTAGGAACATAGAGGCGCGGCACATCGAGCATGCGCGGATCAGAGTGCTGCGATCAGCTTCTATTACGGCAAGCACAGCTACTCACAGCCAGGTACGAGATTTGGACAATCTTGTCGATCGTGACCGTGTTCGTCGAGGCGTTGAAGTCAAAGAGAACGATGGAGTGGCTGTTGTGCGAACGCGAGTGGTCCGACGACCCCGAGTTGCGGGAGTAGGACACAAGCGTGGCAAACTGTCCGGGACTGATGAGTTAGCATGGCAAGCGATTGACACTCACCCAGTAGCGACGAGGTCGTTAAGCTCGACGTGCAGGTTGCCAGACTGCCATGAGCCGTCGTCGTCGAAGAGCGAAGACCCGATGGCATCGTGTAGGCTGAATTCGTGCACAAGCTGAGGTTAGCTACCTCCTAGCAACGACTAGCTTACCTTCGCATAACCGTCCGGTCCGATCTCCCACGCCTGGAGCGTGCTCTTGCCGAGCAGGCAGACGCCGCCCGGCACGGGCGTCACAGCAACGATACCAGTGCGCTCCGAGCTGTCGAAGATGATGGGGCTAGCGCGGTTGAAGAGTCCTCCGGGGCGGGTGAAGGGCTGCGCAGTCGGCACGAGGCGGCCACCGTGGTTGACGACGGAGAGGCGGAAGGCTGCCGAGCTCGTCGTCGTGACGACGAAGTTAGCGTCGTCGAGGCGGTAGATGTGCTCGGCGAAGTCGTCACTGCCGAGCGGGAGCTCAATGGACTGGAACCGCTGCACGTTGGCGAGCGCGAGGGACATGCTCTCCCACAACCTGACCTCGCCCGTGGCGCTAACAAGGACGAGGCCCGGCTCGGCAGCGCGCGCGCCGTAGAACGCTGCAAGCGCAGGCGGGATGTTGGGCAGGTGGCTGCGAGAGGGAATCGGGGTCGGGAAGGTGTAGACGGTGGGGCTCGAGTGCGTCTTCTTGGCGTAGTTCCAGGCGAAGCAGCGCGTCGGCGTCGAGACGAGCGCGAAACCAGAGCCAGAGTCGATCTGCCCCGTCGCGCCCTCGACGATGAAGTCGAAGTCCGGGTCGTTGACGAGATTGCTCACCTCGGACGGCAGAGGACCGTTCGAGATAACAGAGTGCCGCTCGTCCCGCGACCAGTACACCTCATCATTGTCCTGATGGCGGACTGTTCGGGTCGATTCTCCTCCAGACGAGGCGGGCGACAGCTGACGCACACTGCCGAGTCGGGAGCGGGTCTGGACGCTCGCATTGTCGAATGCGGAGCGAGAGAGCGACTCGCGCATCCGAAGACCCCGCCGTGGGGTCGGTCGGGCCGGAGACGAGAACATGGCGGCCGGTGTCGGTGGATGTGATGAGTCTTGTTGTTGGCCTGTTATGGCGTTCGATGATTTCAGTGCGCCTTGCTCGAGTTTGTGGTGAAGTCACGTGATCCCACGTGGCACCCAGCACTGACATCATGGAAAGGACTGGACGAAAGGAAGACATTCACCGATGATCACCTAACTGCAACTCCATCGCAACTGGTTATGCATAACTGTTTCCACGAGCAGCTCCGCACCGGGTAAGACATATGTGAATTCATACACCAAGCCGATACCTATGTGACACGATAATCTATCTATCCGTAATTAACAAGCGACTCTATCTGAGGGTTTCTGGTTCTCTCTGTGGGCTCATCCCCCACATCCCTCCTCTCCCTCGACAATAACACGGTACTAGTTCACCATCCGAATCCAGCAGGCTGCACGAAGTAACCGTGCTGAGCCCGCGGACTCGGCTTGCCCGGCTGGCCGCTCCATTGCTCCCAGCGGCACCACCGGCACGCGCCGCATCCGCTTCCCCCGCAGTTGGGAATGGCGATGGGGTGCGGCGCGCAAGCCTCGGAGTAGTAGCCCTAGTACCGTCCATCGGGGTTCATGTAGTGCCCCTGCTGCTGGGCCTGGTGGACCTGCTGCTGAGCGTACTGAGCGTGCTGCTGCAGAGCGGCGGCGTGAGCCTGCTGAGCCTGCACAGCGGCGTGAGCCTGCGCCTGCGCCTGCATCGGGTCTGCGTGTCAGCTACAAACGAAAACACCAAAGCTACTCACCGTAGTATGGACCGGCCTGCTGTCCCTGTCCTGACTGGTGCTGCTGGACCATCATGTTGTACGTCTGCTGAGCCATCTGAGCCTGGGCATGCGCCTGCTGAGCAGCTGCCTGGGCGGCAGCAGCCTGAGCCTGCGCAGCCTGGTTGGCGGCCGCCTGCTGCGCCTGAAGAGCGGCCTGGGCCTGCTGCGCCTGAACGGCGGCAGATGCCTGGGACGCACGAGCAGCGACCCGCGGGGGGAGCGCGAGCGAGGCAGCACCCGAAGCGACTCCGGGAGGAACAGCGGGCGAGATCGGGCCGGCGGTGAAGTACGGGTGGGCAAGGGCCTCGTTCGCGTCGTACCGCCTGTTAGGCTCGAACTGGAGCAGGTGCTCGAGGAGGTTGATCGCGTCACGCGGCGCTTTCGGAACGATCGCGTGAAGGGGCTGCTTCGGGTGCTTGCTAAGCGGCTGCTTGATCTGGATCTCCGGGCTGTTCATCTTGATCTGCTGCAGCGTCGCGTCGCTCGGCGTGCCGACAATCTTCATGATCTGGACCAGCTGGTCGTTGTTGTCGCGACCACGGAAGAGCGGGTATCCCGTAATCATCTCCGCGAAGATACATCCCACACTCCAGATGTCGATGGATGTGCTGTACGTTCGTGATCCGAGAAGCACGTCCGGAGCACGGTACCACAGAGTGACAACCTGAGAGTTAGTGCAAACGGGATACATAACTCACCTCGTTACTGAAAGTGTTCACCGGAACGCCGAAGGCACGGGCGAGACCAAAGTCACCGATCTTAAGCTCTCCGCGGCGGTTGATCAGCAGGTTCTGCGGCTTGAGATCACGGTGGAGAACCCGGTTGGCGTGACAGAAGGCAATACCCTGCGGTCAGCTATACGAATCCATCGAAGCTCTCACGTTCAGCAGCTGATAGGTGAAGTGCTTGACGGTGTTGAGGGGAAGGGCGCCGCGATCTCCGTGCGTGTCCATGTAGCGCTTCAGGTCCTGTTCGCAGTATTCGAAGATGAGGACGAGCTTGGACTCGGTGTGGATGACATCGTGGAGGCGGACAATGTTGACGTGCTTGAGCTCTGCTTTGTTAGCTCCGGCAACAGTGTGGCTAGCTGGCCGATACCGTCGGACAGCTGCCCGGACCCATTACAGGCTAGCCTAGCGCCGGGAGCGCCGGTTCCCACAACAACTCACCCTTCATCAGACTAATCTCTCGGATGGCCGTGCTGGGCGTTCCCTCCTCGGCGTCGAGGTGGATCTCCTTCAGCGCAACGATCTCCGATGTCGTCCGCGATCGTCCCTTGTACACCGTCGCGTACGTTCCTTCTCCCAGTTTCTCGAGCTGGACGTAGTTCCTGTGATGTCAGCTACATTCGAGGCGATTTTCAGCTTCGGAAAGCCCCAGTGCATTAGTGGTGCACATAACACAGGGCCGTAGGGCCTGAGTAGCGACCACGGAATGCGGCGCATGGTGCGGATGCGTTGCGCTGACCGCAAATCGCGCGCGCGCATCGATTCGCCGCACCAACAACCTTAGCAGAGGGGCGCAACTGCCAGCCCAAACAACTCGTCTGAGCAGATACCGCTCGCGCGACGCGGTGCCGTCCAGACTCACATGGTGGATATCGGCCAGGTTCCGGCAAGTGTCCGAGATTAAAATATGTCAAGCGTCGTAATGTATGTGGTGGATGACGGGGATCGCGGCGGGGTCTTCGGCACTCGCGGATGGGCAGCAGCGGGGGGTGGGCGAGGATGCGTGTCGAGCGCCGGGCAAGGAAGGTGGAAGAGGTGAGGTGAAAGATGGAGGGAGGGAAGGGTGGACGTGAATGGGTTGGTGGACAGAGAACGTGCACTAGACACTGGCCGGGAACTCGCTTCATTATGGCGTTCGGGCCAATTGATCCCGTTACATGACGTCCGATGGCGCAGCACTGAATCCACGCAGATCTTTCAACCTCTTGACCCTTGCATGCTGCAGCGAGCATCGGAGTAACTATGCATGCGTTTCTACCACCATTCTGCAGCCTGTACTCGACGTTGTGGATGACCTTGAAGGTGGTTTCCGCCGTGTCGGGAAACACCCACCCACTCTTCTGTGTCCGATCGACATTTGCAGCCAACGTGCCTGGCTGCCTGTGGCACCTATATCTTCGTCACCTAGTCACCGTGAGCTTAATGCACATGCGGCCAATTGGAACGGCACCTGCCTCGATCAGTGGGAACGCCGACCGGCTTCGCTACGCACGCCCACAGACGTGCTCGGTTACGCATCGCTCGTTAACATGTGTACATCTGTTCAGCATATGGAGGTCCAACAGCTCGGTCTGCTACAACCAGGGACGCCTGCGCTCAGCGCCCGATTGGCGCCCCCAACAGGAGTCGGAAGTCATTAAGGGGGTATACGGCATGGATGGGCAGTCTTCCTCGCTCTTCTAAAGCTGCTTGCTATCTTACACGGTCCTCTCTACGCCTTCTCCTTTTCGTCGTCGAGATACGACGCCAGCGTGCTGTACGCGTGGTTGTTCTGCACGAGGCTCTGATGGAACGCCTCCGCCTCAGCGGGATCGAACGCGCGGAAGTGAGGGTTCGCAGGATCTCCAGGGGGCGGTTGCGGCAAATGGGGCGTCAGACACGGATACCGGTATGGCGTGAGGCCGAACGGATAAGGGTACGTTGTCGGCGGCGCCGTCGTCGAGGGCTGCGGGTTAGCTTAGAATCGTGCAAGTATCAGAGCTAGCGCGAGCTACTCGTCGAGACTGAGCCCGAACCTTTCTCAGACCCTGTGGATAAGTCCACACGAGACACAGAGGCCAGAGAACATAATCCGCAATAAGAAGGAATAAGGAAGACGATGACTCACAGGCGTCGTTGAGGGCGGGTTGGACTGGTAAGCGGCCGCCGCCGCGAGGTTCTCAATCCCCCCGAGTGGACCCGAGTGCGACCACTCGGCCTGGTGATCCGGTGACCTTCGTCTCGAGCGTTTCTGCAGTGTTGTTAATGACCATCACTGATTAGAGACTTGGAGGAAGACGAGGAAGGCATCCGTGGACTCCTTTAGCGGGTGATCGAAACACGTGTACGCCCTTCCTCCATCCTGTTCCCAAGCCTTCACGCCGATCAGCGCATCAGCAAACTCACCGTAGTCGATGCCTCCCTATTCCGTCCGTACCCGATGAGGTTCTCCTCCTCTCCGCGCGCCGGCTCGGGTGGTTGAAGGGGAGCAGGCTGCTCTTTGGCCGAGCGGCGCGTCACTCTCCCGCCCGCAGAGGGCGCGGGGGACGCCTTGGCGGCGGCAGCGGCTTTGCGTTTCATTCCCCTCGTTGGCGGGGGTAGGTCGCGTAGGCTGGGGTCGATGACGGGGTCGTGGGAGGAGGACATGGATGGATGCGTTGAAAGGGTGAGGGGGTGGACAAGAGTTTGAAAGAGTTGAGTGCGGGGAACCTGGGGGTGGGGCCCACGTCCGGGTGTTGATGCCGACTCACCCGCCCGTCACGGCCTGTCAGAGCGTGGGATTTAGACGAGCCGCGACTGCGCTTTGGCCGCACCTTTGCCCGCCGTGGGAAACTATCTTGGCCAATGTCCACGTGGAGCACGGAGTTGTCTTGCATCTCCATGAGATCTCTGAGATCGGGGCATTAGGAAGCAGGGCAAATGAGCATTAAGGCGAGAAAAGCTAATGCCTGTTTAGCTGTTCGACCAGGCACGGATTCCGGGATCTCGGTCCAGCGATGCCAGGGAAGAGGGAGAATGTGGGTGCGGCTCTGCCAGGGTTGAGAGGTCCTGTGACGTTGATGAGGAAGGACGTCTGGGTGGGTCGAGCAGCAATGGCGGACATGAACCTTTCGTCACGATCCGGTGTCCGCGATTGCCTACTCGGCCATGGTCGCCTTGTGAACGGCCTCCGTTCGGCCTCCGATGGGACCTCGGGCTCCGGCATGAGTTCGGCAGATGGACGCCCACAGCTCACTAAGCGAGATTTGGAGTCCTCTCCTGGACGGGATCATAGAGATCATATCCCGGCGCCAAGGTTGCTTGCACGTTTGCTGAGAACCACCACCGCACAGCTGTGCGTGCGCAGCAAAGCCCGATAGCAACCCGAGCGCTTGCCCGCCGCCTCCGCTGCCCGTGGTCGTTACATCCGAGGTTGCGGAGCAGCTAGGTCGGGCGCGATAACGTCAGTCCGCCGCCCGCCAGGTGCGGGGGACTCGATGGTGCGGCGCTGTTCGGGTCCGAGGCATCCTTGTTCTGGTTACGTTTGAATCGATGCCAGCCATGAGGAAGACGATGACCTCACTCAGTTGGTGAGGAGAGGATTCGTGAAGAGGGAAGAGGTGGAAACAAGATTGCTCCCGAAACATTTGCCCCTTTGGCTGTTGAGGACCCCCCGGGTCAATGCCGCCTGCCGCTGCTGCCTCACTGCGTGCGTGCCGCTGCTTGCCATCGCTTGCCACTCCCACCTCTTGCCCTTCCGTCACTCCTCGGCGGACTCACAGCTTAAGCTCCCATCTCGCCCTGTGACCGGGCCATCGAGCAATCAGATCACAGAAGTGAGCGTAAGGAACAGAGCGTCCGGCAGTCTCAGGCGCATAGACTTCGCCACGAGGTGCCTGTTCGACTGTTTGGACATTCCTGGGCCGAGAGACCCTGGCACTCATGCGTAATGCGCTCCTGAACATGTGCCCCAGCATTGACATTCATCCATGCGGTGTACGGAGGGTGGGCACGCGGCGCACTGACTGGCGCTCATGGCAGAATGCCAGGGCACGAGGGAGCAGGTGTCTTGGCACCGAGACAGACTAACAGGCCAAGTTCCTACTTCCGTCCTGGCAACCCGAGATCTTTCTCCGCATTCTCCGGTCGCGCCGGTCGCCAGAAGAAAGTCGCTGGTTACGATGCGGCGTACGCGGCGACTTTGATCGACTGTGAGGTCATGGGATCACTCGATCTGGCCCGACTCTGCCTGACTCCAGTCAACAGCTCTGGCTCTCGGCAGGCAGTGCGACGCCCTTGATCCAGTCTAGCCCTGAACAGCCTGGCAACGGTTTACCTCACAGAGTCCATTCCGTGGATACTCCGGTCGTCACCAGAGCGGTCGCGAGACGTACGCACGCCCACTTTAAGCTTGCACCGACAACGTAACCGCGCCGGCAGCTTTGGTCGGCCTCGTACGGCAGACCCGAGCGTGATGATTAATGACGGTATGGGAAGTCGCACCGCGACAACCACCACTGCACTGTTGCGCTGCTGCTTTGCCTGGCATCTTCCACTGGTGTGAGGCAGTGGGATCCAAGGGGAGATGCAAAGTTCAATCAAGTCGTTAGATTCGGGAGCATCGGGAATTTCTTGTGGAGCGCTGACAGCTTGAGCCAAACTAGCTTGGAATCTTAATGTGGGCGTCGGCGGGCCGTGCTCGTCGTCTCGTGTCGCAGGTACGTATCAAGCAGGTTGATCACAGCGTACGAGAAGCCAGAACAACTGCGAGACGCGAGACATGACACTCGAAGAAAGGAAAACAACGCTTCGGGAAGGCACCCAGGCACGAGGCAGTCTGCCGGTACCTCCCTCTTGCTCTCGATCATCCTCATCCCAGGCCCACCAGGCCCACCGCTGTCGTCGACTCGGCGACACCTGGACAACGGCTACGGCACCGAGCACTTCATACTAACTCTGCACGGCCGAAGTTTCCTCTGTCGAACGACCGTCATTAACCTCCTTCCAGCATCGGTGCTGAAACACGCGCTCCAATACCGCAGCCCGCACATTAAGAGTATACCGGAAGCGCGAAGCGCTGTAGTGTTCGCTAATGACGCAGCCTGGAATGCGTATCGATGCTTGGACGCATTTGGCATGAGCATGAATGTTCCGAATACCCACTCTCGGAAGGACAAATGTTACCAAGTTGTTGCTGCGAGCTGTCCCCAAGCGATCGCAGCAGGCGAGTCGGAGCATAGCGGACTCAGCTCCGTGAGCCGTGACCGCGCAGGTTCACAGTTGCACACGGGCACATGTTGCGCGGCTCCCATGTTCCCCAAAGATCAGCCGAAGCGAGTCATAATCAGATTGCAGCCGTAGAATGAATGCCAAGCGTCACTCTGTAACGTCGGCGTCGCGCGTCGCATGAATCGCACGGATTGCATGATTGCGCGTGCAGCGCGTGAAGCGTATTCAGATCTGCTCATGAGCGCAGGTGCGAAAATTGCATTTGGCGCGATAGACTAGAGGTCTCGCTAAGCTACCAGGAGCCGCTAGTTGTTGGTCTGACGAGCTTGGCAGTAACCAACGTGCACTTGGATGATTGCAGCAGGTGTTGAGGAGGCTATGGTAATTAAGTGAATTATCGGCGCTGGATAGTGTCAGGATAACCCGGTGAGAGATGACCTGCTTAAACGCCAGATTAGCCAGGCCCTAGCAGGGATCCAGGACCGGCTCGCTCGCATGGTTGCGCATGGCGGCTGCCGCACGTTGGTCGTTGGAATCTGGCGCACTGGTCCTGGCTTCGTTTTTCCTGAACTCGCCAAGGGTCTATCATCGGTGAGCAGGGCCTGAGCGCCGGCATGCTTGCAAGGCCGTGATCGTTGACGGGGCCGGACGCACGGCTTTGCCGCCTTGCACAGCAACGAACATGCATGCATACCCTTCCTCCCGAGGTAGGAGATTATTCACCTCGTCTCGGTGCATATTCGGTCTCAACGTAGGTACCGTACGTACGTAGTCAGCTGCCAGCTGCCAGAAGCAATCTAAGACTGCTGTTCGTAAATGTTCGCAGGCCAACTTTGAACAAGGTTGGCCGTGATGCTCCCTTCACGGCCCTGCGGACCTTGGCGCCACCAGGCGAGCCGGCGAGGCAGCGACGCTAGTGCGATGACCGGATCGGGCAGGTCCCATGTCGATCCCTCCTCGATCCTCATTCTGGCGTCAGTGCGGCAACGCGGCAGTGCGCCAAGTGGCCAGGTGGCCAGGTGACGGCGCCGTCATCGGGCCTTGCCCTGCGGCCCTGCGAGCAAGCTGCGTGCGCCCTGACTACACACTATCGATGCATGACGAGAGCTCCGAACCTTGGAAACATTGGGTCGCCCGGACAGCTGACGCGCTGACGAGAACACCTGCAGCCGGGTTCATTACTTCCCTTGCTCCTGCCTGCAGATTAGCAGACTTAGGCTTGCGAGTTGGCTGGCCATGGGCAACGGGCGCAACGGGCGACGGGCCGGTCTCGGTATCCCTCGGATGCAAGCCTCGGCCGCACGAGACTTCTGCACTACGGCTGCCACATGCCGCAGGTTACGACCGCATGAGCGTGAGCGTAGTCCCTGTGAGCTGTGAGAGATGCTGCGATGGGGCGCAGGATCGCGTAGGACTGGACATGACTGGGTAGAGGACTGGGCCATCGGAGCGGCGCTAGAATGTAAATCGCGCAACCGCCTGAGCCGCTGAATACACGGCGCTGTAGAACTGTAACTCAACATTCAGTACTGCCAGCGCAGGCGCAGTGACTTGTACTGCAGGGATGCATTCAGCTGAGCTATGCACTAGAGCAACGTTACAGAGCCCCTCAGCCGGCTGGGAAGGGCTCAAGGTAGGGGAAATTTTGGAGCAGTGAGCGCGCCGAAGCACAGAAATCTGGGAGCTCGGCGGGGACAGGCGAGACAAGATGACAGGATGAAGGGGATCGCAGGCTCCCTCGCAGGGGTTGCCGGTGAAACGAGTGGTGCTGCCTGGGGAAACTGGCCAGGCTCCCGGACAGCGTCATGCATCAGGTCTGCCAGGTCTGCTGCTGCAAGGTGGGCTGCTGCAAGGGCTGCATGTATGTGTTCCGGATGCAAGAGAGTCGGCGGCGGTCAGTGTTTCGTACTAGGCAAGGGTGTACGGCATGGTCATAACCCAAGGTGTAGCGTCTCGGGTCGTGCGCCCGTCGCAGTCGTCTGCCCCTGGTTCCGGAGTCGACCCGCCTGAGATGCCTGAAAGCCCTGCGGTAGATGTGTCGTCTAGACTGGCAACATGGTTTGGGCCGGTCGCAACTCTACCTGCTGTCTTGACATCACCGCTCTGGGCTATCCGCGATCATCTGCTGCATCCCGAGAGTATATATATCCCTCCTGTCCTTTGTTCGAAAGAAAAGATCGAGCTCGTCGACGCAACATCATCGCCCGCTATCGGTCCCACCGAAAACGACCCAGTTTCGAAAACTGGACCAGCATACCTCACCCAAGCCGACCTCCACCGGCCCTTGCCCTAGCCCTGGCCCTCCACCGGGCAGAGCGCGAGTGACTTGTTTACTTCCTTGGGCCATCCCCCCCGATCCCCGCCCGAGATCTCCTCCACCGGCCCAGCCTGGGTGCAATCCAGCAACCAACAAACATTGCATCCACAAGATCGCTGTCCACCATCTCAACATCTCATCTCCCTCTCTCATCACTTTCGGAGACATCCTCACCATCCCCCTCAGTCTAGACCGTTCCAGGTCTGCCCCTGAACCGTACTTCCGCCTGCCGCTGCGCTCTCCGTAGCTGCTCAATTGGCTCAAGGAGCCAAGTGTATTCCTCGCCGTGGCTCATACGACATACACTTGCAGTCACACTCCCCCGTTACCTTACTCCATTCGTACACCTCTTACCCCTTGTGCTCCCAAACACATTCATCCCCTGGCCACAACTCTGGCTCGACGCTGCTCAAGGTCGTCAGACGACGGTTGCTAGAACTTTGTCATTCTCGCTCCCAATCCATAATCACATCCACCACATACACCGTCACCCACCCATACCAAACACACCAAACATGTCAGGTAAGTGACCATCTTTTTGGCGGCTGCTTTTCTTTTTCTTCTCATTCACACTCGCACACACTCCCACAACACAACAAACAAACAACCAACATCATTCTTCCAAACACTCCATTGCTTCCTTTCCCTCCATCCGTCCATCCCACTGCATCCACTCGCACCTTGTGTTTACCGCCGCCACCTGCTTACACCACTGCAGTCATGTTGTCCGGTGTAGAGACCGCCGACAACTTCGACCTCGACGACTTGATGAAGAGGTTCACCACCGCCGCCGACTCTCCCGCCCGGCCGATGGTCCCCAAGTCCATGGTCCACGACCAGCAGCAGCAGCTCGAGCAGTACTCCGGCGACGGCTCGCCGACGTTTGACCCGAACGGCTTTAACGGCGCCGATCTCGCAAACACCTCCAACAGCTCCGAATGGCTCAACCTCTCTTTCGAGTCTGTCCTCGGCTCTGGCAGCCCCTCCTCCCGTGGATCGTCGCTCGAGACTCCCAACCTCCCCTCTACCACCTTTGACCCTACATCCTCCTCGATCGACCCGACCCGTCTCAAGGAGGCAACCGCCGACATCTCCCCTATGTGGTCCGAGGCTGCCCTCCCTCGTGAGATGCCTGCTTGCCAGCCGCCAGCGTTCAACCCGCCAACAATCAACATTGTGCATGAGTACCCGGAGATGAGCACTCCCTCTCGCCGCGGCCATGTGCGCAAGTACAGCGAAATCGACACCGCCTCGACGATGTCGTCCAAGAAGCTGAGGCGCCAGGGCTCGCTGCCCGAGCTCCACATCCCTGTTTACAACCCGATCAACGGCGGTCGCACCTTCCAGCGGTCGCTGTCGACCGGACCGATCGTTGGCCCCAACGACATGAGCGGGTCGCTCTCCGCGCAGAGCTCGCCCTTCCTGACGGCTGCATCGCCCATCATGGCGCCGCTGTCGGCTCCTGCGATGGCGCAGCACCCTAACTCATTCAACACGGCGGTGCCACCGAATAGCCAACCCCTGCCAACTCCTATTACACCCGTCATGCCTCAAACGGCAGTTCCTGGCCGCTCGTACGGGTACAGCAATCTTGCCACCATCCCCGAGGCGCCGAGCTCTGCGCCCCCGCACGTCCAGTGGATGCCCATCAACGCCGACCAGCACCAGAACCAGAACCAGCAGCAGCCGCAACAGCAGCAGCAGATGGAGTTCTACCCCCAGTCTGCCCAGGACCTCCCTCCTATCCCGACGTCTGTCTCTGCTCCAGGCACCGGTGTCCAGGTCGTCAAGTCGCCATTGATGCAGCAGCACTCGCCGTTGGTGCAGGCACACTCGCTCCCCAACACGGTCCCAACCGTCCAAGTTCCGGGTCTCCCGCATCACTCGCACTCCAGGCACTCGTCCATCAATGGCATTCCGACACCCACCATGCAGGTGGCGCAGCTGCCCACCCAGAACGCCGCCACCATCCAGCAGATGCATCAACAACAGCAGCAGATGCACATGCAACAGATGCATGACGGCGTCAATCTCGGCATGGGCCGCCCCATCCAGCCTCCCCACGTTCGCCGTTCATCCGACTCGGAGCTCGCCTTCAACATGGGCTCCAGCGTTGCATCCATGCTTCGGTCATCGTCGGTCCCGCAGGCGCACGGCCAGAATATGGTCCGCGCCTCACAGGTGTTCGGCACCACTGCGCTTCCGCCGCCGCCCCCGGTCGCCACCTACACGCACCAGGGCGTGGTCATGGGCCAGTACGCTGACCCCATCGGGCAGCAGCACTTCATGGCGCCGATGCCGACTTCGCCGCCACGCAAGCGTACCGTCACTAAGCGTGTCGGTATGTGCTTGAAGCCGGGTCCCAAGGGCAAGGTCAAGTCCAGGGTCAACTCACTTGACCCGGCAGCTGCGGCTGCGATCATGGCCGGGAAGAGTGACGCTCTCCTGCACGGTGACGGTTCCATGGCTGCGGTGCCCGAGGAGCCGCCCGTGCCCCTTGTTCCCGTGACGGTGGAGGAATTCCGGAACGCCTTCACGATGACTGCACACGGAACTCTAATTCCCAACCCAGAGCTTGACGCGCTCACGGAGCGGCTCATGTACGCCACGGACGAGAACGTCGTGGACGCGTGCTTCCGCTTCTGCTACGCGATCGGGACTGAGTACAACAAGGCCGCTGAGAAGCAAAGCAAGTACTTCAAGTGCTGCTTTGACGAGTGCGCCGGCGTCAACATGCGCGTGTTCATGCGCAAGAGTGCCGTTGACTCGCACGTCCGCACTCACGTCGGCTACCGCCCATTCAAGTGCGAGGCCGACCCCGAGTGTGACGCCCGCTTCGTCCGCAAGCACGACCGCGACCGTCACGTCGCGACGACACACCGCAACGAGAAGAGCTTCCTGTGCACCGACTGCGGGCAGAACTTTGCGCGCTCTGATGCGCTGCTGCGCCACCGCGCCAAGCGCGATGCGTGCAAGGCCCGCATGATGGGCTAAGCCTCTTCTGTGCTGTTCCGTCGCTTCCTGTCGCTTCCATTGTCGCATCGTTGTCTCACTCGCTCCTGTGTCATCGCCAAAGCCCAACTGTATCCCTGTCCGATCTCCAGTGACATCTTCCATTCTATATTCGTACCCGCCTGCCGTATACCCAAGTGATCCCCTCGATACCCCTTCTCCTTCCAGATAGACTCAAAACCCCTCAATCCTACAACACCCTAAGGACGCTCCTCAACCCGAAAACTTGTATCTGTATCGATCCGTCCCGAGGACTCTCACTCTCTCTGTACACTCTCCTTGTTCATAGTTTCCGTAGCCTAGCGTAATGCATGAAACTGCTTCCGAGAGGGTCGCGAAACGAGGGGGGCGCAGCGTCTGAGGCTCTAGAACGGGACGCGAGGAGGGAAGCGCAGTCTCTAACGACCAGCTGACGCCAGGTTGACGGCAGATCCGAAACGGCCTCGGCGCATAGTCGGTCAGGTGACATCATGGCTCGCCTCGTGGTTGTTCACTGGCTGTGATCCGAGCGAAGAGTGCTCGGGGCGGGAATGTCTCGCATGTCTCGTATGTCTTACACCTTGTCTGCGAAGCTGTGTTCCGTAGTCTGGCGTCGGCTCTGGCATCGCCGCCGTAGAGTGGAGATGAGGAGGCAAGGCGGGCACAATTGGGTTTCCGCTAGTGTCTCCGCTAGCTCCAGAATTCCAGAAGACTGCTCGCATGCAAAGAGGATGTCTCATGTCTCTGAGACCAGAGCTGAATGTCGCACCGAGGTTGAGGGGAGGGGCGTATCGGTGCCGGAATACGGAAGTGCGGGGCGAAGACATGCCGTAATGCGTGAGATGTCCCGGGATCCGCAGCATACACCCCACCCCACTGTCTTGCTTGCACCCAGTTCTCGATCTGCTCTGGATATACACAGTCGGACAAGTCAGAGGAGAGAGCCTTGGATACACAACAGACTAGTGCAAGATATGCGCAGTGGGATGGAAAGTGATGTCTTTTGACTGACGACTTCCGTACGAAGAGGAGGAGGAAATGTGGGAGTCAGAGCCCAACCGTGGAACCACCCAGACATAAAGAGGCTCAGAATAGCGTGTGGCAAGCCCATGGAGACCCGCCGAGTCGGGTTCAACTTCCGATCTGCAAACCCCGCGAAAGCCCGCGAAGCCCGCGAAGCCCGCCCCTCTTAGCCTCGGAGCAACATTGTGTATTCGGGGCCGAGCCGGTGATCGGCGACCGGCGGCGACCGGCCCCGGTTGCGACGTCGGCAGGGGCGGATGTGGCTATCCAAGTTGGCGCGAGTTGCCGAGCAGACGGGCGCATGGCGGGCGCATGACTGACAACGTGCGCAAGCTCCTGCCTCACGTTCCGTTATATCCTCGCCGATGCCGAGGGAGTACCACGAATAACCAGAGGGGCGAGAAGGGATACCTGCCGGCCGAGCAGCGTTCTGAACTCGCACTAAGTGTGGGTATTCTGCGCACTCCGCTGGGTGCTTGGACACTGCCGCTGGTCCCACATATGCGGTCACAGGTGAGACATGCACTACACTGAGACTGGATATGATATGACGTCTGACTAGAAATCTGGAAGAAAACACAGATCCGGGGCAAGCAAGTGTCAGGGTGCGTTTCACGATTAAGCATACCGCCTCCCCCCCTCTCCGTCTGCCCCGCTCAACTCGCCTCTCTGACAGCCTGGATTTCGGCACTTCGACACGCATGACGCAGGCAGACGACTGCAAGGACTTTGTAGCTCTGCGGAGCCATGTTATGAAAGTGGACTAGTGCACGCTAGTGATGTCTTGACTACGATGGAAGCTGTGGCCATATCCTCCGAGTCGTTGATGGACGGGAGGAAGAGGCCGCGTAGGTTCGCTATGGCGGTGAATGCTCCTCCCATCTCTGTGATAACGACCCAAGTCCCGAAGCCACGTTCTCCGCAAGGAGACAACTGTCACGGGTGCGCCCGCAATACGCAGCTTTATGCAGTACACTGACCCTTACGTGCGCAAGCTCTGCAAACGGCCCGTCTTCGTTTCGTGTAGCAGGGCGCCAGAGTGGCGGACTCAACGACGTCAGCACACTGTTATTGAGTTCTCCGGAACACAGCAACGGGCCAGCCAGTCCCAGCAGTCAGTTTCGACCGAAGGTAACCGAACGCTGATCGGGATCTATGACGCGGTGTTACCCAGTCTCGAGGAGCGCAAGAGTGAGATTCGACCGCACAAGCTTGGTGCCAACGAAGGTTAACTTTCTCACTCCCTGCAGAGCAACAATAATCCCCGATTCGCTGGAAGTTGCACGGATCTTGACAGACGAGTTGTCTGTACCCGTGACAGCCACTGCGAAGCTTGACGCTGTTGCTGCTCGAATGTAGGCGGGAGACATCTGCGCTCAAAGACGGGAGGGCGACGCAGTCAGCAGAGCCCGTGCCGAATTCGAAAACGACCTCGTTTGCTGGAGTCCCGGAGTCGTCGCAGACTGCACCACGCCGAGAGCCTGTTGCCGAGGTCGGCCTCCGAACGCACATGAGCAGCGGAGGAGGACATTAAGCAGCGCACTAATGCGCACTAAGGCAACCTTGTTCCAGGAAAGTGCGGCTCCACTGTTGTTACCAAGGTAGCTGAGAATGTCGGTGCGGCCTGCGGGACAGGACGGTCCCGATCGAGCCGAAGCCGAGGGGAACGAGAGATATGATAACGATTTCCAAAATAATTCGGAATAATTTTCTGGGGAACACCGTTGAGAGCTGGGAGACTTTAAGTGTTTCGTGTGAGCTGCGCGAGTCTGCCCCGCGGCCACCAAACTCCCCTCCGGCCCGCTCGCTCGGTCGACGGAAACGATGGGAGAGAGTTACGTGAGGTCTAGCTGCGCCGGTGGCAACCGATTCCTCGGACCATATCTGCAATGTACCTTGGTTGCCTGGAATCGAGAGAGTGTAAGAGTCAGTCTGCGTACGACGCCCGCTCAACGAGGGGTCTGATTCCCACTGATCCCCGCACGCATCAGTTCAGCGGCTCCACTGCGGTGTGGGCAACTCTGTCTCCTGTTCTCCTGCCCCAAGGCTTGTATCAGGCCCGGGCAGGCCCGGATGACAAGAGAATGTATGCGATTGAACTTTGTCGTCGTTGTTCGCAGAGATGTGCAGAAGACGTCTACAGAAGAACGCAAGTCCCAGATTAGGCTTATAGTTAGTTTGAAACAACCTTCCCTTAAGCATGCTGGCTCGGAGCTCGTGCCAGCTGACGCACATGCTTTCCAGTGAAACACTTTCTCCGCGGAACGTACGTAACGCTCTCTCGGCATCGTGGTGATTCCAGCGCGACAATCCGTCTTCTGGTTCGGACAGGGCCAGGAACTAAGGGAAACAAGCGACAGACTCTGGGACTAGCGAACTGCTCCACTTGCCAGCTTCGCACGAAAGTGTAACTCTGCAAAACTCACAAGCTTTACAAGGAACCCGGTACCATGTCCGGATGCGTGGACCGTCGCATCGTCTCGATTCGGTTGAGACCAAGCTTCTTCATGTCTCGATTAGCTGTCCAAGCTCCGCAATCCCTCGACAAGCTCAGTTTGCTCCACTCGTGACCACTTCTTTAACGAAACGCTCATAGACTCACAATCCCGATGGGAGTTGCGACGTCGCACACTCACTTCAGAACAGCCCGAGACATTGTCTGGCATGTCGGCAACAACTACGCTTAACGCAGTCGCGACCTTCTCACCACCGCGACGGTAAGTGGGACCTGGCCAGGCGGGCAACAATGACACCGCTGGCACCACTTGGACACCGCACTCACACCTAAACTTCACGCCCACCACGCTCATCGTCAGGTCCATCGCCAGGCCCGGTGCCAGGTCCACCAGGCCCAGCACGCTTACTGCTAGACCAGGTCCCGCCAACTTTGCAGTTAACTCACCACTTACATCTCGCTCACTGTTCGGGTCCACTGTTGCACGACGAGATCGAGAGTCTAACGCAGCTTATGCGCCGGTGCCTTTGCTACCCTGCGACGCGCCCTGCAACGGCGACGCTTATTCCAGCACGACAATGCTTAATGCCTCCTGCGCCCCGGGACCTCGGAGCACAGCCGGCGTTGCCTCTCGTACCCTTCTCGTCACGCCGAGCATAGCTTACGCTGGATTCGTAAGACGGCATCGAGCGGCGTCATCATGCTGCCCGACGGCACGGCACCGCAGCGGCCATGCCCCGCGATGCCGCCGCTCGTGCCGCCGGGACTGAGCTCGCGAGCTCGGATCGAGCGATCTCGAGCGATCGCAACGATCGCGGCGTCCTGGCAACAGGGCCATTTAGAGTATTACTCATCACGACCTGTGCCTCCCGTTCCTGCTCCCAGCGTTGCTGCATCTGGAACTGCACTGAAAGCGACGCGAGCAAACTTACGCCTCGCCGGTGTCAACTCTGTCATTTGCATTGTTATCGCCAGGCCGACGGTATGCTGTCACGGTACAGGACCGAGAGCTAATCTACCCCCCATGTTGTCGATATGGGACGATTTTAAGTGGATTGAAGCGACTCGCTCGGTGGCAACTATGCGCAGATGGGTGGCAACGGCGATGTCACGAGCGCCGGTGGGATCCGCCAGAACTGCTCGGCGCTCTGGACGGTAAGTGACGGCTGTGACCGTCTCCGCCGTTGTTGTCCTTGCCACCGCATTTGTCGTTGATCCTTGACTCCAACGTCTTCGCTGTTAGAAATCGCCTGCACAGCTCGTAAGCCAACCTGTGCAGGAGACGTTTCCGGCGTCAGACCTCCGCGGCGTATGCAATGAAGGTTGCAACAGTACATCCAAGGTTGCTTCTCCGCCGCTCGATCGCGTCCAGGCCTCGACACGACGCGTACCTCTACATGACATGAGCGGGTGCGGCCCGCTCCGCGACGCGACGGTCATGTGAGCTCACGCGAGTCAGAAAAGTTCATGAGCCGATGCAAGACTGGTCATGAGATCTTCTGGGATGAACCGCATTCCTCACCCGAAACGGCCCCACTCCGTCCCCCTGAACCATGCTAGTTTCGTGGGCAAACAAATGCCGCTGCAAAGTTCGCAACTTGGATGATCGAAACTGAGAATTGTCGAGTAATGTTGAAGGCTCTGTCGAGGAGATCGTCAGCAGCCTCCCCTTGGGTACAGGGCCGGATAGAACGGGTCGGATAGTATGCCCCCCTCTGCATATCGCGTCGCCGGAGAGCTTGTAACAACTTCGAGACCTTGATGATATGCGATCGTTCCGGTAGGTGCCGCCAAGCATGTGTTTGCAAGCTGTGATCCTTGTCGCCCGTAATGAGAGGGCTTTATCGAGGCCGTTGACTTCCTAGTCGTGCTAGACTCACTGTACTGAACGATTCAGTGAGATTTCATTAGTCCATCACCCGACGGCCGGCTGACTTGCTAATGGTACTGACCATCGTAGTCATAGATCGTCGATTGTCCACTACGAGTGACCTGTAAGCCTAGTCGAAACTCCTGCATAGTGGACCCAGCAGGCGAAATATGCGTGGGCCGATGAAGGTGAGCTTCTCACGTGCTAGCTCAGTGTCGGAAATGTGAGGTCTGAATCCCTCCGACCGATGCGACGAGCTTGTGAAACTTCGACAGCAACAACAAAGAGCGATCCTGTTGGGTATAGTTCGAGCGCTGCACGGAGAGGGGGCGGCCTCACGGCAAAGTCTAATACTGCATACATGGTCTCTCGTGGTATAACAATGGATACTGATTCGGGGCTGTCATGAGTAGAACTAGAGCGCAGTGCCACGCTCGAGATTGGCACGGATGCTGTCAGTCAGCTATAAGTTCGCGAAATCATCAGCTCAACTCACTCCTTGGTATATTTGTCGAAGTAGCGCGCGACCTTCTTGTTGAACACCTTGTTGCGCTTGTTGATGTACGTGACGTCGCCTGACTCGTCGTCGCTGTCCTTCTTCCTGCGGCGGTTCGTGACACTGTATGTCAGCTTAGTACCAAACCCAAGTAAACTGTGGGGCCGCCGTCTGCGATTTCGCCCTCTCCCCAAACCGACGGAGAAGGATCGACATGAACGCACAGCACGCCCCACGAGTTAGTACCCACTCCTTGTTGATCTTGGACATGACACGGTCGACGGCGTCGTCGCTCGGCTTGTGGTCGCCGTAGGACATGGTCTCGGAGTTGCGGTAGAGGTCCTCGGCACCGGAGAGACCAGACTTGGAGCTCCCGGCAGCTGCAAGTGAGTCGTTCGTCGCGCCCGCGGGGACGAGGGTGCCGGGAGCAAGGCCGAGAGCAGACTCCTTCTGCTTGTTGTACGCAATGAGGTCGGGCTTCGTCGTGCGCAGGTTCTTGTTGTACCGTCGCCAGGCGTGGTCCTGGTAGTCTGAATGTTAGCCGAAAGGGGTGTGATTGTCGGAGATGCGGTGACAGAGCACAGCATCTCTCTATCACAGCATTTGCCCGTCACCGTGACTGAACTCACTGCTGAAGCTTCCGTCCTCGTTGCCGTCCTTCTGAGCCTGCTTCTTCTCCCACTGCTCGTTCTGCTCGATGCTCCACTCCCAAGCCTTCTTCCGCTCCAGATCCACGCCGTTCTCCTCAGCGTCCGCCTTCAGACGCAGAGTCTGCGCCAGCTTCCTCTGCTTCTCCAGGCGCTGAAGCTCCTTGGCGGTGACCTTCGACTTCTGGTGGTCCTCGACGAGATCTTTGCGGTTCGCGGCTGTTGAAGCGTTCTGATGATGTCAGTGATGAACCATGGCGGACGACTCACCATTCGCAGCCGGAGCTCCTTCAGCTTGGCCTGCCTCTCCTGGAGTGTCGGCTTGCGCTTATCACCCTCCTGCTCCTCGGGATCCTCCTGCTCCGCACTCTCCTCGTCATGCTCCTCGGTGTGCTCGTCTTCCTCGACATGTTCCTCATCGGTCTCCTCCACGCTGTCCGGGACGTGTGCGCCGCTAGTGACGCTCGTCTCGGAAGCAGCGCTCAGTGCGCGCAACGCACGCGCTGGAGAGGGGCTTGGCGCCGCCGACTTTTCCTCGCGTCTCCTTGTTGATGGCATGGAGACGGCAAGTGGGGGTGGTCGAGGAAAAAGAGTGAAGCCGAGTGCTGCGCCCGAATTCACGCAGTGTTGGGTGGAGGGAAAGCAGGGAATGGAAGCAGATCCGCTGGGTGGGTGGCAAATTCAAGAATTGCCCCTTCAGGAAATTGATGCCGAACTAACCCACGTGGCAACTTGTGTGGCACACCAATGTCGTGTGATGTGCAGAGAGCTGGTGGCCGAAAGGGTGGAGAGGTTGATGAGAAGCTCGCTAACAATCGGACGTTCAGAAAGTAGAAAACCTGGAATGTGCGTTTGCAATCGTGTTCGCCAGGGGGCTGACGGAAAACATGTAACGATCATCAAAGACGTTCGATGACCTCCAGGACATCACTAATTGGGCTCTTCGTTGGTCTGCAGCGGATCAAGTCGGGAAGAGAGTGTGCAACGACTGTCTGCCGTGTGTGGGTATGTTTGGGACTCTTTCATCCCAGCAGCAAGCTTCGATCATGCTCCGGTCCACCCTCCACTTGTCCCCTGCGTGTGCTGGAGACCACTCCTGCTTCGCGAATCTGGCCAGTTAGCTTTCGGACCTCTCCTCATCACTCGTGACTCTCATCTGTTCCGGCCACGTCTTCCAAGGTCTTCGCAAGCTGTCATCTTGCAGCTACCCCTAGGCGAAGTTATCCGCAATGCCCTCCATCAACTCTCGCTTCCTGATCCAAGTTTCGATCTTCATCCTGTGGCAGGCAGTGTGGATCTACATCTTCTTGTTCCTCAGCAACGTGCTGGTCTTCCGCTGCCCGGTTTTCGACCCCTTCCTCGATTTTATCGACCTCATCGACGGCAACGATTATTGGGCGGAATGAGAATCCTCGTCCTAGCTCCCTGTGCGCATCCATAATCCCACCTCAGTTCACCTGCATCATTGCCTGTACACCGAATCTTAGCCCTCTCTACCCATCGGTCAGCAGGTGAGGCGGCACCCCTAAAAGCCAGCGCGATAGCACACACGTTCCTCTCCCCTCGGGATGGTTAGGTGAAATGTCCAAGCATCACACGCCTCTCGCACCGCTCCTCCACACCCGACTTCTCTCCCACGATGCATCTGTCCCGACTGGCGAGGTGTATATAAGCATCTGATCCTGACAGCTTCTCATCTTTTTCCCCATCTTTCACTAGGCAGCCACCAACACTCGACTCGACCTCGGCCGCTCATCCCTCTTAACGACTGCCCTTCCGATCTCTACGTGTTCAGCCATGGTGAGTTGGACCTTCCACACTCGACGAGCTGAGTAATGCAGAATGCATAGCTAATTTCAGAGCTGGAGTTATCGGCAGCCTTTCCACGTCACCATCCGTCCAATCGAGGAGTCCTTTCCATAGACCTATGGTGAGTAACCCTCACTCAGCAGTCCCCCGCATTCGCTTGTCCCCGCTTGGTTGAGACAGAGCACACTCTTCCTACCCGTCACCCCGCTACAGTCGGCGAGCACCTCTCGAGTCTTCGCCGCTACATTCGGCGCACCTCGTCTCTTATTCTCTTCACTTCGTTCTTACACGCCGCCTACAATCGGTCTGCTCCTGCTCTTCTCCGCCAGCCCCTACCACGGCACCAAATGTCTCGCACCTCCCTCTCTCGACAGTCACTACAATGACCTCCACCTCCACGCCGACACCACATACACGCGAAGCATCCTTCACCTCATCCCCAATCAACCAATACTACACTTGGTTCGGGCACGCTGACATCTAGTACGCTTTGAATGAAATGGCACTGAAATTATGGAAACTCTCGAAAACTTACCTCACTTCAAGCCGCGTTAACTTTCCTGGTGATCCGGTCTTGTCCACACGATGGCGCACAGTCTGAACAGGCCGCATGTCTAGAATGTTCGGTCACCCGGACGTGGAACCTAGTCGTGAGTTTCGCAAATTTCTGCTTCGTTAACTCTCAGCGTCAGGTCGGATGCCGGCCACATGCGTCAAGAGCCACACCACCCGATCGAAGAGACGGTAAGAGCTTCCAAGGTGGCCACGGAGCTCACACTCAGAACGACTTCGACGGGACATGTGAGTTTCCCATTTGAGAGTGAAACTGACCAGTCTGTATACGACGTTGAAGGTGTGAGTTGACCACGTCTCGTAATCGCTAACAGTCCTCAGTCCACACAATTACTTAGGGTGTCCAAATGCAGGACTCTTCCCCCCGCTCAGCGTCGTTCACGATGCGCCACCGCGTTCCCAACAAACTGTGAGGCCGGTGAGTTAAGACTCACGATGGAGTCCTTCCCATGCCCCCTGCTCCGATGTCCGCTACATCAAAAGGATGTCAACAGTCGTCAGCAAGCAGTCAGTTCCCTTGCCGTCGGTGCGCATCCCTGGAGGACAAGGCATCGAGGTGATCATCCTGCTTGTGAGTTATCTTGACGGAGTAGATAACTGACACTCAGCCTCGGAGCCTGCGGGGGTTAACTTATAACACTCGCCGACTGAACCCAATGCGCCCTGGTCATCCACTGCCGCCACAGAAACAACGGGTGAGTTTCTGTCTCACCTGAGTCTGACTCCTCCCAGAGAAGTATCTGAAGTGATCAAGAGCTCGCGTGGTCCACAGGGTGGTGATTTTCAAGAACTCTGCCGAAAACTGACACACAGGCTGTGCTACCGGTATCTATCACGAGTCTACGATCCATGACGGTACGTAAGTAGCCGCCACCTGCCACTGTGAGTTAAGCAGATGACGATGATTGCTAACTCCCCCTCAGGCTGTGCCGTCTTGCCCAACATGGAGTCCGGGGTGAGTTCCCTGGTGCGTTAGGCTCTAACTCGACCCAGTCTGCCACGGGCGACTTCTGGTCTTCTGCGGGTGAGTTATAAAGATCGACGGTTCGTAACTCAACCCAGCTTCGTCTCCCGAATCAAATACGAACTTGCCATCTCCCTGTTGGCTAGGGTGTGAGTTGCGTGAACCCTCTCGATCATAACTGACCCCAGTGTTTCCTGTTACTTGGTGCAAACTGCCACGCCCACCAACTCCTTACCGTGAACACGGTTAGGGGCCTAAGAGATGAACAGTGAGGAGAGCCGAACATCCGAAGACATTGTTGGCCTACTCGGTAAGTCGCCCGAGTTAGCCTTGGAGAATGCTAACTCCTTCCAGGCGTGAGTTACCATGCGACAAGTGCGAAACTCATCCCAGCACCGCTCGCGTCGCCGACCGCACGATTGAGACTGCGAGCTGCACGATGCGAGGCCCCTCACTTGAAGTCCTTCCCTTCACTCATACCCCCCTATGCGTGAGTTGACGGAGAGTCAACGACGGCTAACTCTCAGTCCATATGCACCCGGCTTCGGCGAGATGCAGGCCTAAAAGACCCTTATCGTCAAGTTCGCATCGAGGCGAGAGCGAATTGTCATGTTCAGGCTGAGCAAGTTAAACTCAGATGTGAGTTCGCAATCGCCCTCGCTGGAACTCATACAGTATCAGCGGCCCGCCACGCGCCAAAGCTGAGTCAATACCAAGTGCGACGGGCCGCTCCTCAAGCCGGTGCCGTCCAAGTCCTGTAGATGCATCACGACCTCGTGAGCTGACTAGTCGAGGTTTGAGCTCATCCCAGTCTCTGCACGCCAACTGCACGCCACCTTTGTTTGGCGTTCCGTGGCCGCGGGTCTCCCAACTACTGTATGCACCACTGTTTGTACCTCTACATCTCGCGCTCTGACCCTTTCAGCATTCTTTGACAAAATATCCGCTAAACGAGTGAGTTGCGTTGACTTGAAGCGCGGTCAACTCCCCTCAGTGTGATGGAACGATGATGGAACGATAGGCCGGCCCGTAGTCCTGTGCGCCGCACCACCAACCGCGGGCACTACGCCTGCCAACCTTCCTTCATGCTCTTCGTGCTTATGACCAAGGGTGTGGTGTGCTACTACAGAAATGGGGAGCTGGATGTTGTGGATGATCCGAGAGCTGACTTCAGCACCTCTAGTCGTGGTGGTGAGTTTCCACAACGCGAGCCTGGTCTAACTCCTCCCAGTCTCTGAATGGAAACCGTAAGTTGCGAGGAAGATGCGCCAGCTCATACCAGCCACTTCCTGCCTTCCCCCTCGCCTCACCTCGACCTCTCCTCTCCTCACCTCCTCACCACCTCACCGCGTCGCCTCACCTTCACTTCGTCCCTCTTCATTCCCCGGTCTCGCCCTGCACATTGCCAGGGTTCGCGTCAGTTGACGATGGTCGAGACATAGCTGACTCGCTCAGTTCTCCTTCTCTGCCTGCACGAGACGTGAGACCGTTTCTCAACTACTGCACTGGTGAACTACGGTATCGCTCGTGTGAGTTTCACACACAACGCACTACTAACTCTCCTCAGCCATGTATCGTGTATCTCTCCAGTAGTATGCATCACTGTACTCTATTCCTACTGCCTCCCTCTCCGTGCAGGTTTCGCCACTAAGCCAGCGTCGTGCCTGAGCCGGGCCATCACACGGACAACTCCAGATACTCAGTTCACCAGCCGCACGCTCTCTCGCGCTCGCTCTTGTTCTCACGCACGCAAATCCCACGCATATAGTGCATAGGTTTAAGCCAGCTACAGCCAGCACGTTACAACACAGAAAGCCCTATGGACACCGAGAGCCGGAGGGGGTGGGGTGGGTGGAGGACTTGCTTTATTCTTTCTGCTTTGCTTCCTTCTTTGCTTCCTTCTTCTTTCAATTCTTCTTTGTTTTGACTTCTTTCGACTTCTGTTCTGTTGACTTCGAGGATAGGAGAGGAGAGAGGCGAAAAGCGCAAGTCAAGTCGACCGGGAGGCACTGCATCTAGCAGCGCGACCACTGACCGCTCGGGGCGTTCGTTTTGGCTTTCTTTTCGGATTCGGATGAGAGGTTTATACCGTTTCAAGTCATCACAAGGGGGGCGGAATAGGAACAGAGGTGGTTTGGTTTGGTTTGTGATGATGTTTTTAAATCCAGATGAGAGAAAAAAATGTAGCCGCTGAAAATGGGGTTTGATTATAGAGAGGTGGAGCGGTTACGGCTGCACAGCCCGAAGAGCTTACTTTGCGCTCACGCTCGCTCGGGTGCGGCGAGTCGTAGGCTGTGCAGCGGGTGCGGCGGCGACGACGGGCGTCGTGGTCGCGGCGGGGGGTGCCTTCGTGGCGGGGGTCGGGTTCATCGGCGGCGGCGCGGCGGCGACCGGTGTCGCAGGCTTGGCGGCGACGGGCGCCACGGGACGAGCACCAGCGGGAGCACTCTGGGCAAACATGCGGACAGGCGCGCGAGCGCCGGCGGGCGTGGATGCACCAGACGACGCCGAGCTCGTCGACGCGGACGATGCCGGCGGGCGCACCGGGATGGCGACAGGTGTCGT